ACCATCTTTTAAATAGAACTTCCATTTGTTTCGAGATCGATTAATCTAAACATTTTTCGTCATTGCATTTCCGATTTGATAAAAGCATATCTGGGCATGTGTTGCGGAAAAACAGTAATAGCAAAATATTTAAGCTCAATTCTTCTTTGTTATTGCTGACATTAATATTTTCTGCTTCATTCTTCTTTGTTTTATTATCCTTTACTTCATGACTTTGATGCGAATTCGATGTTACAGATGGATCACTGCTTAACAATATTTTTGATTGCGTTTCATTTTGACATATTCCGAAGGTTGAAGGAATATTCTCAGGAACAGGATCAATAAAATTTGGAAAGAATGGCTTTTTCGGAAGATTAAAACTGCTTAATGGTTTCAAAGCATTTCGTTTTTCCATCTGATGAAGTTTTTTGATTTGTAAAAGAAATTAGAACTGAATTTAATAACTCACCTCTTTCTTTTCATTATTGTAATAAAATGCAGTTCGTACTTGACGATAGTTGAAACCAAGAGACAATGGATGGGGTATAAATGGTTTGATTCCTCGTTCTTTAGCGTTGACAGATTTCTCCTTTGAAGTTTTCAATGACTTCTGATTGTCTTCTTTTTTAAGATATGAATTTTTTGGTTTTTCATTACAAGATTCTCCGCAAATGTGTATATTCGTTTTCTGATTGGAGTACCGCTTAATAATCCTTTTGACAAATTTCGATGAAAGAATCTTTACATCATTAATCTCAAAATTTCTTAGATTAGAATCAACGTGACCTTCCATTGAGATTGTTTTAATTTATAATTCAATTTATTTTTAAAAATCCTTTTCTAAATAACGCGACTGTTCTACCTACTTAAGTATTTTAAAAGAAAACTAAAACTGTTTGAACTACCGAGACTGAAGAGTCGGTTAAATTTTGAACTTTAATTTTAGTTTTAATATCTACTTGTCTATGTAGCGGTTGGAGCGGTTGAGAGGGACGTAGGAAAGAGCGGATCAGTCTGGAGCGAGAAGTGAAATATTATAGGTTGGATGAATTGTAAAAAATTAAAGAAATAATTTCTATAACGTTAAATAGTGTTTATCATTATCAAAACAACTTCGGAACTATCAAAACCCTGAAACTGACATTAAATTTTTGAGTTTTAATCGCACCAGCTGGTCGTCAAATATAAAAAGTAAGTTGACTCTGAGAATTTTTTCTTTTGTAATGTAGAGTTTTTGTTGCATTGTCTATAGTTTTGAAAATCAAATTCGAATCAAAATTTTCTATGACTATCAATTCTTCATGTCCAATTCCATCTTTTAAATCATTTAATAATATTAACATATTTAATATTTAACATTGACAGTGACAACAAAAAAATACATCCTTGTCGGTGGAAAGTACGGCAAGCCAATTGGACTACCGTTGGAAGAAGACGGAACTCTTCTTCTAACAACAATACAAAGCATATTTCCTGACGCAATAGGTCTTATTTTTAATGATCCTGAAGGTAGAGGAGTGTTTGCATCCCGATTCGATGGCTCACGTTTCCATCCGGGCGGATGGTATAATGATGTAATTTATTATTGCGCCATGCCGAGATGTTCGAGCAGTTCGAGCAGTAATATTGAAATGATATTAAAATGTATGGAAATAAAATAAATGTAAAACGGAATGATTTGTGCTTTTAACATTAAGATAATCTTTTAGTTTATTCATATTTCAAACAACATATTAAGAGATGATAAAGAAATTTCAATGCCTTGATTAGACATTACCATTCAGCATCACCATTGGACTTCTGAAATACGTAATCTTTACCACCCAAGCTCATGATACCATCTTTTAAATAGAACTTCCATTTGTTTCGAGATCGATTAATCTAATTAAAATAAAAGTTATGTGGTTATAATAAAACAATGTTTCACATGTATTTAACAATCAATTAATTACCTTATCATATTGACACACTACTACGTTATCTGTCTCGAATAAATCAGCAGCATCTTCGTCTGTGACGTCGTCCTCTGAATTAAGTGGTTCTTCTTCAGCTCCTCCTTCAATATCATTAATATCGCTTCCATCTTCGTCCTTGTTTAGATCATCATCATCAAGATCGTCGAAGCTGATATGAATAAATAAAGGAAAGTAAGATTATCTAAACATGGTTACATTTTGATTTTAAATTACTGATCATCGCTTATATCACTTCCGTCTTCATCAGATGTATCCCCTGCCGTTCCATCTACTTGTCTACTAACTTTGATAGCATCTGTAAATATATACGAGTAAAATTATTTCATTAAAATCATTTCTGAAAAGTCATAGTTACTACTCTTAGTTGACATAGCTTCAAGCACAGATGTCACATGACGTTGTAAAACTGCTGAGGCAACGCTTGGTTGAAGAGGCATAATTGATGTAATGATTTCTCCCGTGATAACTTGCTGCAACTGGTTCTCTTGGATCGCACGAGCTGGTACTTTAATGGTCAATACCCGGTTATCAGTTTCGTTTGCTTGTGGTGGGAGGGTGATTTGAATGGGAATCAATTTATTAGGATCGAGTGTGGTTTGTAAAGCTGGAGGACCATTTTGTGATGATTGTGATGAAGATGCTGTTGCTTGTCCAGGCTCAGACTTTATTGCAGGTTGCAAAAGATTTTTCGCTGTTTGTAAATTGCCTTTCGACATGGTTGGAGCCAATGGTGGTATACCTGAAAATCCTTTTGCGTTACCATTCAATGATGAGGGCACATTATTTTTTTGTTCTCCTGACAACGATTTCTTTGATTTTGTTCCATTTGCCTATGGAATATTTAAGGAAGTTTTATTACTCGATTACGAATTTTAATGAAAAAGAATTTTTTGAAATACCTTTGGATTATTAGCCATTATAACAGGCTGAGATTGAGGTGTTTGTGGTTCGGGTGTAACTTCAACAGCTTTACTTGCCATTAATCGATTAGTCCATATTTGTTTCATTTCCTGTAACACAGCTTCATCTACACCTTCATCCAAAAACGCATCTCGTACATTTGTTACGACGTCTTCGATGACAAGTTGGTAGAGCTTCAGCTAGAAAACAAATAAAATTACCTAAATATTTAAGAAACCCGACAATTAAAGATTAAAAATCAAAAATAAAACCAATGACCTATATGTGATCCAGAATTAAAATGTAAACATATGGCTTAAATGAAATTTATTTTCCTATTTGTATTATTCATAGGAGAAATTAGTTTCAGTGATTTGTCTTATCAAAGTTATTCTTCTTGAATAGAAGAATCAACCATGAGAACGTATGGCGAGTTTAATTTCAAAAATTGAGAAAAGAACTTCACTCGTGAAATAATATTAAATTGACTAAAAATAAAAAATTATTGAAGTTCATATTGTAAATCCTACCACTGATGATGATGCTGAAGTTTGGGACATCGTTTTTGATAGATATAAAGTCTTTGAATGAAGATATTAAACTTTTTAATATTTCGCTTTAAATATTAGTAGAATAAAAATGTTTTCGTTAGAGACAAGGGGAAGGAAAGTCTCGTCATATTCAACAAAGCAGTTTTGAACTTAAAATTTGTGGTTCAATGCACCATATGAGCGGTTCAAAAAATTACTTCGTTGAAAGATTTTAACTTAATTTTCCCTTAGAAAATATTTCAGCATTTAAAATAGTAGAATAACTTATATTCTGAATTTTCATGATTTTTAAGAAAAGAGTAAAATAAAATGATCACACAAAAAGTTGACTTTATTTATTAAATTTACATGTAGATGAATAAATATTTTTCAATGAAGTGTTTTCGTTATCCACATATAGGTAGGTAGGTATTTAGTTGTGATTAAGCTTGAAAAATCCTTGACTTACTAATGCTATTAAGCCACTAATTTCAAATCTGGTAAAGTCACAACTCGTGATACGAGATTCGTTAAGAAAATATTTGATTTTCCAAGAGATTCATGTTATTCTTTGTCAATGACATCTTTAGTAACGAGGAGGATAACCCTGTGGTTGAGGCATTTGTTGAAACTCTGGGTTCATTTGAGCTCCGTATTGTTGAGGATATCCCATTGGTTGTGCGTAGCCAGGGTGTTGTGGGGGAAATCCTTGTTGTTGTGGATAGCCAGATTGCTGAGGAGGGTAATAAACGGGTTGTTGTAGAGGATAATTCCCAGGATGTGGTTGAAACTGTCCTTGGCTTGGATCATACATTGGTTGCTGCTGCATTTGACCTGGAAGTGGTTGTTGTACGTAAATTGTTTGATGAGTCGTTTGTGGACGTGGTTGATCTTCACATCCGCAGCACTTTTTGCAAAGATAACAACAGCTAACGCACATCAACAGGTTGCAAAGGCAATCCCCTAAGTCTAATAGGTATTATATATTAATAAAAAAAATTAAATGGAAATAGAGTAAAATTTATTAGGTATTTATATATTACCATCATCTAAGTCAAAACACATTTTGAAATGAACAAAATAAATAGAACTTTTCTATAAGGAAAATCTTAATATAGGAAGTTCCTAAATGAATTAAATTGCAATGTTAGAGAAGAGAAATACACTGACGACGTTTAGAAAGAGATAGTAGTGCGCATTATGTGCGTGAAATAGTTAAGGCTGCGTTTAAGCTTTTGATTTCGTAAACAAAAGAAAGAGCTGAAACATACAAAAAATATCAAATAAGTAAAATGTTTCCGGCTTACAAAGATCAGGTAACTTCAAGAGTAAAATCCATAAATTCAAACTTTCTTGAAAATCAATCATTTGAAAAAATCACCTTTACTCCAACAATTGATGTGGACTTGATATCATCAAGCTCAAAAAGTTCAGTTGAATCAGACATTGATGATAATGTACATAAAATATCACATGTTCGTGAGCACCAAGGAACAGTTTCTGAAACCAAATACTTTTATGAAGATTTTGAAAGGAAAAAGGAGTACTTAAAACTTAACTCATTACCAAGCCGAGCTGTTCCTTTATACAAAGTCCCGAAGTATGTCAAACGATTTGTACAATTTAATTACACTGGAAAAAATAATCGCTACTTTAAAGACAAAAGAATAAGAAAACTGAATAGAGAAAAGAAAGATAAGCTAAATGCAGTATCAGAAAAAGATGAAGAGATGAGGATACATCTAATAAAAAATTCACAAGAAGTTAATAAATGGATTGAGTATATTGAGTACAAGGTAAGTTTTAGTAATATCATTTGAAATTAAATATTAATGCTTTTTTTTGCTTTATAGGATATAATTTCATTATCAACCAGAGAACAAACTGAAAGAATGAAACTTGAAGTCATTGAAAAGGCGCTCCATTTCAACCCAAATAATTTTCAACTTATGAAACTTTATATACAAACAATTCCAAACGTTTACTCTTCAGAGAAAGTAGAAAATATCATAGAAGATTTGATCGCAAGAGACCCTTATAATTTTATGTATTGGAAGTATTTACTCATCAACCATCAATCTTCAATGTCTTGTGATGCAGATAATGCTTTGAAACTTTACGAGAAAGCAATGAAAGTTATGAGAAAACAGAACGACTCAGATCCTCAGATGTTAATGCTGTTTAAATCATTATGCATTTTTCTTCGTCAATGTGGTCTAAACGAACAATTTTTTGCTATAATCAGACTAATGATAAGCTTGAATATAAACGAATCTGATGAATTGGATAAAGTTTTCTACACAAATGAAGCGCAAAATCCACATTTGAACGAATACGAAGAACTCGTCTTGAAATCGAACTTGCCCATGAATGAACTTTGGTGGCGAATAGAAACTCTCAGAAGTATTTGTAACTTTCTTCCAGTTAAAACAGTGACAGATGGTCAGATGGAAGATCCTCAACGATTCGTTTTCAATGAAGATATTTGCAATCTTATCAATCCACTCAAAAACAACAATGCGCACAATTTCGATCTTTTCATAATAATTCTGAGAATGTTAAAGCTTCCATTACCATATCCACGCAATGAAAATATTGAAACGTTTTCAATAGAGGACAGTGAGATGGAATGTGGAATGGAATTTCTGTCGGTTTTATTAGAGAAACTCGTGAGTTCAACTAAATTCAGTAATATTTTTTACAACCTTATAAAAGATCTAAACATTACACCAAATTTCTTAAATTTTAATGTCGAGTATGAAGCTTACCTCGACGTGATTCTCAAGACTCTAGTATTTTGTTGCAACTCATTTAATGAACGTCAAAACAAGATTATTTTGATCTTCTGGCTGCGTTTACAGAGACTGATGATCGAAATGGATAAACTCAAATTAATTTCGGATGGCAAGGAACAAGAAGCAAATGATTATGTAAAATATAAGAAACAAATCAAGTCGAAGGTGAAAAATGTTCTAAAGCTTTCCAAATATCAAAATGATTTAAATATAATATTGGAATATGCATTAATTGAGAAGTCACTCAACGATGAGAAATCATACGAGAATATTTTAATTATGGCAATGGAAAGTGCAACTGTTAGCGACTCTCAAAGTGAAATCGATTTCTTTCGAATCGCTATCGAATATTGTGAACACAAATTAATGTCAGAAACAAATGGAAAAGAAGATTGCTTGATGCAATTAAAAAAGATTGCAGGAAATGATGAACCTTTGCCTTATTTTTCATCTAAAATAGCAGAAGATTCTTCAATTGATAACGATGATTATTTAACTGACATTGAAGATTATTTCCTACCAAAAACCAACAAACTAAATCTTATCAAGGCGAAAATTTACTTCACACTTGTTAAGAAATCGAAGAAAGATGCACTTGAGGAATTATTGCAAGTTGCAAAAATTTCATCTGAAGCTAGGTCGTGGTTGAACGAAAAACTCTTTGAACTTTACATTTGGATTTTTCACTTGCGACTTGGCAATGAAGATGCTTCTTTAAAAGCTTATATGAGTGTTGTAGAAAGATCACTCGAAAAATATCCGAGAAATATTTTTATCTTGCATACCGTTGCTGGACATGCTACATTAAGATGGTTTGAATTAAGAAAACTTTTTCTAAAAGCTTCAAACACTGAGTCAATTTTTTATCTACTACTGGCATCAAAATACCGTGAAGAAATATTTTGCGATGAAGATAACGCAATCATATATAAACATCGACTTTTTAATACTATTGATGGCTTACTAAGTAACAAATATTCCAACATATCATCAATTCTTACATGGCGTTTATATCTTCGAATAGCTTTCAGTTATGACTTCACAAAATGTAAAAGAATTCTCTATCAAGCCCTCGATCGACATCCGATGGTGAAGCAACTTTATCTAGATGGTTCACGTTATCTGCCTGAGGAACATTCTCAATTGCTTGACCTCATTGTTGAAAAAAGTTTAAGAGCGCATGCATTAGCAGAAGAATTGGAAATCTTAAGAGATCATCCAATAAACTAGTTGTATGAAAAATTTCTGAAAATAAATCGATTTTTCATGATTTTGCAATGCTTTGTTTTAATATTTTTATGTTAAATTATTTCACAGACGAGATTTGAAAGAACAAGACAATAATTTCAATAGTTCAAGTTGATTTAATTAAATAATATTTTCTGTTTTCTCAACATTTTAAAATTTACTTTCGGCGACTACCACCGCCAGCTAAAATTGATACAATTCTGATGAAGATATTTAATGTGTCCAAATAAATTGAAATAGAATTGTTGACAGGATCGAAAAGTTGCCCACCATAAAGGGGTTGATTTTCAGCTCGCTTGATGATCTTCTGTGTGTCATAAAGGAGGAAGCCAGAGAATAGCAGCAAACCGCCATATAAACTTATTGAATAAAGACCGGCGCCCAAAGCAGTTGTAGCTGGTAAGAAACTGCTTGCTATTGAAGCAGCAAAGACGGCTCCAAGACCCATTGCCAATGGACCTCCCAAAGTCAAAAACTTCTCAGATGGTGCACATACAGCGATAGTTGATAATCCACCAACAACACCAGCAGTATACCAAGCAGCTCTCAACATGATGGGTCCACCAACAAAGCAAAGTGGGGCAACAACTGCACCGATAATTGCTGAATGTGTCATCCACGCAAGTTGCTTAGCACCAAAGCCTGGTGAATACGGAATAGATTGTGCTACCATTCCCGAGCCAATCATCTTTATATTTACAAAAGGAATTTATTAATTAACTATTTAATTAAGAATGTTTTATGACATTTACCACTGCGAATGTAGCCAGAATTGCCAACCAACCAGAACGTGAGACGAGATTCAATAATGCTGGAGTACGGAAAACTGCATATGCACTTCCTGCGCTAATGGCAATCGAAGCTCCAAAGTACATGTACGTGTCACGAATTCTCTGCTTCACAAATTCTGGCCATAAGCTAGAAAATATTATCAGACAGAATGAATTATTTATCTCATTAAAAGTGAATATAATTACTGCGAGTTATGAAGGGTATTTGTTCCTGATCCTAATCCTAATCCATAGAAGCATAATGCACCCAAACCGATTGCTGATCCACCAACTAATGCACCTTTGCCGATTGCAAAAGCATTTGGACCTTATAGACACAAAGCAAAATATTTTTATATGTAATTCAAATTTATAAAATTATTCTTAATATTACCTGCAGGTGCCATAGCTCTTTCTTTCAATGACATTCGTTCGTTAATTCTTTCAGCTCTTGTTTTGAATTTTGCGTCTTCAGCAAAAGTTCGCAAGATTTGTCGTCTTGGAACATTCTGTAGAGCACTTTTGAGGACAGAAGAGTGGATAATTGTGTTAGCGGTAACAAGTCGGGACAACATATTTGTTACGATGTTATTAAATTAAGTTTCAGTTAAATTTCTGAAATAAATATGGAAAGTTATGAAATTGTAAACAAATTTCTTCTAGAAGGTTCTCAGAATTTTTTATCATTGATTTAACTATCTAAGTCTTACTCGTTTTCCTTTCCCAAATGGTTATAAATAATTCAATGAGTTGCTTCGATTATATTCAATGTTACAGGATTGTTTTCAAGATACGATTAATTTAATTTCTATCTTTGCCCAAATATTTTTTCACTTCTTCGACCCCAACTCAATAACAAATACAGTTTTACATATAACTCTGTAGAGGGCTCTTATTTGCATTCAGTTTTGAATTCAGAACATATGTACGTTAAAAATTCATTAAATGGTTCATCTCTACCTGAAATAAATTCTTTGCTCCCATTTATAATATTAAAAAATTAATGAAATAGGTAATTGCTATTCTGATGCAAGAACATATCTATAACATGAGTATATTCAACTCTCTTTTTTAAAATTTACATGACTGCATTTGATTTCATTCACTTTAAAATTGAATAGAATACCCACATTGTTCAATAAGCTAATAAAGAAAAATTCTAAAATCTACTTTATATATTGAATGGTCATTTCTTAATTCGATTTAAATCCTTAGATATGATAGCAAAACAGCTGAAACTTTTCGTTTTTTATATTTTAAGACTTTTATCATTTTCCTTAGGTAGGTTTGATAATCCTTGTAATTTTGTTTTTATCAATAATTTATTTTTCTGTAAAAACTTGTGTAGCAGTCTTTTGACATTCAGTTTGAGTTGAAAACATGAAGCTTCTAGTGGCAATTTTATTAATAGGATTTTCCTACTCAGGGAATGCTTATATTAATCCACATTGGCGTGCCGGTACGTGTTCTTTTCAATGCTGAAAAAATTATTCACTTGACTTTAAATAAAAAAAATAATTAAATTCTCTTAGGACGAAGTGCTATGGTGCACCTCATGGATTGGAGATGGCCTGACATAGCAGCTGAATGTGAAAACTTTCTCGCTCCGAATGGGTTTGCTGGTGTCCAAGTATCACCAGCAAATGAACATAATGTTTTCGACGATGGCCGTTCATGGATGGAGCGCTACGGTCCCATAAGTTATATACTCACAACACGATCAGGAAACGAAGCAGCTTTTGCTGATATGACACGTCGATGCAATGCTGTCGGTGTGAGAATATACGTTGATGTTGTTTTCAATCATATGACTGGTTCTGGTGATACTGGGTCAGCTGGATCAAGAGCAAATCTAGCAACACGTGATTATCCTGCTGTTCCATATTCTGCTGAACATTTCAACCCAAGTTGTAACATTAATAACTGGAATAATGGTTGGGAGATAAGAAATTGCGAATTGCTTGGATTGCCAGACCTGAATCAAGGCCACGAATGGGTCCGTTCTAAAATTGTTGATTTTCTAAATCACTTAATTGATCTGGGCGTTGCTGGCTTCAGAGTTGATGCCATGAAGCATATGTAAGAATTGAAACTTTAATTAATAAGCTTGAATTAATTGATAAGATAATTTTATCAGGTGGCCAGGTGATTTAGAAGTTATTTGGGGTCGATTGAAAAACTTAAATACAAATTATGGTTTTGCACCCAATTTAAGACCGTTTGTTGTCGGAGAAGTTATCGCTGGGTTCAGCGTTGCTAATGACGGCTTTCTTGCGTAGGTTTCCACTAAGTCATTAATCTCTTTACAACTATACATTTTAAAAAAATATTTTTAAATTATAGGAGTGAATACTTTCATCTAGGAACAGTTACTGAATTCAGATTTTCTGAACAAATCTCTCGAGCTTTCAGTGGCGGAGATCTTTTGAAATGGTTGGGAAACTTTGGAGAAGGTTGGGGTTTTTGGCCGTCACAATATGCTTTAACATTCATCGATAATCATGGTTTTACTAATTGAATTCTTATACTTATTACATGAACATTGTAAATTATATCATCTATTGAATTACAGATAACCAACGTGACGGTCACGTTCTGACGTACAAAAACGGAAGATTATATAAGATGGCAACAGCTTTCCATCTCGCATGGCCATATGGTGTTCCAAGACTTATGAGTTCATTTGAATTTGTTCAACGTGACACAGGCCCTCCAAGAGATGCCGTTGGTAATATAGTAGCGCCTACATTTGATTCAAATGGTCAATGTAATAATGGCTGGGTTTGTGAACATCGTTGGCCACAAATTTATCGCATGGTACAGTTTAGGAATGCTGTTCAGGGAACATCTGTAAATAATTGGTGGGATAATGGTGGTAATCAAATAGCCTTTTCGCGTGGAAATCGTGGATTTATTGTATTTAATGGACAGTTCGGTGTTAACTTAAGTCAATCACTTCAAACTGGTCTACCAGCTGGAACTTATTGCGATATCGCAATGGGAGCGAAAGTTGGAAACACTTGCACAGGAGCATCAGTTGTAGTCGGTTCTAATGGTATGGCTTCAATATTTTTGAGTGCATCTGTTGCCGAGGGTTTCCTTGCAATTCATGCTGAATCAAAGTTATAAATTATAAAAAGGTGTTGCGATACTATTAACCACCTATTTTATTTTCAATACATAAGCACATACAAAACAAAAAATAATCTTTTATTGATAAGTCGTTCTATTTATAAATAAAAGTTTTACGTCTTCCTTAGTTTTCACAATTTCCAATAAAATAACGAATTATAGAATTTCAAACTTGTCGTGAGATTTCTAAAACGTAAGACAAAATATTTCAAAAATACAAATCCACACAAATAAAATTATTTTAAAATTTAGTATTTGTCTGTAATTTATTTTATTCAGCAGAAAAGGTTAATGATTACTTCATGAAAAAAGTATTCATTCAAAATAAAAGTGAAACAAACTTTAGATAAAAATTTCAAAACTTTATAGAAATTGTGTTTAAAATTTTGATTTTGTCTTAATTTTGATTCAATTCTGTGTAAATTTTTCACGAAGAAGCAAGTGCTAATCAAAACTTTCCAAAAAAACTTTTAAACTCCAGCAAATCAAACTTATCAGTTTTAGTTGAGTGTTTTATTCAAACTGCAACCATTGAGAGATATAAAAATAATGCCATTAAAAATGTTGAATAATCGGTAAGTGTGAAAATTGCATATATTCGTGAAATCTCTTTGTGACAGATTTTTACTTCGATTTTCGTTGTTTTATACCTTCTTTTCTGATTAAACGGATATTTTCCAGTATTTATCGTACTAAAGTAACATCTTAAAGGTGTTAAAGGTCATTTTATTTACTAATGTGAAGAATTGAGAGTAAAATTCATATATTGTCAAAGCTATCATCGTCATCCAATACGAGGAAACAATTCTGATAATAAAAAGCGAATGCGCATAACAATGACGCAAAATACACGCAAAACTTTTCTTTGTAAATTTTTCCGATTCCGAAAAAATTAAGTCTTAGACATTTTAATAGTCATAGAACAAAGTTAATGGTTGAAGGTCGTCCGTATATTAACTTAACATTAGTTTACTCTAATAACACAACAATCGTCAAATCATTTGATCCAAATATCTAGTTGAATTCTGCGCATTGCATTTGTATTAGTGATTTGAAATCTTTATTTTGTATGAGCTTTCTCACTGAGATTTTTCCAGAAATGTGAGAAGAAGAAACTTTGTGGCTCAAAATATTGAGTTTGTTACGGTTCACTATAAGAGCTCAAAACAAACTCTTATCATCCATTCTACAGAGATAATAGAAAGGCATAAACCTATATTTTTGCTTCATAAGCAAATAAAGCTCAATATTTTTTTTTTCATTCTTATCGTGAAATTGTCAAACTTGAGCTTAAATCATGAACATAATTTTTAAATGACTAATTTATAGCGATTTGCATTTTTATTTTGTTTTCACTTCATTGATTTATTTTCTATAATTTTTAATATGGAAAAAGCAAGAAAAAAAGAGACTTAAGAAGGAAAAAGTTGCATTTATCATTAAATTGTAGAATTTTTCCACCATTCTATCACGCCTTTGATTAAAATTCTAAGCATATTCCTTCCTTAAGAAACACATGAAAAATGAATGGAAATTTCCATTCGTAGCAACTGTAAAAGAGAAAGAACAAACTTTAATACATAATGAAAAAAAATTTAAAATATTCAGCTTCATGTATACATATAAGAAACATTACATGTAGTGGCACTGAGCAGCAATCTTTGTGGTTGCATAACTTACCATTTTCAATACCACAAAGCGGTGAAAAAGACCATCAAAATGATGACGAGCTGTAAAATTTTTATCTTATCAAAAAAGCCAACGGTATGATGATTTTCCAGATTTTCAATACGCTTTTCTAGGTTGTCGGTGATTTTAACCAATTGCTTTACAGCGCCAATGTTCTCCATAAATATTCTGTCCTGTAGTTTGTTTTTTCGATTGAAAATAAATAACAATTAAGCACCGAAAATGACAAGATGAAATGAATAATATTGACCTTGTTGACTTGCAGAAAGTTATCGATATTTGTTCCATTAGCAAGCCGAACATTGCCACCATTATGAACAGCATCGGGCAAAATATTTTTTAACTCTTGTGCAATTATTCCGGTATGATAAGTTTTACTGTCCAACTCATTATTACCAGCAAAGCTTTGATCGTATTGATACTTCACAATTCTTATTTGATTGATGTTCTCCAACTGATCTTTGCAGTTTAATTCACAAATATTGTTCTTGACACGCTCATCACTTGGTTGAATGATATGACCTGAAACTTTAACATTTCCATTTACGACAAGATACTCGTCTGGCATATCAGTGTTAATTCCAATCTTTCCTTGATAGAATATCGAATTTTGCGTAATTCCACGTTGCCAACAACACAAATCAACATCACCTTCGAATTGTCCTGGGTTAGAAGCTCGAACTATTATTCTTTCACTAGCATGTGATATTATTGGATAATATCCCGTGTAGGTGTGAGCGTTGAGGCCAACCACTAGTTGGAAATATCTTTGTTCAGGATTTGGTCGACCTTTTTTCCTCATATTATTGCACGTTGTTTCCGAGAAGTGAAGTCGACCTACAGTAATCTTTCCAACTTGACCATTTTGTAAATCAACACTTAAAAAATAACAACAGTGATAATTATGATAACATTTCCTTAATTATTTTTCGCTTACAGTACTGGATAAAAAGGTTTCTTTGATCGATCCGATTGTGACTGTTCAATGCGAATTGTTTGCGCTGGTGTTTCTAGCTTCACACCATAAAAATGCAAATGAAATGTTCTAACTTTCTCGAGCCCGGTCTGTGTTTTTACATAAATGCCATTACCATGAAGTTGAACATGACATGTAATTTGAAAATGATTTTTCTTTTGACAAACAAAGGCATCGTCCGAATTAGAAAAGTTAAAGCCTTTATCAGCATCAACACGGAAGTGCGGGATCGGTCTTCATAATAAGTAATAAAAGATATACAAAAAGAATGATTTTTTCCTGAGAAAACATCTATTAAATAACTTACAACTCTTGATGATTGTGATCTAACAGAGAATGCCATTGTTGTTGTTGAAAGACATTAAATCTTATACATTGAGTTTGAGATCCATCAGAGCCACTATCATTTCCTTTTGAAGTCATATTGTCAATATAGTTGTTATTTTTATTTTCATTGTTCTCTTCAAAAACTTCATTAGCTTTAGAACTCAATTGACTTTTCTTATCATTATTATTATTACTTTTCCTTCCAGTTGTAACAGTTTCGCTTATTTCATTAGTAGGCTGCACATGATGATGCTTTTTCTTGCTTTTAACTCCACCATAATGTTTTGCCGATTCTTTAAATGAATTAAATATTAAAAGGTTTATCGAACTATAAAATAAGTATCAACTTACTTGATTCTGGCTTTAAATAAGCTTTGAGACTGCCTTCTCTTTCTGAAACGAAAGATTGTAACAATCCCTTTCTCTTTTTTATATTACTTGTTGTTCCGCTTGTAATTTCTTGATTATTCAACTGAGTGGTAAAGTTATCTTCAATCATTTGAAGACTTTCATTTATGTTTCCTTGCAAACCTTGATGCATATCGTGAATTGCTGGAAGTGAACCAGTAGAATTCTCCATCTCAATTATTCCTTCTTTATACATGCGATTCCCAATTGATTGATTCTGATGATGGATGTGATTCAATTCTATGATTTGCCCACTCTGATTAACTTGATATAAAAGCATATGATCCTGAGGTGGTGCTTGTTGATGGTGATGTGATGGTAAAATTGTTCCATCGTGCTTGTTGCCATGCAATAAATTATTTATTTGTAAAAGTTGTTGCTGATGTTCGTTAGCGAGAAAAATTTCTGTTGATGGTGTCAATAAATTGTGATGATGCGGGACGTGAAGCTCAGTTAAAGTGTTCATGTTCATATTTCCTTGTGTCATATGTTGTTCCATTGGAAGATTCTGGTTGGCTTTGATATTAGGGCTATAAGGTGGTTCAGATCCGGAATCTGGTGGACTCTCAGGAAGGTTGGGCGTGTGTGTGATTTGGTTTGTCGCATCACCAGACGTTGGCTGAGTTGTTGATGAAGATGGTTGTACAACACTATTATTCTGTATGAAGGCTTCTAATTGTTCAAAGTCTAATGCTTCGTTGTCAATATTATCAAAGTCAGATCGACCTGACAAGAAAAAAAGAAGAAAATCCAGCAAACTAATGTGAAGAACGAAAACAAGAAATCAAGTTTTTCATTACCGAAATGAATCATTGCTGACGGAGTTCTCACAACAATAAGTCACAAGTTAAAGTTAATTTCTTTAGAAGTTTTTATATTGTTTCTTTTCTTTTTTAGTTTATTATCGTGCGAAAAATAAGCATTAACGATTTTTCTCGTGTTTATTTTGTTGAAGTTAAAGAAAAATTTGCATTCAAATAGGTTTCCCGTTGTCATAGAAGCGCATTGTCAATCATTAAAAATTTATTAGGTATTTTGTTATCACTAGCATTTTTTATGGCTCGATTATTGATTTAACAAATTTTCTTTCTATTTTTTTTTTCTTTTTCGGATTCGTGTGAAATTTTCACCCTATGAGGGATGAATAAATGTGTCGCTTTTTTGTAATTTAAAAAGAAAAATGATGACCTTTTTTAGCTTTGAAATTACGAAGAAACGAGTAAGAAAAAAACTCAAATTCGCATTTTGTTTTCAACTTTTGATGAAAATTTGAACACCGTTCAAGAAAGAATTTTAAAAAGGTGGTGAAAAAATTTATCACGTTTCAACTTCGTATGCAACTCAAAATTAGAACAAATTGATCTGAAATTTGAGCGGTTGTAAATATCACAATAATAATTTCAATGAAATCGAAAGAAAGTTTATAAAAATCCGTCTCACTTTAGTCTATGAAAACTTATAACAGACTGAGCTCCTTGGGGAATTTTTAAAGACTCACGACTGAAGGATTCATTAGAACCTTTTCCATATCGCCTGGCAGCAGATACTTTATTTATTTTACTAAGCAACGAATGACTTTGGAAGTTTATTATTTTGCGGTTTAACTTAGTGAAGCAGAAGAAATCCTAACTTTGTGCCTGAAATAAAATTCTAGGTGTAGTTTATTGAATTAATTTTTAACAATTTTTATTGATTTTAAATCCTTTGTTGTTAAGAAATTATCCAAAACTTCATCTTTGCTCATTTGAGCTTAATCTAAGTCTAGATGCTCAATACTTGATTTTATTCCAGACAAATTGTTTCTCGTAATTTTAGAAAAGTTTTTTTTTAATTTTCTTGTCTTGTGATAAAAGTTAAACTAAATAATGTTTTAAAAAATAGCTGAAGCATAGCAAGAGAATCTTTTGTCATTGTTTGTTATTTTTATCGATTTAATAACAAATACAATAATTGTGAGCTTTATAAAATTATTTTCATATTTAGTTAGGATTTGTGAGTTATGGCTTTCGGAAGCTTTCAAATGAAATTTCATTCCAAAGAATGTTAAAAATTAAGCTCTTATGAAATAATTTAGTAATTTACCTTTGTTGTCTGTATCAAACTTTCACATGTTAATTTATGACGACAAATTGAATTCAAATATTTAAATTTGGTAAAATTAATGATAAAAAAAATGAGATAAAGATCGATTAATTTTTTCAGACGAAAATTGCTTAAATATGAATTTCTTAAGGTCTGATAAGGATTTTTGCATATATCCAACATAATAATTTATTATATCGTTATTAAATTACTTTAACGTTTCTTCAGTGTTCGTAATTCATTTTTATCCTTCATGAGTCATGAATCACGACCTTGAAAAATGCTTAACTCAAGCATTGTGAAGGTTTGATGGAGAAGGAAACGAAAAATCGATGAGACTTTCATTCAAAAAATTAAAAAAATGTCTTTTTGCTTTCATTCTCTTTCGATTCGATGTAATTCAACGATAGTCAAGAACGTAGTAAAATTTGATTTTATGTTTTATCGTCTAGGGATATCTACTTGAATTATAGATCTTATCAAATACAATCTGGCGGTATGTAAAATTGATGACGTAATGATGAATTTAGTAATTCAATTCGCTTGGTTTTTCTTCATTATTTACATTAAAATATTTTCATTCGAATTTTTGAAGATAAAATGACGACAAAAATTTGTTTATTATTTTTATTCATTCCGTTTGTTTGTTTTGTCGATGTGAATGAATGAGAGAAATGTTTATCAACCTGTTATTATAAATACTTAGCTCACATTTCTACTCTCAGTTTCTAAGTAAAATTTATATCTACGCCTTATATTTATTTCAACGTTTTTAACGCTTTTGTATGTCATGATACAAAGCAGTTTTGTTTAGATAATAGAATTTTTCACATATTTAGAATGTTGCGAGAATGTTCAAAGAGACCTTTCGAGAAACGAAGGGCAAGCAAAACAAGCTTCAATTTCTTAGCGCTTCAATTGGAAACTCATCAACGTTTTTGGGTTTTTGCCAATCATAAGATAGAATGACGTTAAGAGTGCAATATCGTGTTCTTATTTGGAATTTAGCATTAAAATTATTTCACTCATTAATTCTTTAGATTTGAGTCTGCCGAGAAATTTGCTACATCCTACATTTAATTAAGCGATTCAAGTCAAATTCTACAGCAACTAAATACATATCTACATGTATAGTCGTTTTTTTTTGTTTGTTTTGATTTTTTTTTCGAGTGGGACGACGAAAATTATTTTGGGATCAGAAAGAAAATTTGATGTTGTCGTGGATTCCGTTGCCGCAAATATCTCTATTTCAATCCGCTTGTGGTTTTAAGTTTTTTTTTTCCTTTGTAACTAGAGACAATAATTTATTTAATTAGCATCACACGCTGTGTGTATCATGATCAATTTTAAATGTTTGATGTTAATCATAATCTACATACCTTAGTATTCAAAGTTAAACAATATTGATTCTGGTTGTTGCGTTGCAAAAATAAGCGAGCATTGATCCTCAATTTCAACTACTGTGACAGTTTCGGCGAAAGTAACTTCTTATTTCTATTATTCTGCCATTTATTTCATTCATATTCTATCATAAAAATGATGTAGATTGATGATTTCCTTTTAGAGTTCAGACCATTTTATGATGTCAAAGACAATAATTGTTTGGAATATCGTGAGAAACATATGACGATGAGCTTTTTTGCTGACACGAGGATAAAAGTAAACGGAAGAGTTCGTGTGTTTATATTTGTATCGAGAAACCGAACTGTTTAACAACAACAACTCTCATAACTCGGAAAAGCGTCGTTCAGTTTTTCTACTTCTCAGTCGACATTTAGGCGTACTGAGAGACAGATTGGTCTCGAAAGAGATTCTGATAAAGTCGGAAAATCAGAGAAAATAAAGGAAATAAATTACGGAAAATTGTTGTGATTAGATAGACAACAAGAAAACCATTGAAAGATATATTTTATTTCTTCCGAGGTTGAACTGAATTTCCTTGTGTCATTTTGTCTTTAAATTAACTTAAATTAAAAGAGAGGAACAATAAATTTTCGTGCCTTTCGTTTTCCTCATTCTTAATTGGTAATTTTCTTTATTTAATTGCTAATTGTTCTGAATGCAAAAATTCTTCTCGATTTTATTTTATTAATTTCTTAACACAAACTTGAAATATTTTTTAAACTGAAATTAAAAATATTCTTTAAATATAATTGCAGTGAGCCATTAAGTAGTAGTGGTAATTGTGAACCATCAAGTGACGAATTAATGATGTCTGGAAACAACAACAAGCGCACCTACTCTACTTCCAGCACTTCATCGGTTATGTCGAGCTCTTTTTGTGTCACGCTCGGTGTAGGTCCGCTGTGGTGCTCCTGATGTAATTACTAAAGAAAGAACCGATCATGATAAGGCGCCATTTATAGTTGATTACGCTCGCAAGACATCTTTTGATTCCGTTTCGGAATCATCATCTGATGTTGATTTTTCTGAACATGCCGAACATCATTCATCATTTATTGACGAGGAGATTGAAGACGAAGGTGGAAAGAAGCAAAAAGTTAACAGTGTTGAAAGAAACGATGACACTGACAGTGAAAGTGATGATGAAGATGATCTCATCTCACAAATTGTATCACAAAAAGCACCAACACGTATCACTATCAAACTCAATGTAACTGATAAAATTTCATCAAGTTGGGATTCGGTGAGTTAATTAAACTCAAAACAAAACCTTTTTTATATTTCATGTTTTTATATTTTTATAGGTCTTAGACCATGGCAATAACATCTTATACGTAGTTTTGCCAAAGACTTTAACACACGAAGCCAGCAAGCAGTCATTTCTATCTCTTTTGGAATTTGCTGAAGAGAAATTAGAATGCGACGGTGTTGTGTTGTGCATTCGTAAAGATCGTCCTGATCGTGCGAATTTGGTAAAAACTTTTATGTTTTTGGGATTTTCTCCATTACACCCCAAGTCGCCATTGGCTCCTCCACAACAACAAGGACATAATGATGAACATCTTTTTCTGATCTACAACATTGAGGATTAGAAACAAACAAAAGCTTTTTGCAAAACTTCAAAAAAAAATAGATTTCACTTCAAAATATTTCGCACAAAGCAAAATAAAAATTGATTTATAATCAGTCATGTCATCATCAGAAGAATTGTCGCAAAAAAAAATATCGTCAACATTTTAATGTCGTAGTGAATGTAATCAACTTTAAAAGTTCTTAGCGCTTTAGCAAGTATCCAGAAAAAAAAGAAAAAATACAAAAAAAATATAAAAAGTGGCCGAAAATCAAAAAAAAAAAGTTAAATCAAGTTTAATATTTTTCATTCTTTTTCAATTATTTAACTAATCAATGGAAACAGGAAGGAAAAGTTCTTTAATATCATCTATACACACAAAAAAATAAAAATTTTAATTAATTAATTTTCCCGTGACAGTTGCAAAAATTTATTAATCTTTATTAAACTATTTTTATTATAGAGTTGTCTCATTCCCGTTTCCAATTTTTCAAGTTTATAAAAAATAATTAAATTAAAAATATTTCAATATGCTGAATATTTACGAAAGTAAGAAAATTCTATCAAAAGAAGGGAAAATGTCAAATGATTCTTCACATTTGGGTGCATAACAAATCGCAAGATTGCTCCCGACGGCTAAAACAAAAGAATAAGCTTATAAAATCAAGTATTGTCATCATATGAATATTTGAAACAGAGATGTCAAACATTATTGTTGGATAAGAAACAATTCAATTTAAATGTGAAAAACACCTCAACTTAAATTTTTAGAAAAAAGTTTTCTTATGTTTCTTAATAGTTTTCCTAAAATATTCATGGGATGCACTGCATAAATGGAAGATATCAAATCAAAACTTCTTATTATTATCATCTAATCAATATCAACAATATATGTAAACAGATTATTATTACTATTATTATTATTTTTATCAATATTTTGTAATTCATTCTATCAAATAAAAATTTATTATTGGATCAAGAAGAGAAAAAAGTAAGAAATAAAAAGCTATAGCTACACAAAAAAGAATTGGTTTTTTCATCTGATAAATCAGTTATTGATTGACTTACTTGATGACGATTTACTTTACTTTTCAGTTAACTGAATTAGCAATTCATTCATATCCAATGAACAACCTGGAATATTTGATAATGGAGCATATGAATAGAAACAAAATTTTAAGTGTGATAAAAATTTATTAACTTATTTATTTGCTTGAATATTAAGAAATTCATAAAAAATTTTTTTTTGTTGGTCTTCGTTTTAAAACTAAGTAGATAATATTAACTGTGATTGAAAGAAGTAAGAAACTCAAAACTCAAGCTCAACAGGATACTTTCCTGTTAAACATGCTGTACAATGCCCAACTTTCGACTTGTTCTTACTCTTAAGATTTGTTCTTACAGCACGAATGAGTCCATCAACCGATAAGTAAGCCAAACTATCAGCACCAACATGTTTAGCGAGTTCCTGTGGGTTCATATGATTTCCAATCAGTTCTTGCTTTGTGGGAATATTAATTCCCATATAGCATGGATACAAGAGTGGCGGTGAAGCAATGCGAATGTGAACTTCTTTAGCTCCAGCATCTCTGAGCAATTTAATGATAGGTCCAATGGTGTTTCCCCTCACAATTGAATCATCAATCAAAATTAATCGTTTACCAGCAACATTTTCGGACAATGCTCCAAATTTCTTCGCAACACCAAGTTGACGAAGTCGAGTTGATGGTTGAATGAATGTTCGTCCCACATAACGATTCTTGCATAAAACTTCAACAAAAGCAATTTTTGATTCACGTGAAAAGCCGTGAGCTGCTGCTGTTCCTGATTCTGGCACTGAACTTACAATGTCAGCTTCAACAGGCGCTTCAATTGCTAGTTGACGTCCACATTCCATTCTCACAGTGTACACCATTTGACCTTCAAAGATTGAGTCAGAACGAGCAAAGTAGACATACTCAAAAATGCAAAAAGCTTGTGGAAGAATTCGATTAGATTCATCACGTGGCCGTTCCACAATATCGATTGTTCTAACACCATCTTGTGTCAATTCAACAATTTCTCCAGGTTCAACTTCTCGTTCATAACGTGCACCGATTGATAAGAATCCACATGATTCACTTGAAATCACCCAACCGTCGGTATCATCATCATTCATATGATTGTGATAACCATTTCCATTGATGAAGCTATTGCCATTGGTGATTCCACTATTTTTTGATGATTCACGACTCTTTAATGGAACGATTCGACCAATGCAAAGAGGACGGTTACCATAAGGATCTCTGACGCCATAAATTTTATCTTTCATCATGATGACGAGGGAATAACTGATTTTTGTTAATTTCATTAAATGTTTGATTCTTGCGGGCCAATCGGGTCCGTTGATTTCACCGTCGGGGGGGTTGACGCACAAAGATTGTGTGATNTTTGATTTTATTTTATCTTTATTTAAATGTTAATTTATTAAAATAGAGGGCCTGATGAAGAAGCCAACAAGCTTCGAAACGTTGCCAACTTCACAAAAATAAACAAGTAAAAACCTTCCGACTGAAAGCCAAAACACCTCGTTTCATTTAATTATCAACCAGTCGTAGAATCACCAAATAATTATTATCTGTTATGGCGAATTACACATATTTTCAAACAATGGAAACACTATTCGGAATTGAAGGAAAACGCATCATGAAAGAATATTGCAACATATCAACAAAACACGCGAACACATTGACAGCAAAAGAGTTTTTGATTTCATGTCGAAGAAATGTCGTTACACCTAGACATATTCATGATGATATTATAAAATTATCATCAAGAATGATCAGTGAGGGTCCATTTATCAACAAATGGAGACGTGTTATGGAAAAGCTCGAGCGTGACATGTTAAATATCGAAATAGAAGAAAAATTTTATCGGATTAAGATGCTGAACAATGAGCTAAGATCTTCATTAGAAAATATTTATTCATTTTTTCCAAGTCAAGTTTTCTCAAACTTTCTCAACACACAGACTGAAAATAACAACAAACAAATCATTAATCTCAGGAATAAACATGCAAAGAAGCTTGAAAATTTAATAAGAAAAAGAGACTCATGCATTGACAATACGAAGAACCACGATTGGGTTTGTAATTTATCTCGAATACAAATTCCTAATCGAGTAAAAACTATGATGAGTTATGGCCCAAAGTTCTCGATTCCTCCTGAAAAGAACGAGTTATCATGGCCCAGATTAATAAGTGAAGTAGAGTCAGTAGTCGGTGCAGTCAAGGGTGAAGAGAAGGACGAGTTAAGAATGAATATGGTGAATATTTTGAAAAATTATAAACAAACTCCAGTAATGAGAGATGCACCTTTGATGATGAATCTGAAACAAAGCTTCAAAGAAACACAAAAATTCATGAAAAGAAACAATGAAACAATTATGCTTCTTCCTGCAGACAAAGGTGGCAAATCAGTGATCATCCCAAAGGATGAATACAAGACGCAAATGGATCAATTGGTGAGTGACAGTTCCACTTATAAAGAAGTCAAATATGACCCCACAAATAGACATCAAACGAGAAGTAACGACCTCGTTAGAGAACTGTTTGTTGAAGGATATATTGAAAAAAGGGAGAAATTTGCATTATGCAGATATAATTCAATACCTCCTCGAATTTATGGTCTTCCAAAAATTCATAAATTGTCAACAACTGATAACGACACACGAGAAATGTTAAAATTTCGTCCAATTGTATCTTGCACTAACAGCCCCTTGTTTAATCTTTCCAAATACATGAGTACAATTTTATACAGCGCCATGGATCATGAGAAGTACAACGTAAAAAATTCTTTTGAGTTGAAAAACTTAATTGAAGAAGTAACGATTCCGGATGGTTACAAGTTGGTGTCGTTTGATGTCACTTCTCTATTCACGTGTATTCCATCACAGTTAGTCGTTGATATCATCGAAAAACGTTGGGAAGATATGACGCAATACACACATATCGAAAAAGATTTGTTCATAAGAATAATTGAACACATTCTTGGAAACAGTTTCTTTAAATATGATGGCAGATTTTTCTTACAACAATTGGGATCACCAATGGGCGATCCTTGTTCGCCAATACAAGCTGATCTCGTTCTCGACGATCTCCTAGATTGGGCTTGTAAAAAACTGCAATTTAACATCCCATTGATAAAGAAATATGTTGATGACTTGCTTCTTATTTTACCCAATGATAAGATCAACGAAGTACTTAATGTATTTAATAATTACAACCAACATATCAAATTTACGGTAGAAGAAGAAAATGATGCTGGTGAACTCCCATATCTGGACATGCTGTTGAAACATGAGATGGATGGCAGCATAAGTACGAGATGGTATCAGAAACCGCTTGCTTCAGGCAGGATTTTGAATTATTTTTCTTACCACCCAATCTCGATGAAACTTAATACTGCCACAAATTTAATTCGAAGAATCTCTCAGCTGTCATCAGATGGATTCAGTGTGAGGAACAAGAAAGTCGCAATGAACATTCTCAAGGCTAATAATTTCCCATCTTCTCTAAGTAAGAAATTGTGGGCCAAAGCAGAGTGTTCGTCGAATACTCAAAAAGAACATGAAGAAAAACCTCCACGAATTTACAGAAGCTTTACTAACATCCCAGTGGTTACAGGAAAGATTCAGAAGATCATCAATACGAAACTACCAACATACAACATAAAAATCGCTCCGAAGAACATAAAAACTGCAAGAAATTTCTTTAGTCGGCCGAAAGACAAGATCAGTACCAGCCAAGAATCTAATGTCATTTATGGATTGCGATGCTCTTGTGATAAAAAATATATTGGACTTACCACCCGATATAAAAAAGAAAGAAAAGCTGAACACAGAAGAGAGCACAATCAAGCCAGAGAAATGAAACTGACTCTTCCTTCTGATCACCCGGAATGGGAGAAAGTCAACAAAAAATGCACTGCTCTTGTTAAACATGTCATTGATACCGATCATCAATTCAACTTTGAAGATATGGAAACAATTGATAAAGGCAAACATTGGAACGAATTAAAAATACTCGAGATGATTCATATCAAACTTGGAGGCGATCAAACCGTAAATCTCAAGAGTGATGTTGACAATTTACATTCAATTTACAACGCATTGCTGTAACTGAATTGAAGATTCTAAATCTAAAACTTTCACACCCCTGTAAGAATTTATGTGTTTACGTTTCGCAAAAATTTTAAAATCAAAGTTCAAGTTAGTTTTTTACTGTGATAATCAAGATATGTTAGGTAGATTTTATGTCAGAAGCTTCCGTAAAGTTTCAATAATTAATTTTAATATGTTTATAGAGTTAGAAAAGCTGCAAGATTTCCAACAAATGTAAAATTTATGACAAAATTTTCTTGACGTTACATTGTTGTTGTAGTAAGTTTTTTAATCATTTTAAATAGTGTTTATATATGTTTGATTTTAATTCATCTTTATTTAAATGTTAATTTATTAAAATAGAGGGCCTGATGAAGAAGCCAACAAGCTTCGAAACGTTGCCAACTTCACAAAAATAAACAAGTAAAAACCTTCCGACTGAAAGCCAAAACACCTCGTTTCATTTAATTATCAACCAGTCGTAGAATCACCAAATAATTATAATCAATATTAAANTAAAAGTAAACGGAAGAGTTCGTGTGTTTATATTTGTATCGAGAAACCGAACTGTTTAACAACAACAACTCTCATAACTCGGAAAAGCGTCGTTCAGTTTTTCTACTTCTCAGTCGACATTTAGGCGTACTGAGAGACAGATTGGTCTCGAAAGAGATTCTGATAAAGTCGGAAAATCAGAGAAAATAAAGGAAATAAATTACGGAAAATTGTTGTGATTAGATAGACAACAAGAAACCCATTGAAAGATATATTTTATTTCTTCCGAGGTTGAACTGAATTTCCTTGTGTCATTTTGTCTTTAAATTAACTTAAATTAAAAGAGAGGAACAATAAATTTTCGTGCCTTTCGTTTTCCTCATTCTTAATTGGTAATTTTCTTTATTTAATTGCTAATTGTTCTGAATGCAAAAATTCTTCTCGATTTTATTTTATTAATTTCTTAACACAAACTTGAAATATTTTTTAAACTGAAATTAAAAATATTCTTTAAATATAATTGCAGTGAGCCATTAAGTAGTAGTGGTAATTGTGAACCATCAAGTGACGAATTAATGATGTCTGGAAACAACAACAAGCGCACCTACTCTACTTCCAGCACTTCATCGGTTATGTCGAGCTCTTTTTGTGTCACGCTCGGTGTAGGTCCGCTGTGGTGCTCCTGATGTAATTACTAAAGAAAGAACCGATCATGATAAGGCGCCATTTATAGTTGATTACGCTCGCAAGACATCTTTTGATTCCGTTTCGGAATCATCATCTGATGTTGATTTTTCTGAACATGCCGAACATCATTCATCATTTATTGACGAGGAGATTGAAGACGAAGGTGGAAAGAAGCAAAAAGTTAACAGTGTTGAAAGAAACGATGACACTGACAGTGAAAGTGATGATGAAGATGATCTCATCTCACAAATTGTATCACAAAAAGCACCAACACGTATCACTATCAAACTCAATGTAACTGATAAAATTTCATCAAGTTGGGATTCGGTGAGTTAATTAAACTCAAAACAAAACCTTTTTTATATTTCATGTTTTTATATTTTTATAGGTCTTAGACCATGGCAATAACATCTTATACGTAGTTTTGCCAAAGACTTTAACACACGAAGCCAGCAAGCAGTCATTTCTATCTCTTTTGGAATTTGCTGAAGAGAAATTAGAATGCGACGGTGTTGTGTTGTGCATTCGTAAAGATCGTCCTGATCGTGCGAATTTGGTAAAAACTTTTATGTTTTTGGGATTTTCTCCATTACACCCCAAGTCGCCATTGGCTCCTCCACAACAACAAGGACATAATGATGAACATCTTTTTCTGATCTACAACATTGAGGATTAGAAACAAACAAAAGCTTTTTGCAAAACTTCAAAAAAAAATAGATTTCACTTCAAAATATTTCGCACAAAGCAAAATAAAAATTGATTTATAATCAGTCATGTCATCATCAGAAGAATTGTCGCAAAAAAAAATATCGTCAACATTTTAATGTCGTAGTGAATGTAATCAACTTTAAAAGTTCTTAGCGCTTTAGCAAGTATCCAGAAAAAAAAGAAAAAATACAAAAAAAATATAAAAAGTGGCCGAAAATCAAAAAAAAAAAGTTAAATCAAGTTTAATATTTTTCATTCTTTTTCAATTATTTAACTAATCAATGGAAACAGGAAGGAAAAGTTCTTTAATATCATCTATACACACAAAAAAATAAAAATTTTAATTAATTAATTTTCCCGTGACAGTTGCAAAAATTTATTAATCTTTATTAAACTATTTTTATTATAGAGTTGTCTCATTCCCGTTTCCAATTTTTCAAGTTTATAAAAAATAATTAAATTAAAAATATTTCAATATGCTGAATATTTACGAAAGTAAGAAAATTCTATCAAAAGAAGGGAAAATGTCAAATGATTCTTCACATTTGGGTGCATAACAAATCGCAAGATTGCTCCCGACGGCTAAAACAAAAGAATAAGCTTATAAAATCAAGTATTGTCATCATATGAATATTTGAAACAGAGATGTCAAACATTATTGTTGGATAAGAAACAATTCAATTTAAATGTGAAAAACACCTCAACTTAAATTTTTAGAAAAAAGTTTTCTTATGTTTCTTAATAGTTTTCCTAAAATATTCATGGGATGCACTGCATAAATGGAAGATATCAAATCAAAACTTCTTATTATTATCATCTAATCAATATCAACAATATATGTAAACAGATTATTATTACTATTATTATTATTTTTATCAATATTTTGTAATTCATTCTATCAAATAAAAATTTATTATTGGATCAAGAAGAGAAAAAAGTAAGAAATAAAAAGCTATAGCTACACAAAAAACAATTGGTTTTTTCATCTGATAAATCAGTTATTGATTGACTTACTTGATGACGATTTACTTTACTTTTCAGTTAACTGAATTAGCAATTCATTCATATCCAATGAACAACCTGGAATATTTGATAATGGAGCATATGAATAGAAACAAAATTTTAAGTGTGATAAAAATTTATTAACTTATTTATTTGCTTGAATATTAAGAAATTCATAAAAAATTTTTTTTTGTTGGTCTTCGTTTTAAAACTAAGTAGATAATATTAACTGTGATTGAAAGAAGTAAGAAACTCAAAACTCAAGCTCAACAGGATACTTTCCTGTTAAACATGCTGTACAATGCCCAACTTTCGACTTGTTCTTACTCTTAAGATTTGTTCTTACAGCACGAATGAGTCCATCAACCGATAAGTAAGCCAAACTATCAGCACCAACATGTTTAGCGAGTTCCTGTGGGTTCATATGATTTCCAATCAGTTCTTGCTTTGTGGGAATATTAATTCCCATATAGCATGGATACAAGAGTGGCGGTGAAGCAATGCGAATGTGAACTTCTTTAGCTCCAGCATCTCTGAGCAATTTAATGATAGGTCCAATGGTGTTTCCCCTCACAATTGAATCATCAATCAAAATTAATCGTTTACCAGCAACATTTTCGGACAATGCTCCAAATTTCTTCGCAACACCAAGTTGACGAAGTCGAGTTGATGGTTGAATGAATGTTCGTCCCACATAACGATTCTTGCATAAAACTTCAACAAAAGCAATTTTTGATTCACGTGAAAAGCCGTGAGCTGCTGCTGTTCCTGATTCTGGCACTGAACTTACAATGTCAGCTTCAACAGGCGCTTCAATTGCTAGTTGACGTCCACATTCCATTCTCACAGTGTACACCATTTGACCTTCAAAGATTGAGTCAGAACGAGCAAAGTAGACATACTCAAAAATGCAAAAAGCTTGTGGAAGAATTCGATTAGATTCATCACGTGGCCGTTCCACAATATCGATTGTTCTAACACCATCTTGTGTCAATTCAACAATTTCTCCAGGTTCAACTTCTCGTTCATAACGTGCACCGATTGATAAGAATCCACATGATTCACTTGAAATCACCCAACCGTCGGTATCATCATCATTCATATGATTGTGATAACCATTTCCATTGATGAAGCTATTGCCATTGGTGATTCCACTATTTTTTGATGATTCACGACTCTTTAATGGAACGATTCGACCAATGCAAAGAGGACGGTTACCATAAGGATCTCTGACGCCATAAATTTTATCTTTCATCATGATGACGAGGGAATAACTGATTTTTGTTAATTTCATTAAATGTTTGATTCTTGCGGGCCAATCGGGTCCGTTGATTTCACCGTCGGGAGGATTGACGCACAAAGATTGTGTGATTAATTCAGAATCGCTGTGGGTTGAAAGACCAACACCACGTCCAAGTACAGCTGTTCTCAAACTCTCACAGTTTACAAGTTCACCATTATGTGCCAAGGCGATCGGTCCTTGTGCTGTGTGAACAACAAAAGGTTGACAATTTACTTCTTCTGATGCCGCTGAAGTAGAATAGCGTGTGTGACCAATCCCGAGATTTCCTTTCAGCTTTTTGATACTTTCATCAGTAAAAATGTTATTGATCATTCCCATTCCTTTATGAATGTTGAAATTTTTTGAGTCGTTACCTTCACTAGTAACAATGCCGGCTGATTCTTGACCACGATGTTGCAATGCAACAAGACCAAGGCATACAGTTTGTGCGATATCAACCTGAAAGTACCAAAATTCATTATAATCAATATTAAATTTAGGGAAATCATTTCTAGTTAATCAATAACTCACATTTGTAGGCCATTTTCCTGTTCCAACAACACCAAAGACTCCACACTCATGTGTCAGGCCACTATCAACTGCACCTCGTCCAAATCTTTTCCCTTTAATCTCAAGTTTTTCCATTGCCTTAGTTGTTTTTGTTTCGAGTTCAGATTTGTTATGTTGCATTATTGTTTTTTGTGACGTCTTTGAAAGAAACAAATGATAATTATTAAAATATTAACGCTGAATTTTTTATTTCTATAAAAAGCATCATAACAAAGATTAAGTTTGAAGCCTTTAAATGCATCATCACTTTTCTCTTTTTGTTGTTCACATTCTTCATTGAACGAGCTTGTTTTTGATTCATGTCGATTCATCAAGGCAACGAGTTTAAGGTGAAATGATTATTATGATAAGAACACGCGTATAAACAACATGCGACCACTGACGTATGAGGGAGCGTCTTCCGTGATGCAATTTTGACCTCAATTTCTTTTTTATTTAACATTTAAAAACAAAATATTCATTGCCGAAGCGATAGATTCCAATTAAGTTTTAAGAAAGAATTTTGTTAAAGAAAATTATCATCTATTTCTGCACATTTTGATTGCTTTGTTTATATTCTTCTTTGATTATATTCTTAAAATTTTGATATGGTGTGTTAAAAATGATGTCATTTTAAAACTTAAACGATATTAAAATATTTTCTTAATCTGTAAAGTTCTTTTAAAAACTCATGACCCACATTCTATTTCATACACAAATATTTCTTATCACAATAATCAATAAAATCATTTAAAATATTATTGTAAACAAATTTACAAAAGCCACTCAAATTCACTTTAAAACAGAATATGTAAATTTATATTGGCAAGCCAATCTAGACATAATAAAAACTTTGGATGACTTTTTCACAGATTATAAATTTAAAGATTAAATCACATGTTCCAAAATATTTCAAGAATTTTTTGACTGACATCACGAGACGAATTACCTACATATTAATTTATTTCTTCTTTTCTGATAACGTTGAGAATCAGTAAGCTAATTAAGAAGAACCTTATAGATATTTTATTATTGAAATACGAATCGAAAATAATCTACATACCTACAAAATTTTTATTAATAATATTGAAAAGCTGCGATCTGATCGAGTGTTATCAGTTTAATAGCTTCATGAGTACTGAATTGAATAAATTAAGGAAAGAGAATGTATTGTCGATTCAAAGATTAATGTTGATTTTCACGTCTCAAAATTTAATATTATGTATATGGAAAAGTAGAAATAAGCAAGGGATAACAATGTGAATGTACACTTTTAAACAGATTTGAACTGAGAAAAATATCTCCTTCAGGTTCTCTTGCTATGATCCCTTCAATGCCTCCCTGTTGAAGTTGTTTTACACACGCATAGCTCATGACCTGTTGAATGGGATGGTTCCACACATTTTTTTGGCAATGTTAGTTAAATAATACTTTAAAGTGACTCACAGACACTACTTATATAAACATATTTATAAAGAAGCACATGGCAAGATATTTATTTTCATCTTTTACCTTTTATTATTGAAATCTCATTCTTAATAACGATCCTGGTAATTTTCCATCTTTAAACTGAAAGTTCAAAGTCTTTCACTTGTTGCAGTTATAATAAAAAAACAAAATATTAAAAAGAAGGGAATTTATTTAAACTGAAAAACTATGTTCGTACTTTATTAATATCAAACTATGATCAGAGACTTTTGTTAATTGTGTTTGTGTGTAGAAATTTATTCTACTATATATAGTCTATACAATATAAATACCTACACCTAATACATTTACAGAATTAAAGAATATATAAATATACATCAAAAGCAAGAATTATACGAAAAAGGTTTCTCGTTTAATCAGCCATTCATTCTGTATCAACGTTCGGTATTGAAAGTGTGACTTCTGAATTTAATTTTTAGACATCCTTTGTAAATTTTGTTATTAAAAGAAAATGAGTGCCATTAAAGGTAAGAAGTAGTGCAACAATTATTTGAATATTCCATGTAGGTATATTTACAGCGCTTACGTCGAATATCAAAAATTTGCCGGTATCTTAGTCTAGTCATGTTGTATAAAAAAATTCTTAATAAAAGTATTCGTAAAATGAACAAAGTGATTGACAGTTTAGTTTCTGGCTTCACTGAGACTGTTGTTAAGTAGTAAATCACTGATCTTTTATGACCTTTTCAGTTGGAGATTACGAACTCGGAAAACTTTTAAATGAAGGAAAAACAAAGCAAATCTTTGACCTTCCTGATCATCCTGGATTAGTTTTGCTTATGAATAAGGATAGAATATCGGCTCATAATGGAGTGAGAATGGATGATATGGAAGGGAAAGCCATGATATCAAATCAGACAAATGCGAAAGTTTTTGAACTTCTCAATTTGGCTGGTGTGAAAACAGCGTTTGTAAAACTGGCTTCGGAAAAAGCTTTTTTGGCACGTAAATGTGAAATGGTTCCTATTGAATGGGTGACACGACGATTAGCTACTGGTTCATTTCTCAAGAGAAATCCTGGAATTAATGAAGGTTTCCGTTTTGCACCGCCGAAACAGGAAACATTCTTTAAAGATGACGCAAATGATGACCCGCAATGGAGCGAAGAACAAATAATATCAGCAAAATTTAATGTAAACAACTTGTTGATTGGTAAGTTATAAAAATATATTTTGATCAATAAATAATCGTCATTTATTGTCAGCGAAAAGTGAAAAGGTTAGAATGCCAACTGATAAGAATTTTTTTTTTCTGTAGGGTCTGATGAGGTTGACATCATGCGTCAAACTACAATCTTGGTGTTCGAAATTCTTGAGAAAGCATGGAACACTCGTAATTGTGCTCTCGTCGACATGAAAATTGAGTTCGGCGTTGACGAAAATGGAGAAATCCTGGTTGCAGATGTCATTGACTCTGATTCATGGAGATTGTGGCCATCGGGAGACAAACGTTTGATGGTTGATAAGCAGGTTTACAGAAATCTTTCACAAGTTACGAGCAGTGCTTTGGAAACTGTGAAACGAAATTTTCAATGGGTTAGTGAACAACTTGATAACATCGTTCCGAAGTCGGATCATCTTGTTGTGATAATCATGGGTTCAGCAAGTGACAAAGAACATTGTCAGAAGATAGCGAAACATTGCAACGATTTGGGACTCAATGTTGAGATGCGCGTTTCTTCAGCTCACAAAGTTACTAAAGGAACACTCCAAATAGTCTCTGAATATGAAGGGGTTGTTAACAATTTGGTTTTCATCACAGTCGCTGGCCGCTCTAATGGATTAGGTCCAGTATTATCGGGTAACACATCATTCCCCGTCATCAACTGTCCACCGGTCAACAGCAACAACTTGAATATAGATTTATGGTCATCTATTAATTTACCCTCGGGCTTGGGTTGCGCTACTGTTATTTATCCTGAAGCTGCTGCCTTAAATGCTGCTCAAATTTTGGGAATAACAAACTTTATGATATGGTCAAAATTGAGAGTTAGAATGATAAATAATTTGATTGGTTTGAAGAAGGCTGATCGTGAAATTCGTGGAATTCAAGAGGCTTAAAGCTTCATACCATTTCCTTTTTTCTGAATATTTTTTTACATTCGTTAAAGTTCAACCCTATTTGTGTTTCCAATGTTTTAATGTTTTAATAATTTCAAATAAAATTAATGGAATTTATTATTTGACTTTGTATTTTGTTGCAATTATGCAGTAAATGTTTCTGTTATTCAGTTCTTCAATTTAAATTGTCTTAGCAAAGCTTTAATCGATCTTACATACTTATATAATAGAATAGTTTATGAAATAAGTTTAAATTTACAGAATTAAAAATTTCCGTTGAAACGAAGGATTTGAACTCAAAAGTAAAGTTGACTGCCCCTCTGAAAATCAAAACATTAGAAAAATATCTTTTAAAAAAAACATGTCTTTAAAAACAATAAGCTCACGTTTTTATAAGCTTGAGATGCCTAAAAGATTTAAAGGTACAATTGTAGAAAGATGGGCAAATTATTGGAAAGGATTAGCAAGAGATTATAAAGGTAAACTAGTTATTTTATAAAATTAATAATTGCCGTCTCGTTTATGATAATAATTTTTAATATTTTTAGAAGTTGCTATCGATTCCGCCAAGACAATTCGAGGAAATAGAGTCAAGTCGACAGTTTATGGATTATCTGGTGTTTTTTTATATTCATGTTATAAAACAAATCCAGACTACAGAAGTTTCAATGAACAGTTGAAAAAGTCAGAGCAGATGGTTTCACTGGTGTCACCAGATTGCCAAAATTTAGTAGCAACAGAATATCTCAAGTTATTGGAACGGAGTAGAAACAATGAAAGTCTAAGAACGACATCATTAGGATTTTTTTCAATTATGTGGATCGACAATAATTCTTCAAATCTGTCTACATACGAAGCAAAATGCGATTATCTTAAACCTGATTATCAACATTTCCATGAGAGAATAATTGATATAGGCTTTTGGAGGAATTGGTGGAATTTAACTAGAAAACTCAAAGATTATGATGTTAATTACTAACTGTTCATTGCGCAATGCTGTAAACTTGTTAGGGTTTATTGAATTAAAAATTACTTAGATAATCTATTCGGCAACATTTGTTTTTGATCAATTTTATTTCGAATTTTGTGAATTTCAGATACCTATATGATATTCTACATATTTGAAATCTAATCATCAAATCATTCTTTCTTAGTTTTTTTATTTGATTTACATCTCATGAATGTCACCACTTTTTTTATTGCAAAAACAAACAAATGAAGTAAAACAATAAAAAGTAAAATGACGTCATAGGATCTTGATACAAACCATCCTGAAGTCAAAGTTTTTGATCTCATATGATCGAGGTTTGGATTTCTCATCGCAAACTCAGTCCACCAAATTGCGACATCTAATGGTTTTTGCGGCTTATCTCTAAATAATTTAGATATATGTAAAGCTTTTTGTGAATATTTTGAATCTTCAAGAACTGTGTTGATCTTTGATTTGAAATTTTCTAAAGTAAAATCAGTAAAGTCAACTTTCACTGCCATCCCCGATCGTAAAGCTTTGTTTAAATTTCGTTTTTGATCTACAAAAATTGGAATTCCAATGACTGGCTTTCCATGATATAAGGATTCATGTGTCGACAACATTCCAGCGTGTGAGATGAAAGCTTTTATATTTGGGTGAGCAAGAATATTGTTTTGTGGAAGAAATTTACTAACCATCACGTTAGCTGATGGCTTAATTGGAAGATCTTCGACATTCGATTCAAACTTCCAAATGAAATTATAATCGGGTATTTGTGCAAATGTCTGTAGAATTATTTTGAGACGTTCATTGCCAAGCATATTTGATTTAACGTTCGTCCCCAAAGACATCAAAACTGTTCCTTTTTTACCTCTCGATATAAAATCTTCAAGATCCTAAACCAACAGAGGAACAAATTTCTATAAAATAGTCAAATATCTAATTATTCTAATATATATGTACCTTCGCAATAGGTTTTGGGGGCGTTATCTGCATACCTCCAATTTGAATCATGTTTGGTTCCAACGGCTCCACAAGGTCAAACGAGTTATCAGAGTTAACAAATATTAAAGCCGTTCTTTCCTGTAAAGCTGACATTGATGGAAAATCAAATGAAAACTTTTCCCTCGCTAATTTCTCCATTTTAGTGTTTGCGGAAAATCTACGAGTCCTTAATTTTTTTTAAAAACATAATTAGATTCTTAGAAAAAAATTGATTTGTAATAAAAACTAACATCCAATCAACAATAAACAGAAAATGATTGTTGATCCGGTCCATCAAATTCATTTCCTTCGGACCAATATTAAGCATGTAGTGAGGAAGATATCCCGGATATTTTTGACCTCCTACAAGGTCAGTCGTATAAGGAGGGTTGCTGAATGCTGTTATAGAAATCAACACCGGGTAGTTGAATCTTGCAAGCAATGGGAGTACACATGGTCCAAAAGTGAAATCATAAATAACAACATCGAACTTAAAGTCCTTTGGATAATTAAGCAACTCATCAATGCCTTTTGATGCTAAATTTCCTGTACAAACTAATTCAAAGTAATCTGCGGCTACAAATAAATATTGATATGCTGTTAATTCTGCAAATGCCAAAATATCAATCTCTTCTTGTCCCGCTTTTATAGTCTCATAAGTTTTTTCAAGGTGCACATAATGAAGATTAGGTATTGGTCTCTTATCTAAATCTGCTGATAAGAATGTTACGTTATGACCTTTCTCAGCAAGACCCACTCCTAATACGCGGTTAAAGATATGATGACTTGGTGATGGTACTGGACTCAAAAATAAAATATTTCCACCTTGAACTTGAACAAAACCCAAAAGAAAATAAACTAAAAGCAAATTGTGACCGTTCATTGTGACGAATGAAATAAAACTGAACTAATTTTTAATTAAATTCTTCCACAATGAACATCAATGTGTACAGTACATTCTTGATAGGAGCAACTTTAAGAGAGCTTCGAAAAGATTGAGTGATTGTGAGGTCTCGTTTGTCAAGAGTACACTTAACAAGAGAATACTGTACAGATTCGTACATTATCTTTTCAATGTCAATCTATATGTTTATTACGTAACCACTTCTTTTTCGCTTTTATAAATTATATTCAATACATCTATGTATGTATCAGAAACAAAAATATGATAACTAAAAGTTTAAAAATGCTACTTATGTCATGATTGTTTTGTGAATCATATAAATATGCAAGCTTCTTAAACTTTTGTATCAATAAATTTTCAGCTGAAATTAAACGATTAAAATTTTAGTAAATAATATCAAATGTGACTTTAACAATTGATTTCATTTTATTACTAGAGTACCAAGTGATAAAAATTTAAATTTTCATTCAAAAGTTATTCTAAGGAGCTGGAATCAATGAAGGATCCAGTCCAAATTTTTTCATTTCGATTGCAATGTTAAAAAGATAATCGAAACATTCACATTGTGTCTTTGCCTTTTGCCATGAATCGCCCCAAACATAAATTCCATGACGACGAACAAGAACAGCTGTTGTACCTGGATATTCATGAACTGCTTTTGTAAGACTCTCTTCCAGATCCTTTTCAAATGGAGTATTTTCAATTATTGGCACTACAAGTTCTTCATCATAACGTAAATAGCGATTCAACTGATGGTCATAAATTCCCTGAATTTATTTAAAATAAAAAAATACTAAAAATAATTTTCTAACGATATTAAACTTAGATACTTTGATCATTTCTTGATGTGTGATTCGAAATTCTCTTCCTGGCCATAAAAGTGTTGCCATTACTGCATTAGGTGAATGTGTATGAATACAAGCACCAGCATTACGTTCACGATAAGCGACCATAAAAAGTGGTGTACATTGACTTTTCTTAAGTTTTTTGTATTCTGGTGGTGACATTAAATCATCGCCTTCTATATTTTGAATGAATAAATCATCAATTTGGATTCGTTCCTTTTGCACTCCTGATGGTGCAATATAAATTTCATCATCAAGTTTAATGCTGATTCCACCACCTGTTCCAGTCACCCAACCTTGGTGATACATTTGTTTACATAGTTCTGGAATCAGTCTTCTAGGATGTTCCTAAAAGGATTAGATAATAAAGATGATGAATAATAATAAAAATATATAAATTAATGTTACCTCTGAGAGATCCTGATAAATGTCTGCCATAAGCTTAGAATTAGTTTTCGTCGTATCAACTGAAAGATGTCACAAAAACGAATGATTAGTTTGTATGAGAAAAAATTAAATACAACTCACTGTTCATAATCGGCTTTTCTAATCTAACTCTCGAGCATAAGTAAGACTCTATTCTTCTCAACTTGATACTGATAAGAGAGTTATTTTCTCTTGAATGATGTAAGAATCCTTTACGAATACTCCTAACAATGAAAAATTGTGCTGTATCTTATTTACAAAAATAATCTTCATGTCAAACTAAAAAGGGAAGGGAAAGTAAAGCAAAACAATATCAGCTGATTTGTAAAACGAATGAGTACGTTCAGAAATTGAGGCATCAATAAGAAGCTTCGGTAACGAGTTTTGCAATTTTGCTTTTCTCTTTTCTAAGATGAATCTTACGAGACAAATAAAAAGATTTAATAATTCAACAGTGCATGGTGAAAACTTGAAATTATAAGTCAAATAAATATTATTTTAAATTTATTATTAATTATTTCAGATTTCACCAAATTTCTTTCATTTCGCAAAAAAACCACACAACTTTCCATCAAAGATAAGAGAAAGTGGCTTCAGTCTGAAAAGCTTTATGGACAGCCAACATTTAAGACACATCCTCACTTGTTAAAGGAGAATGAACTTGTTCAGGGAATTAAATTGGAAGAAATTGTAACAAGAAGAACTCGTTTGGCTGACACAATCAAAGCTTATTCGTCTTCTAATCATACCACAATTAAGAATCATTTGATTGTTATACCGTCAGGAACTAAAAAGTTTATCAGTGCTTCGATTCCTTATGTTTTCCGTCAAAATTCTGATTTTTTGTACCTTACCGGTTGTCTTGAACAAGATTCGCTTCTCGTTCTAGAGATTAATGAAAAGTCGACAAAAAGTGTATTATTTTTAAGACCCAAAGACAAGAATGCTGAACTTTGGGACGGTACAAGAACTGGACCAGATAATGCTATTGAATTATTTGGTGTTGATCAAGCATTTCCTATAAATGGCTTTCAAGATTTTGTTGAAAAATTCAAGAAGCAATCAGCCACAATGATTTGGTATGATGAGAAAAATAGTGATCAGAAAAATCTTTCACAGATATTAAATCCACCAAAAGAAGGCTTCGAATGTCCTACAAAATTTATTCATACACTCCGATGGATAAAATCAGAATCAGAGATTGAACTTATGCGCAAAACTTGTGATATTGCTTCGAACGCTATTAATTCAACAATAAAAAAATCTCATCCACAAATCAGTGAACATCAAATATTTGCTGAAGTTGATTATCAGTGTCGAAGAAATGGAGCACACATGCTTGCATATCCACCAGTAGTTGCTTCGGGACGAAATTCCACAACAATTCATTACATCAATAACACTCAAATCGTAAAAGATGGAGACATGGTGTTGTTAGACGCTGGCTGTGAATATGGCGGCTATTCTTCAGATATCACAAGAACATGGCCAATCAATGGAAGCTTCACAGATTCACAACGTGTTCTTTATGAAATTGTGCTTAATCTGCAGAAAGATTTGATTAGAAATTTATTAAATTCTGGTGGCTTAACACTCGATGAACTCTTCGATACTATGTGCTTACGTTTGGGAAAATATTTACAAGAAATTCATTTGATTCCAAGCGATAAAAGTGGATATGATTTAGCCAGAGCTGCTTATAAATTTTGTCCGCATCATGTGTCACATTACCTTGGCATGGATGTTCATGACACTGCGTTAGTCTCTCGTAGCAACAAGTTGGTTCCAGGAAACGTTTTTACTGTTGAACCTGGAATTTATATGAGTGAAGAAAGACAAGATGTGCCAGAAGAATTTCGTGGATTAGGCTTGAGAATTGAAGACGATGTTCTGGTGACACCAAACATGAAAATTGAAATTCTTACCAGTCAATGTGCAAAGGAGACTGCCGATTTGTTAAAATCAGTCAACAATGAATAATAAAATAAAAGTTTAGTATTTAGGGTGGAACATCAACATTTATTATTTTATTTATTTCAGTGTTTTTGGACAACTTGAACCAAGATATACTTGTAGGTCACTTAAGGTTGATTTTACTAGTTTTACTCGAATTTCCGCTTCTCCAATTTTTTTATGTGCTGCATAACGATGACATCCACCAAATGAGTAAAAATAATTTCCACCTTCACTACCTTCGATCCAAAGAACGTCAATAGGAGGAATATCTTCAACCTTATTCTTTAAATAAAATTTGTGAAAATTTTCTGATATTTATAACATTATTAACTATTTAAAAAAGTAAAGATTTGTAAAAGACAACACGTGCGTTTAAAAATTAATGTCAGTGAACTTGAAGTTTTCGTTTATTTATTTACCTTTAAAATATCGGCAATCGAATCCACTTTCTTCTCATCTAAAATCGGTTGTAATGGCCTGATTATTTCGGTTATTGGCATAACATATATTTCATCGTTGTTTGCCGAATGAACACTTTTTTCAGAACTTGTTGCTTCATTTGAAGAAGTTTCTCTTGACTTCTGTGAAATTTACATGACTTTAATAATTATTTGACTTCTATTGATTGAAATCAATTAGTCGCCACAAATGATTCATGACACTAATAATAGAAATATAATAAGGAGCGGCTTGTATATTTACTCGTTTGAACATTTAAATATTTTGTAGAATTCCTAGGATGGTAAAAATGGTATTGTTTGTACTGTTTTCAACAGGTGCCTGACTGTGACCTTTTATTAAGAAACTGTTATCGCAACTAATACTGAAAAAAAAAAAATGTTTTTACTTATAAGAAAAGTAATCTTGCCGTTATTTGTTTTTCTCTTTCTTTCGTTCTTTGGTGGGATTGGTAGTATTGTGGGGCTTGAATCGAGTGTAAAAATACATTCAAAGTTTCATTTCGATGTGTCGCGTATCACATAGCATGTTGAAAAAGCCATAAAATGTTTCGGACTAGAAAGCTTCTCTGTTTAAGAGGAGGGAAAAGGAAAATAAGTTTCAATTTCCTACGTATCCAAACTCTTTTCACATTTTTCTGTCATTATTGTTATTGAAAATCTTCTTTTTTGATACATCAAAAACATTATATCATAATAAAATTAAATGATTTTGAACTCATGAAAAGTTAATGAGTAAACATCTAAAACTTCTAATAAAACACATTAATTTAAATATAGATATTTATTTAGATAGTTTGAATACATAAAAACATTGTGATGATAAATACAACCACTTTTTATTTATAATTATCATCAAGGTTGAATAAAAGCTTTTTAATAGCTGACATGGCCACGCATAGAAATTGAATTTCGCCGTTTGACGATGTGACATAAGGGCATGATTTGAATAGTTGGAGGCGACAAAATTGGTGATGGAATTCTCCATTTTTTCGCTCGATTGATTAATAAATTTCCATCGGTTTTAGCTCTTGATCTAAAAGGTTCATCAAATCTAATTCGAGGTTCTAACTCATCGAGTACATCGTCTTGTTCATCATCATGTTGCCATGAAGAGCGAGTTCTGCCAAACAGTAAAATTGATCGTCTTTTCTCATCTTGTAAATCACAACACAACGAAATTATTTTTTCAGGATCCATATCAGAATGAATAGTCATCGACAATCTTATGCTGTCACTCTTTGATCTTTTAAGCTTCGGAAATCTTGAATTGAATCTCCAAAATCTGCATACGTCACGAAAGACTTCTTTAACTTCGTCAACACTTTCCCGAACAGAAATCTCATGGAAACAGGCACAACCAATTTCTTGCGACCTTTTTAGACCTTCTTCAGGCGTTACCATGCGGTCGTAAAACTGATCTGTTTTGTTTGCTACTAAAACAACAGGGACGTCCATAATATCATCCTAATGAAACATTAAAAAATTATGTATGTCGATGTCAAACGGTTGATAAAAGTACTCCAAACACTTTGACATTTACCTTACATAACTTCCTTCGTCGTTTGTTGTAGTTTATAAGGAATTTAAAGCGATTCACTTCTTCAAAACTACATTTATCGGTGACGCTGTACATCAAAATAAAAGCTTCTGCCCACCGAATGTTTGTTTCAAAAGTGCTTGCGACTGTTTCGCTTTCCTATGGAAATCAACAGAAAACTTTAAATTGTTCATTTAAATTCATTTTTTAAATTACCAAAAGACCAATAGAATCCAATACTTCAAAACTTATGACTTCATTATCAATCGTAGAATTAAACGTGTAGAAGTGTTCTTTAGTATCATAATCTCCAATAAAACGGCGTGTTATGAATCTTACAACTGAAGCTGTGAATGGAAAAATCAAAATAGAAAATTACTTATGAGAGTTGTGATAGAATTAAGACGTAAATAATCTGATTGTAGAAAGCGAGTCAGAACGGAGAAAGTTCATAACAATGAAACCTCTGCTGCGATTATAATTCGATTTTCAGGTTCAAAAAAATTTTTCTTCTCGTGTTGTGAAAAAGTCAAGAAAAATATTTTTATTAATGACGTAGTTCAACTTCTAACTTCACAACTTTTCGTCATATCCCAAAAATGATTGCCAAGTACTTACTCCTCCCTTTGATTCTACATAATTTTTTGCTTCTGTTTTTATGCTGTGATATCTTATTTTATTTTTAAAAAAATTTACTTCCTTTTGCGTTTTAAGTTAAGAGAAAAGACTGCTAAAAACCAAAATATTATTCAAATTTTTTTCCTTAGAATCATTGAACTTGTAGCATGTTTCTCATGCTTTTTTAAAATGTTGTACAAGATTTTCCTTACGATTACGCAAAAATAAATGTCAATGGTAAACAAGAGAAAATACGGAAATTTACGTTACTACAAGAGACCGTTCTCAACATATTGCTATTTAATAGCATTCACTTTCTTCCTCGTGGTAACGGCTTCAACGCTTTTGCGTTCTATTCTATTTACACAACGACCTTTTCATTCAACCAAATCAAATAAATAATTCTATTGAATCCGAGCATATGTACAAGACGAAAATTCCATTGACTCGTGATATTTCTCTTCCTTTTTTGGAGTCATTTGAAAAAGAAAAGAATTAGGAAAGGGTGAAAATCAAGGATATTCACTTAATATGAGACATTGATTTGTTTCTTTGGAGATTTTGTTCTAACAAATACGCAATTATAAATCTTATCTCATTTATTGCTGGAACTTGAAACTTTTTATTTAACTTTTATTAATGTTTATTGCGTATTAAAAGATATAACTACGACATGATATCACAAGTTCTTAATTTATCATCTCAAGATCTTATTCTATTTGTCATTTTATACTATGTTATATAACTGTTTATCATGCTAAAAATCAAGGGGTTATTCACGGACGAAAATGGTCGACTCAAGCAACTTAAGCAACTTTAAGCAACTTCACACAAATCGTAAGCAACCCCGTTGACAACCAAAAAAAAAAAAAAACGCCGAAAAAATGGAAAAACTAGTAGCAACAGTTAGCTACATCTCTAGCAACTGTTAACAACTATTAGCAACTGCTAGCAATTTTCAGCAACAGCTGACATTTTTAAATTTTAACAGCAAAAGCAACTCTAGCAACTTTTCAGCAATTTCATGGTCGACTCAAGCAACCGCCCGTGAATAACCCCTTGCTAAAAATATTACCGAACTACATATTATTAAAAATCATTAATGATTTCAAGTCAGAATATTTAATTCAAGTAGTTTGCATAATTGTGGCAACGGTTTATTACAAATATGTAACATCAAAATAGGAAAATGCAAACTGTAAATGTTTCCCTAAATATGGGAAGTGACGATACAGAAAAGCCTTACATGTTTAGATTTGATTAACTACAACTTGATAAATATGTAAATAAACTTCTAATAATACATTAGCCCCCACATTTACTTCTTAATCGTGAAACTTTAGATAAATGAACAGTTTATGATTTATATTAAAAACAATAACGAATGTTTTACAAATTATTCTTAATATCTAATTACTTCTTGATAAGATTTTGTTATTTTAAGAAATAATTAAAAATTATGCAGTTAAAATGTAAGAAAATTCAATGAATTTCAGAAGGCTCAAAACATCCATAGAAAAAGTCATCTGTGAGATTCTCATGTTCAATTTGAGTCAAGAAATAAATAAATTCTGGTGAAGATAAAATGTCAAAAGAAATTAATTGATTGTAGGTAAACATTTTGCAAGGATGTGGTTTTTGTACAATTGATTGTTATCAGTAAATAATTAGCTATTGCAATGGAAAATTTCGACACTTGATACTTGGAATTGAGATTGTAATCTGTGTTGACTTAGAACAGATGTGCGTGTTTGAAAGCTTATTTGTTGCCGTCACACTGTGCGACGTGTGAATAGTTACAAAAAATGTATTGATTTATTGCGATAAATTAGAACATCAGAAAAAGAAAAATTAAACCCATGACGCTGACCTTGTTAATGAAATAAAAACTACAGAAATAACTTACATGAATATTTATGTACATTTAGCAAATCTCATCATTGACGGAACAAGAATGGTTCATTCGAAATTAATTGAATTGAATATCGGTAATTCAAGTCGTAAGTTTATCCTTCCACTTGTTAATAGATAATCTTATTTCTTTATAAAATAATGGAAGATTTTTATTCACTTTGAAGTTAAAAATATATTAAAACAAAATAAAAATGAAATTAAATCATTGAAATCCTTTATTCTTTCACACGTGTGATATACACACTAGGATTTTAATCTTTTTCTAAAATCTTACCCGTTTTTCCAACTCCCGTGTGACCCAACACCATGATTCTTATTGGCTTCATTTCTTTACTATGTCTCTGATATCCGATTTTTCCAAGTGACGATTTTGGGTTGAAAGAATTTATTCCCGACATTTGAGACTTAAATAACAACACATTAACTGAACCGGAAATTTAAAAAATATTTACATATGATGTGAATTTATGTCACTACGTTTCAATTTTCTTTATTTTTTTTCGAGTTTTCTCACAAAATTTTCTATAAGTTTGAAAAATTAAATAAAAGTTCACTTTATTCAATCGACACTTTCTTCCTTTTCTGTAGAATCGACTTTAACTCGTCGGTGCCCAACAAAATATTAACAACAGGAAATGGTTTCACATGTTCTTATATAAGTAAGAAACTGTTGCTGTGTTGCTATGAAAAACTCAAATTTTCCTTCTCTCGTGAGAGTTTGGAGATAGAACTACCACAGAGTGTTTATTTCAAATTATATGTGAGGAAAATCAAAACAACATCGAAACAATTTCTCTCAATGGATGAGATCGTCTCTCAAGCTTCTTAGTTGAATAAATAAGCTGCAATTTGTCTCTAACAAATCTTTATCTTAAATGTTTATCATGTGACATGTGATTATTATCAGAAGTGACATTTGGCTGATGTATGTACATAACTAATAAACTGGTAACGGCACAAACATGAGCATAATAACATAGAAAAGAGTTTAAAATCAACTAAATTTATGCCATTAATTAAATTCATTATAATTGTTCAAAATTATAATTTTGAAGTCACATAAATTTATACGTGTAGAAAATCTTTTGTGAAAAATCAATCTTCTTCTTAACTCCATGTCAACTTCAATGGAACTTCTTGAATAATTTCTACTTAGATCTCTGTTCTAAATTATTATGATGAAGGAGAAAATTTCCTATAACAATCATCTATTTGCATTTTGATTAAACGCTTTGTTTATCGACATCAACTTGGATTTTTGAGAAATAAACGAACAAATCTATTTGAGATTTTACAGCAAAAATAAGGTAAGATTTTAAGAATTAATCAACACTTTAAACGATTACATTTTTTGATTAACCTGTGAGAAGAAATGTTAAAATCCATGAAAGCTTACAGACAACTAAAAAAGGTTTTCTTTATTTGTTTTCTTCATCGGACTAGTTTTTAATTAATTTACTCTCAGGGGTTTTAAACATATTTGAAAAGCTTTGTTGAAGAAATGCAATGAAATCTAATAAGCAGTGTGATCTTATCTAGTTTTGCTTTTATACTTTTATTTTCTCGATAACTAAGGCTACTAAATGAAACTAATGAAAGTCTGCAATAATTTTTTTTTTCAATGAAATTAGATAAAGAAAATAATTTTCAATATTTAGTCTGATGTTCTATTTTTGGTTATTTAGAAACTTGCAACTTAATATTAAAAAGTAGGATTGATTAAATTATAAAAATCTTTAAGAAAATCTTGATACATAAGGATCATCAATATCATTGATGTTGCAATCAGCATGTGTAAGACATTTGCATGTCTTTCCAGATGTTGATGATGGGTTGACGAGACAAATATGATTGCTAGGACAATCTCCGTTGTTGATATTGCAAGAGCTATAATAAACTGGACAACGATCGATGACTGCTGTCATGCCATACATCTTGTGGCTACTAAAAAGTGGTGTTTGTATTCCAGACTTACGATTTCCGTTTAAATCAATTGACTCAATTTTCTTTGTAGTCCAATCAGACCAGAAGTATTGTTCATCGGTTATTGCAAGTCCGAAAGGATAAGCAAGTTTGTCAGCAATTATTCTTGGTTGCTGAGAGTAAGTGTCAATACCTATAGTTGAATAATTCATAATTCTGTCTGAAAATTATTCGTAAAATGAACAGAAACTCACATTCAATCTTTTGATTGCCAGCATCTGCATAACAAATTTCTCCAGAAGAAAGTGAGAATGCAAGAGAATTCGGCAATTTTACTTGAGGTGAACTAGCCAGAGTACGACGGTCAGATCCATCAAGATTGGCCCACTCAATTTTAGGATCCAAACGATTCCAATCCGACCAGAAGATTTTACTAGAACAAAACCCGATTAATAATCATTCTATTGAATTGAATGAAAATTACTTTTGATATGGATCGACTGCAATTCCACGAGGATTAACTAAACCATGATTGACCAAAACTGCTCTAAGCGTTGAATTATCTAAACTTGCAACCTCAATTGTGTCTTTTCCAGAATCTGTCCAATATATGCGCCTTGAAACCCAATCAATAGCAATTCCTTCTGGTGACATAATGTCGGTGTTGATAAACGATGTCTTCTCTGTTCCGTCATATTTTGAACTGAAAATTGCTTTCGCTGAAATGTCACTCCAATAAACACGACCTTCTGCACAATCTTTATCAATTCCAATTGCCCTGGTTGATTGAAGGAAATTATAAAAAAAATTCTAAAATTTTAATATTTTAAAGATCTCACATGCTAGCAGTTGAAACTGGTGTAGCACGTTTGTTGCCACCTAATGGAACCTTAACAGCGGCAACACCTTGCGAAACAATCAAAAATCCTGTTTCAAGTTTAGGGGGTTCCTTGCAAATCGTTCCATTTCCAATAAATCCTAATGAAAGTAACGAAAGAAATAACAAAATCTGTTAAAGCATCAACAATGAAACTTACCTTGATTGCATACACATTTCCAGCCATTTAAAGTTGACTCACAATTTGCGTTAGCATCGCACAATTCAGGAATATTGTGGCAATTACGTTCAAGTGCACAAATGAAGCCATCACCAATATATCCATCATTACATGCACATTCATATGATGAAGTTCTTTACAAATGGAATATATTTAATTGTTTTATACTTTTAGAAAGACAAATGTACCTGTAATTTGGAATGCACGAGGCATAAAGCCCGCAGTTATTTCTAACATTGCAAGGAGGGGGAACTGATTTACATTCAATGACTCCATCGCCTATAAAGCCTTCAGGACAATGACAATAATTGACCTTTAATCTATCATTGAAAGTACAATAGGCGTTTTCAGCACAATAAGCTCCGTTACAAGAGCCAACCGGAACGCATCTGATCAAATGACGAACATTAAATTTCACTTCATTTCGCAACAATTAAGAAAGCAACTTACAAGTCAGAATTATCTCGTTCATATCCACTTGCACATTCACAAATTCCATTGTTACAAATTGAATGATAACCACAATCTGTAGAACTTTTACATTCAGCAACGACTTGACAACTCTTGCCAGAACCATCATATCCTTCATGACATACACAAAAGCTTCTTCTTACAGTTGAGTTGTACACGCAATCAGCATGAACATCGCAAATATCTTCTTGTGCACAATTTGCTTCGATTTCAATACAATCAACACCATTTCCATCATATCCCGGACCACATACGCATTGATAACGATAAAGTGTTTGATCGAATTCACAATTTGCGAAAGGATGGCAGTTATTGATGACATCGCATGAGACTGTAATTTAAATTTTTGACGATTATCTTGTTCGATATGAAATTTGGATATGAAACCTGTGGTTTGACTTTCTTCATCAGTTGCTTCTTCCATACGACAGACAGATTTGAAAGCATATTCAATCATACGATAACCATGAGGGCAAACACATCCAGTCTGCGTACAATACGGTTGGACTTCATCTGCAATAAATCGTAAATTTAATTAACACAAATTTCAAGGACGACTGTTAAAATAATCACCATCTTCTGCTGTCGCAATCTTAACACATGTAGCACCATTAAAGACTTCATTAAGAGCGCAAATCATTCTACAATCACGTCCATTTCCAATGAAACCAGCATTGCATGTGCAAATCCCTTCAAAGCAAAAAGCATTTTCAGAACAATCATTGCATCTCGCAGGAGTGTAGTAAGGTGTTGTAGTTTCATGATGTGATGACACTCTTGAACATTGGTAACCATTACCGGTGTAGCCAGGTAAACAAATACAGTCGTAGCCACCATTTCTGTTATAACATTCTGCAAATTCTGAACAAATGTGCGAAGTTCTACATTCATCGATGTCAACACAATTTTGGGGTAAATCCCGATCTTCTGATGGACCAGAGAAAGTGAAACCATTCTTGCATTGACACTGTTATAATATTTTATGATTAACTTCATGAATTTTGAACAGAATTGTTATAAACTTACTTCATAATGGTCATCGGGAGTTGGGACACAAATTGTGTTTTCCCCACATTGTGCTGTTCCTTCTGCACATGGATTTGTTCTATCAGAAATACCAATTTTTGTGACAGTTGATATACGAACAGCATTTTCTTGTGAATAATAACCGAGCTGAATCTTCGATGTCTTTAAACGACCATTAATATTGTTTTCACGATCCGCTTGTTCGATAAATGGACACGTTTCATATTTGATCTAAATAATGATAAATTAGTATTAAGATCTAGAATAGTTAAGTGAAAGTAAGTGAAATTACTTGCTGATCAATTGTATATACAATATCAGGTTCACCTGACGATAACTGAATACTGTGCTGTGCTTGTGAATGAATACTATTAGGTCCATTAACCATATACTCCTCAATCAACTCATCCATCGTTATTTTAACACCTTCATGAACTGAAGGAATGTTTCCATTGATCTCTATTTCAGCTGCTAATTGATCCCATAAATTTAAGCCAATATAACGCTGACTTATGTGTAGATTTTCGCCACTAGAAAATCTAATATTTGTTGAATGATTGAATTTTCCACCTGTGATTTGATAACCATTGAGAATTGTTCCAACTGGTTTAGCAAAAAGCCATCCAATGACACCGCCAATAATTTCCAGAAGTTGGAGTTTTGTTCCTAGACCACTTGGTAAAGCACTGATTGCTGTATAAGCTCGTCCGTCAACCATAACAATGTATGCTTGAAGTTGAGATGAAATGTTAGTGGAATCAATAAAGCCATTAATGTGACCAGTAACACGAATTGGAACATTGTTTTTGATGCAACTGTAGCCATTTCCATAGAAATCGTTATTACATTTGCAACAGAAACCATCACGAGCATCTTCACACGTTGCTGAAGAATGACAAAGAAGACGACCACCACTTGCACATGATCGTGGCTGGTCTGATTCTTGTTGCTGCGAACCTATGTCAGGTTCCTCAATATTCGCATTTTCTTCTACTTTTCCAACACGATAAAGCCAACGACCTGACTGACCATAGTTCGAGGTTTCAGTCAAATGACGAACTCTATCAGTCCCGGATCCTTTTAATGCAGTATAGCGACCATCAGGGGCAATAAAACCAGCACGTGCACGAATGTCAGGAAGACCAGATTCGCCTAATTCTGCTTGCACCCATTGAATACCTCCTTGGGGATACAACATCTCAACATAGGATTCATCATCATTTGAAATGATAGCGACTTGGAAAGTATTTTTTTCATACAAACGTTCTTGAGTTTCGCCTTGCCATTTTGGAACATTATTCCAAGTAACAACCAGAACCGATTTAGCATGGAAATTGCGAGCATTAGAAAAAGCGCCACGAACAACATTTGAAGCACGATTTAAAAGATTAACATCGCTTGACTCGTAATATGTAATTTTCGTGGAGCCATCTCCATTAGATGTATCAATGTTCGAATAAAAGGCACTGATTGATGGATACTCGATTGGAAATGGAATATTAAGAAATTCTGGAAATTCGTTTATGAATGTCAAAATTCCATTTATGTTGATCTACAGTAAAAAATATAAATATAGTATAAAAACTCATATGAGTATAGTGAAACAAAAAAAATATTGTTTTCTGCAGATAAATATTTAAAATTTCAAAAAAGAACTTTTTTTTGCCAATTTTTTGTTTTTTAAATAATGAATTCCAAACTTGCTTCAACAAATGTTTCCATCTGGATTGTTTTCTTTTCACGCACAAATCTTTCATCTCGTTTTCTTTAATCTATCTATTTAACACATGTTTTTTCTCCCAAAAATGAAATAGAAAGAATTCAAATATGATTTCTTGCGTGGATATTTATGGAAGTTTATGAGGACTGCAATACACATATGGATGAATTTGTACATAAGTATCATGGCCAAAACATGGGAAGTACGATGCCAGCTTCTTCTCTCATGCTTATAAATTAACTCTGAATGGAAAACGAAACTTAAAATTTATGATTTTAATGTCACGGAGTCATAAAACGCATTATTCAAACAGAAAGAATATTCGTCAGAATGAAATATGCTGTCAGATATCTTTGTGATCTTTAAAAGTTCTTTTTATCCGAGAGTGTCTTGAGAAGAGTTTTCATAACATATTGATATTCTATTTTTACCAACATCGCTATCATCATCATACGAAATAAAAAAAATATAAGATGTGATGAAAGGGAATAGAAAGAAATCTTAAGATGATGCCACACGACGAAGGCAAATAAGAAGCATTGATATGATACTTTAATTTTTTTCCTTTTCTCCTTCTCACTCGCTCTTCTAACATTTATTTCTGGGACTAAAAATAACGTTTTTATTTTACAAAACAGCACACTCTGCTTGGGAGGTACCCATAATAAATAGTGGTGCACGTCAAGAAGTAAAGAATGATATCTTCAATTAATAAATACGAAAAACTTACGAAAATGGAATCATATTTTTCTCCATAGAAGTGTATTGGCAATTGTAGTGAAACCTCCTTCGATTCATCGTTAGCGCCAGGCAAAGTAACACTTCCTTGTCCAAATATTTCATACAAATCCCTGTTGTCAATTGCATGACTTTGACATAACACCAATGAAATTACGAAAAATGATATAAATTTCATTTTTCTTTCTTACACGTTCTCCTTTGATTTTTGTTTCTTTTTAGTTAGATTTTAATTTATATCAGAATAAAAGAAATATTAAATACACAATGAAGTGTCTGCTTGAGGATAAATTTGTTCTCTTTTATAACCCTCAAACGCGCGTTTTTCCACAGAACGAAAGCCAAGTGACTATGATGACACCCGAAGAGAAACTGATCGACAAATTTTCTTTTTTCATCTTCAAGCTTGTCTTCATGAGCATCATACAACTCCACCCTTCGCTCAATCTCAAAAGAGAAATGTTTCTTGTGTATTATTTCGTTTCTTAACCGATAAGACACATTTGTTTTCATAAATATATCTACTGTGAACAAAACTTATGATCATGAAAATATCTTCTTGAAAGAGAGAGAAAATATTAGAAACATGAGAGTTTATGAATTATTGAAGTTAGGAACATCAAACGGTTGGTGTACGCATATCTGACATCATTAAGAATCAAATTTATGTTGTTATCTAAGCAAAAAATAAGTATCAAGTTTGTTTACAGATAAACTGATTTTTCTAATACTTACTTAATTTGTTTTTGAGGATTAACACTCAATATTTCCTTTCATTTTTTTCAATTTGTCATATTGTTCATCATTATTGAACAAAGTAGTTTACTAGTTTAATGTATCCTTATACAATTTCTATTTATCCTCAATCCATAATGTAAGTTTTTTAGAATTTCTTTCAAATATTTTAACGTATTAAATTTTAAAAATTATTTTCGAACATTTGAAGATTTTTACAATTCGGAATTTTCTCATGCTCAAGATAATAATATTGTAAAGTTCCATATTTAATAGCGATTATAAAATTAGATAGTTATTTACATTTATCTACGTAGAAACAATCATGGGAGATGAAGTTGCGTCTGAAAGTAATGTTCCTGTGAGTTCATTTTTTGAATCAATTTAAACTTCTTTAAAAAGTCGGAAAAATTTATTTCCTTTAAAAACATCTTCCTTGAACCTTATAAAAATTTAAAGATTATGAGAGTGAATATTCCTATTCTTCGTATTCAGCATTTTAATATATATAAACACTTTCAATTCTATCAATTAAAATTTTTTCTATTAATAAATAAATAATTTCATGTCAGGATATTTATTTCTTTTTTAGATTCAAAATAATCAACAGCAACAACAGCAGCCGAGTCGTATGGAAAGCTTTATTGCTATCACAAAATCACTTGTTATTAGGGCTATTATAATATATTTCGTCACATCATTCTTTCGTCGTCCACAAGCTCAACAACCTCAACGAGCTGATTCAACATCACCAAACGGAAGAGTTCTACCATCGTGGAATTTCTTTGAAAACGGAACTATGTTTGATATTTATTTTTACGTATCTGAAGATTATGAATTTAAAAAGTTCAGTGATCCTTCATCTTTAGTCTGGTTCCAAGATGGATTGATTTACGGTGACTGGTATAGTGGGAAAAATCATGATGGATCCTATAGCAAATCTACGAAAATCAAAGCTTCAGAAAAACTTCAGAACAACGGTACAATATATTTGCATACTTATGTTGTAAAAACTGGAAAGTCACCAGATCCAGCAGCAGGCGATGAGTATGCTGGCTTCGAAGTGGCTTACAATCGACGTCAACTCAATAAGTTTAAGAAGGTTCGTTATCAAAAGACGCAAAATCTTTTGACTGGAACAAGTGAGAAATCGGCAGAAGAAATTGCAAAAGCTGAAGTCATGTCAAAAGAGATCGTCAATCATTGGCATCCAAATTTGACAGTTAACATTATTGTAGATCAAACAAATTGGGTTAAAGGAACGATTCCTCCACCATTAGATGAACATGTAACCTTTCTTCCCATTGGACATTCCTATTTGCCTATTTTATTTGTAAACGACTATTGGAACATGTTACGAGATTATCAGCCGATTAATACCACAACACCTGTTCTCGATCTTACAATCACCTTCCAACCTTTGTCCCTGTTTAAATTTCAATTGTATGCATCACAAGGAATGCGAAATAAATGGACGAGTTCAATGTTTGGTGAAACATTATCGGGTGCTGCTGATGAACAGGATGAAGATCAAGATTCTCTAAAAGAAACTTTATTAGAGACAAATCCTTATTTACTTGCTGTGACTTTCATTGTGTCAATTCTTCATACAGTTTTTGAACTTCTGGCATTTAAGAATGATATTCAATTTTGGCGTGAAAGAAAATCTCTCGAAGGATTGAGTGTCCGTTCTGTGTTCTTTGCAGTTTTCCAATCATTAATTGTTCTTCTTTATGTGCTCGATAATGAAACTAATTTTATGATCAGAATGAGTTGCTTCATTGGCCTCGGTATAGAACTTTGGAAGATTCAAAAAGTGGTGAATGTAACAATAAATTACGAAAACAAATTGTTTGGATTTTTACCTCGTATATGGTTCACCGACAAAGGATCCTACATTGAATCAAGCACAAGACAATATGATAATTTAGCATTCAAATATCTTGGTTGGCTTTGCTTTCCTCTTCTCGTCAGCTATGGATGTTACTCACTTTTATATCAGGAGCATCGCGGTTGGTATTCATTTACTTTAAATATGCTTTATGGATTTTTGTTGACATTTGGATTCATTATGATGACGCCTCAACTCTTCATCAACTATAAACTGAAATCTGTCGCACATTTACCATGGAGAATGATGACTTACAAATTTTTGAATACTTTCATCGACGATATTTTTGCGTTTGTTATTAAAATGCCGACCATGTATCGATTGGGAGTCTTTCGTGATGGTGAGATTAAAAGAAAGAGCTTTTTAAAAAAATAATTTTAATCAATTTGTTATCTTTCTAGACATTGTGTTCTTTATTTTCTTGTATCAACGTTGGATCTACAAAGTTGACATGAAACGTGTCAATGAATTTGGTTTCTCAGCAGAGATGCTTGAGGAAAAAAACAAAAATCAAAGTGTCACCAATTCTAATGATTCAGCTATTGAAGCGATAGATGAAGCATCAGAACCAAGAACTAATAAAAAAGACGATTAGTTTTATTCTTAAATAAATTATTTTAATTTTGCGTTAAAGCTTAGAATTGAATTTTTTTCAACTTGATGATAAATGTGTTGAAAATAACTCCCAAAGAAAAGTCTGAACACAAAACATTTCATAACTTGTTGATGATTTAATAAAAAGGAAAAAATATTCAAGATTATTTTTTTTTACTTAAATGAAAAGAAAAGTATTGCCATCTATGGGCAGGATTTCTAATTTCGATAGTCAAATATATTTTTAATTCAACAAAATGTTTAGGTAACAGAAATATTTATAATTTAATCATTAATTGACTTCCATTCGTTGGGATTTATGAAAATTTTTGTTGTTGACCCACGTAAGCTTTCCAGACCCTTACCGGATGCAACTGGTTTAGATTTAGATGATGAAGAGCGTAACCAAGTTTGGAATTTTGAAGCTGATATGCTTTTACGTGTAGTTTCATAATCTTTCATGACCTTTTCTTTCTTTTCTTTCATCGTTTTAATGGCAATAAATTCTTCATTCTTTCTGTTGATCCAGTCATTGTAGTTTATGGCTATTTTGTACTCCTTCGGTTTAATTTTTGCTTGCGCCTTTTCCTTGTTCTTTTTTTGCTGTAATTTTTTATTCTCAGCTTCCATTCGCTTTATTTCAAGCCATTCTTTGACTTTCTCTTCTGATTGAATCTTCTTTTCCAATTCAAGCTTACGAGATGCTTCCATCAGTGCTTGTTGCTTTTCTTGAGATATTCGTTTGAGTTCCTTTTCACGTTCTCTGTGGAATGAGAAACAACTTTTAATTGAAATTCCAACCAAAATTAATCCCTCTCGAGTGACTTACTTAACTTTCAACAACCATTTGTTATAAGCTTCTTGCTGCTTCTTCAACTCTTCTGGTGACTTTATAATTCGAGTGAATTTCATTGATGATGGTTTGGTAACAAACTTTTTATTTTCATCTTCAGAACTTGTTTCTTCATCGGAATCTGTCAAGTAATCATGGCCAACTCGTTTTGCAGAATTTTCCTGACTGAAAAGGAAGAGAAAAATAACAAATTCAATTTTTCAATTGGGTTAAAACAGTAAAAAATTGTTTAACAAACCGAAGAAAATCAGAATTGAAATGATTTGGGATCAAAGTTGAACAAAAGGAACTTTCACTTCTACTCTCGTTGGTATTGAAAACTTCATAAGGTCGAAAAGTTGCTGATGATGTCATTTTATTTAATTATCTTTTTCTAGAAAAAATAAAATTTTCTTCCAACTTGTGACAAGTAATTCACAAATTCATTTGAAATGAAAAGTTTTTGAGATAGGCTCAGAGGTTACTGAAAACTTTACAAGTGTAAACTTTTCTCGTTGTCATGTCTACCAACGCCAGATGTTGTTTGATGATTTCAGCAAGTACCTAACTTTAATTAAAAGTCAAACATTACCTAACATTCCGACACATTAAAAATCAATTCATCACTAACAGTCGACAAGTAAACATTCCCTTCCGTTCCCAAATAAATAAATAAATACACGAGAAACATCTGTGAACGCTTCATTAGCTTTTATTCAAAAACATCAGGTTTTTCCTTTCCTTTTCAATTCTTCATGTCGTTTTCCAATGTTCCATCGGCAGATTATTTTTTTCGTTTAAATATTTTCAGGCAATTTCATCTTATGATACAATGTAAAAGAAAATAAATAAATCATACATACAAATTACATGTAACTTGAGGCTACATTTTCTTAATAGATACATTCACCAAACATGTCACAATCGTTGCTATTTCTCAGTGATTTTCCACCACCAGCACATGACAGTTGGCGATCTGGTATTTGAATTGGAACTTCTGTTATTGGTGCACCTTCCCAATTGAAGCCATCAAATCGTCGACCATCCGAACGATTACATTGCATACTTAATGGCTCGTTTGTATACATCGTAAAAAGTTCGTTGACGTGTGGTAGCGTCCAATCGATGGCTCGATAATTCGCAAAACGACCACGTCTCATGTCGATGTCTTGATGATCTTTTCTATAAATTTTTGATAAAGTAATGAAAGAAAGATTTAATGACATACATCATGTCATTTCAAGATAAAATTTAATTACTAACTTCTTCATAAATTCAAAATAATCAGCTAATGTCTTCTCAGATACCGAGCTTTTGCAAAGCTCTAAATTTGTAGCTGGATAATAATGAATGTAATTAACACACATCTCATCTTGAATCGAGAAACCACCCATTGTCGCATTCTCATATCCACGGGTATCATAGAAACAAGTGGTGACTAAAGCATCGCCTGGTAAAACTTTAGGCTTTCTACGTAAATGACGGATCTCTTGAAAGTGATTTAAATAAAAGTCATCGCGGTTGAGTTCAACAAGTTCTTTATCATCACGAAAATGCCTTGTGAGAACTGTAATATTTTTTTTTATTCATTTGATTATGAAAAATCTTTCAGCTATCACAAATCAAACTCACCGCGAACACCACGCAGATGTGTATGCAATTGAGAACCAAAGACTGTTATTCCATCTTTAGGAAGCGCAATTCTAGTACATTCAGCAATGCAATATCCACTTAAAGGAAATGCAAGTTGACCAGGTGGAATCGCCATCTTATCAGTATATTCAAGACCAAGTTCCATAACAGCTGCGTCATACTTTCTCAACTTATTCACATATTTTATTCTCATTCCAGAATTATCAATTCTTCCACCGATGATATTTGGATTGTTGTAGTGAATTTCCAATCTTATGTATGGATTGTAATCTGAACCGCCGAATGCTAAGCCAACTTCTCTTGGATATGTAAACGTTGCTGCACCCATAGCCTGATGAATATTTTAATCATTTCTTTTAAGCAACATTTCGATCAGTAAGAAAATCTTTAAACTTACCCACAATGCCATGACTTTACTACAAACTTTGGCTTCCGCTGGTAAATCATCGCAATTTCCTTCATATAAAGGAATCTCAACATCAGCCATCGTTTCGCAATGGAAAACTTCCATGTGGTGTACAAATTCTTCGCTTTTAATTATAGGTTCGAACTCAACAATATGTCGACGTTTGCTGGCATCTTTCAACTTCTGAACTTTGCACCAATATGTAGTATCAGTTGCTGGGATTTCAACATCCTTTACTACAATATCAAAATGTCGAATTTTTCTGCAAAAGAAAGTTGATGATGCTTGTTTGGTAAAACAAAAAAAATCTATTTTTGTTATCTTATCTTATCTTGGGAATCTTATCTATTCATAGGAAAGAATTTTGTTTGAAAACGATTCATCATCATGTTCATCAAACACAAGACACACATTCAGTCTTTTCTCTCTTATTTATACTCACTTAATGCTTTGATTTCATCTCTCATCAAAGCTTATTCCAACTCATTCTCCTATGAGTTGGAAGTGTCAACGTTTCAATTCACTTCAAGTAGGTAGTAAAAAGATTAAACCAAAATTAAAACACTGATAACTCACTACACACATGCTTTAGATAACAAACAAAACAACTCTATAAAAGCTATTGAGAGAAAATAAAACAATTTCAGTTTCAAGTGAAGATTAAAAGAGAAAAGATTTTGAAAATGCCACTACCGCCTACGTTTATGAAAGATTTTCATTATGAAGATCAAGTGAAAAAAATGGAATATCGACAGCTTGGCAACACTCATATGATAGTGTCACGTGTGTCCATTGGAGGTGCAACAATTTGCAGTAATTTTTATGGCAAATTAGACTTTGAAGAAGCAAGGCGAACTGTTCATGAAGCTTTTAAGCGAGGAATAAATTATATTGACACAGCACCTTATTACGGGGATTCAGAAATAAATGTTGGAAAAATTCTTAAAGATATTCCTCGTCAAGTCTTTTACATCGCTACAAAAACTTGTAGGTATTCAACCACTGGTGCTAAACAGTTCGATTTTAGTTATGAACGAACGATGAAAAGCGTTGATGAAAGCTTATTACGCCTCGGGGTCGATTACATCGACCTTTATCAATTACACGATGTTGAGTTTGCGGATAACATTGACGATGTAATTAACGGAGCTTTTCGAGCGTGTCTTGAGCTGAAAGCACAGGGGAAAATTCGAGCGATTGGCATTAATGGATATCCCTTGAGTGTCTTGAAAGAAGGTTTAATTAAAGGCAACGGAAAATTTGACACCGTTCTGACCTACGCTCGATATACACTTCACGACAATTCTCTTCTTGATTATTTTCCATTCTTTAATGAAATGAAGGTTGGTGTTATTGTAGCATCACCTCAATCTTGTGGAATGCTTACAAATCGTGCTACGCCTTCATGGCATCCTGCAAGTCAAGAACTCAAGGAGATTGTCGAGGAAGCTGCGAAAGTTTGTCGTGAAAATAATATTGAAATGGGAAAATTGTCAACGTATCATTTTCTAAACGTGCAAGCCAATGTTGGAACGTTTTTGATGGGCATGGAGAAAATGGAATATTTAAATCACAACATGGTCGCATATCTTGACGGACTTAACGAAAAGGAAATGAAGCTGTATGAAGTTTTAATGAAAACGTAAGTTGCTTTTGAAAAAGAGATTATTCGAACAGTAAATTTTAATTATCTTCTTTAAACTTGCAGTGTGTTTTCGAAAGTGGATGATTCTATTAAACATTGGGAGGGTGTTGAAGTCGGCAGGTACAGAGAGCAGCAGAAGCTTTGGAAGTGAGATTGATTTTCCTAGAATATTTCTTATTTCTTTCCATTTGCTGTCTTTTCGATGTAAAAATATATTATTCAGAGGGTGGAGTATTTCGTTTCTTTTGATGGGTTTGAGAGTGACAACAGTAAAAATATCAACAAGTAGACATGTAAAAAGTTTTCTATCAACTGGAAAAGTTTGTGAGAGAAATAAATGCAAGTTTTATGTAACAGAACCATCAAACTCTTCCCATAAATAAATAAATTGACTTCCCATCAAATATTTAACTTACTTTTCTGGAATATTTATCGAATCAGCTCGAAGCAATTGCAGATGTGACATGCCAAAATCGTTTTCAGGTAAATCAGGTGTTAGAAAATTGTCATCGAAATCGAGCGTCTCTTCACCTCTCATCCAATAAATGAACATCGTTCCCTCATGAAATGGAAAATCTTCTTCATCACATGTATCGAATTTTCTCCGGAATGCAATTTCATCCTTATTTGAACGTGCTATGGTGATGCAGTCTTGATGTCGATCAATGATTATATGTTGACCGTCATCACTTGACCAAGCATCCTTGAAGCATTGCAAAAGGAAAAATAATATTATATGATTGAATATTTCATTAGATTCGTCTACATTTCTGAATGATGTTACAAAAACAAACAAATATTCTTTGAAATTGAATACAAAAAGCTACAACATAGATGTATACATGGATGAATATATATGTTCTCCATGGGCAAATGACACGATGTTATGCTTGTGTTTTTATGAATAAAAAATGAAAACATTACTTTGCAGCGCCACATATAAAATCCATGGAGATGAGTTATTTGCTTTTGTGACATCATTGGAATGTTTCCTTTTCAAACATTTTTTCTCCAAATTGTAAAGTATCTTGAATCAAGATAGGAAAATGATGATTTATAACTTACAATATTGATGTCAATTTTCCCATGCTCTCTTTGAAAAATACAAAAATCTGTTCGTGGGAATTCTCCACGACGAGAGAAGCCGATAGCAAACCAGGTAAATTTCTTAGTGATGCCATTTTTCACTTGAAAAAAGACATTTTTTTCAGGCCAATCCACCATCCATGTCAACTTCACATGTTCGATAGGATCGAGTGTTATTTGGTGCATTTGATTTGGCAAGACATCTAAAAACAAAGCAAAATAATCATTGCGAATTGAAATCATCATCAAAATGACATCGTCGTTGTCAAAAGTGAACGATTTTGAGGAATCTCATGAATTATTCAACAACACAATGGGAATTAAAACATATCGAAAAGATGGGAATTTCCTTTCTTCAATTTAGCTCCTTTTTTATTATTTGCATTTTATTCGAAAGCAGATCAACCCAACAATTAAAGGAAAATTATCATACTCGCTATAACATTCTTTTGCCTTTGCCATCTCCCCCAAAGAACATTCTTCAATTCTTATGATGGGTGGGAACTATCCTTAAAGAATATCACATGCGTTTATTAAGCAGCTTTTTCGACGACGATGATGATAATGGTAAAGAAAAGCTTCGTCTCAATGCCTTCAACATTTTATCACGATTTTCAATGTGGAAACGACGACAATGAAGTTCAGTTCATTCAAAAAATATTTCTTCGCCTGCATTCTTTCATGTCTTCAAGCGTTTTCACTCTAAGGGACAACATGACTAAAGAAGAACATGTTCTGAACTTCAGAGGCACTGACACGACTTACTGAAAGATTTTCTACGTTGTTAAAGCTTCATGCAAGAAAGAAAAGCTTTGAGAATCTCTCCTGAGAGCTGAATTAGGAAGATTAAAGTAAATTGATAAACATTTTCATGATAAGAAAATCCGGAAAGAAATTTTCACTTACATAAAAATATATTATTTATGAGAGAGATTTATTCTGACGAAATCTAGCAACAAAAGATCTTTGATTCTACAGTTTTCATTTCTTTTCTCTTTTTATACAGTGAAATTATCTATAAACACTTTCCATAAATAATTTCTTCTTCGAGTCACTTTAAACATAAAGCTCTCGAACATTGAACATTTATCACGACACGACCCTTAAAGATGATAATCCCTTGCTTTTATAAACATTCATCACTGAAACGATTCTTGCTTCAAGCGTTTTTTAAATGCTTGTTAATGTGAAATCACGTGCCGACTTATTAACGGCCCCCAATAAAGCTTTTTGTTTAGCTTGGTACGCGCTTCGTGGAAATTTGAATAATTAATTAAGCGCTTAATTGCTTTCTTTTATTCCGTTTTCTCTTTATTTTCTTTTTCACTCAGCCTTCGGTGTTCTTCACTTTTAGAATTCATCGAATTTCTTTTTAAATACTCACGCACCCAAGATAAGGATTTTTATCTCGTAAATTTGTTCAAAGTGAATGTTCATTCATCGTTTGGGTTTCAAGGCGAAAGTTTATATGAATGTTGAGGAGGGAAGGGCAGAAAGGGTAGCAATTCAAAAATAAAACAAGATAATTTTGGAATGGGATATAGGAATGTGGATATGAAAAACGTGAACATATTTCCATCTGTCCTGGGGTCGTTTCATTCTTCATTCATCCACCCAACCCCACCAATATCTTCGCCGTGCAAATTGTTATAAAATTCAAGCATTTAGGTATAGTTATATATGTGTATATATGTGATATATAAAAACGTTCGTTAACATGCTGTGCTCATTTTATTATCAAGTCAAGCTGAAGGCTGGAAGGCTGAAGTTTAACTGACGAAGCGTGTCTGACATGTTGTGCTTCTCTTTTCCGACAGATAATATCCGAATAATTTTTGCAAATCTCATTCATTTGATTGATTTAATTTCTCAATAATCCGAAAGTGATAGATTTTTATTTACACACGCTATCTTCAGAACAAACATTTCTCTTCATACTACTGACACTGTTGTAACTCACTTGGTACGCGATGACGATGAACTTTACCAAAAATTCCATCTGATATCGTTATCAACACAAGTGCCAAACTTGTAGCTTTTATCCAACTCATTTTTGGCTTTTATTTTCACTTCACTTTGTAGAAGTAAAACTTTTTCCTTAATGACGGCTGGTAGCTTATTGAAAACCACTGCGTGAAGATGAATCGAATACGATAAGAAGGATATAAAGTTTTATTTTTTTACTTTTTTTTTCTTTTTGTTATTTTTCTCGTTTATCTTCCGTTTCACACTACAACCATAATAATCATCATCATCATCACAACCATCTTCACATTGGTTTCGTTAAGAGACCAATTTATTGAAAATGAACCTTCTTTATATAAAAAACTAAAACGGAAGAAAAGCAAAGCAGGTGCTTCATCGTTCGTTTCTTATTTCACACTGAATCGACAACGTCGCTGTGGAGAGAAGAAAATGAAAGCACAACACATCGTCGTCGGAAAGCTATACGAGATATGGAATAAAGATCTTTTCGATAACACGCCTAGAGGAAGATTAAGAAATTTAATATTTCCGTTATCCTTTTAATACTTGTTGTTCCATGTTCCATTGTTTGTATGTTTGTCTGTACTTCAATTTCATGAGATACTGCGATAGATTTATAATTGTTAAAGAAGCTTTGTGTATGATTCAAGAAATCTGACCTGTTCTTTCTCATCATTGTTGTAGATTTATTTATAATGATTCGATCGAAATTGTTTGTGTTTTTAAGTTTAAATATCGGGTCAAACATTTTCAATTTCTTTTAACTTCACTTTCATGATATGTTCTAGGAAAAATAAATTTTTGTGGTAATGTATTCTCGTTGTGGCACCTCTAAATAATTGTAATAATCTCTCAATGTTGGTATGTTATTCGAATGTTTTTTTTTCTGTTTTTTGAGCTTTTAGCAATTATTTTCTTCGTCATCAGTGTTGCTTAAATGTAAATATTTGAAGCATATTGAAAGTCATGCTTGAAAAAAAGAATGAGAACTTCTCATGAGAAAAGGAAAGCTGAGTTGCTCATAGATCATTCGATCCGCTAACTCAGATTGAGTCAGCAATAAATTATTAATTGGAGCAATTAAACTTTAATGGTTGATGAAGAACGAAGAAGAAAATATCTAAGTTAAAAAGTAAACTATTTGATAAATTCTGTATCTTCACTTATCAGACTGATTAGATTTATGGGAAAATGGAAAGTTTAGTAATTAAACAAGGCTGTAAATCAATTGTTTAAGACAGAGAGTATTTTGAAAAGGAAATTATCCTCATTCATCTCTTAAAGGGAATTCTTTCACATTTTTCATTTTTTCTCAAAACTCTAGTAATTTTTGTTAAAATGTGAAGTGCTTCTAATTCTTTCCGATAATTGAGACTATAATTGATGATTATATTTTTAAAAAAGTATGGTGCAAAACGTCACTTCAATAATATATAATTTAACAACTTTTTCAAATTTGAATTTGACTCGCGTGTTCTGACCAAAAAAGTTGTTTGAGTCAAGTACCGTGTGACTAAAAATATTAACACATGCGATAAATTTTAAGCGAAAATTATCAAAGCAACCTATTATGAAAAAGCTTCAATCTCTAAAGTATTACTTGCGAGAGAAAACAATTACACTTGATCCAACATCAAAATTAATTGAAATACAAGAATCATGGGTGAAAATATTTTTCCAAAGGAGAGAAAAAATTTCGGGAAGCAATGTCTCTTTGTCGACAAAAGATTTCTTATGGTAGCAATTCCACCAAAGCCTTACGAGTTTAAAGATTATATTCAACGTAATCCTGTAGATGTAGGCACTCAATTAAGCAAACAATATGCATTTAGTGAAGCTAATACCATGTCAGCGACTTTTGATAAAAAGGGAATGTTTCATACTGAAGGCGGTTGGCCAAAGGACGTTGACATTTCAGACATCGAACAAAAAATCCGATATCGACGAAAACTGGAGAAAGACGACGCTTATATCAAACAGCTTCCACAGATGCTTGAAGTATGCAATCATTAATTTCATTTATGACCTTCATTTAAATTTCTTATTTTCAGGCAGCTGAATTCTGCATTCTTCAAAACAATGCCGTCAATATTTATGAACATTACTTTGAAAATTTAAAATTGAAAGAAGCACCAATTGCAGAAACATGTCAGTCACGTACTTCTAATGTTTATAAAGATATTGATAAGCCTTTGGTAAGAATTTAAATAACTTAATTGTAGTTGCAAATAATTTCTTAATTTATTTAAAAAAAGCGTCAAGTAAATCATTTGTCATGGTCACCAGATGGTGGTGTTAAGATTGCTGTGACATATTGCAATAAGAATTTCTTAAAAAGTCATTTAGGATGTTCGTGTAACTCTTACATTTGGGATGTGGAGAATCCAAATCAACCTTCTTACACATTGTCACCGAAATCTCCTTCGATTTGTGTTGAATATCATTACAAAGATTACAATTTTCTCGTCAGTGGACATGATAATGGACAATGTTGTGTTTGGGATGTTAGAGTTGGAAAATATCCAGTGGGAATAACACCTATTGAAGTATGTCATAGTGGAAGAGTTAATTCAGCTCTTTGGGTTAACAGTAAGCATGGAACAGAGTTTTTCTCTGGTGCTGTTGATGGTCAAGTTGTTTGGTGGGATATGAGAAATCTCTCCGAACAGATTGATTCACTTTACATGGATCCTATGAGAACTGAAGAACAAAATCGTAGCCAATCCCAATCGATCAGTTTGCTTGAATATGAGACGACAATTCCATCTCGTTTCATGGTCGGTAGTGAACATGGCATGTTGTTTCTTTGTAATCGGAGAGGAAAATCACCAATGGAAAAAATAGTTTCGTTGGTAATAATTAATTTATTTATTGGTTTTAAAGATATTATAAAGCTTCTCTGTTTAGATGCAAATCCACACTGGCCCTGTAGCTGCTTTAAAACGTAATCCTGGATTCACTAAAAACTTTCTTTCTGTTGGCGATTGGAATGGAAAGGTTTGGTCTGAAGATTGCAAAGAAGGGTCATTAATTTGGACTAAAAACCGACCAGTGCAGCTGACAGATGGTTGCTGGTCACCAATAAAACCTTCCTTGTTCTGCTTAAGTCGCATTGATGGAAACGTTGAAGTTTGGGATCTACTGCAACAACAAGATGAACCAGTTTTAATAATTCAAGTGAAAATAACTAAAAACATTACTTATTAATGAATAATTTTAAATCATTTTCATCACAGGTGTCAGATTTTTCTGTGAATTGTGTGAATCCTCATGAATCTGGGAAAATGATTGCATGTGGTAATGCAGATGGAACCATGAGTTTAGTAGAGCTGTCAAAGTCATTAACAGTCAGTGATAAAAAAGACAAAGTACTTCTGAATGATGTAAGCCACTCCAAATTTTTAATGAGTATAATGCTTAGAAATGGTTCTTTTTTATCTTATTTTAAAGATGTTTGTACGTGAAAACAAACGTGAAAAACTTCTCGCCGGCAAGTTGCGAGAAATTCAAATTAAAAGGAAGAAGCAGCAAGAAATTGAGTCTGCCAAATTAAAGCCATCATTAAATCAAGGTAACAGAATATCGCTTTTATTATTAATAGGTTCTAACTACATATTTTTAGAGGAAGTTGATGCAGCAGAAAATGATTTCTTTAAAATGACCGCAAGTGAGCAGAAACGTAGATATGAGGAAGAAGTTTTATTAGGAAAGTCTAAATCTGAGAAAACTGTAAGAATTTCCCGAACTTTGCCAAATGTTGATGAAAGATTATCTGCTGCTACCCCACGTTCGAGAGAAAGCAACATTGATGAAAACACAAAAGAAAATGCTCATAATTAAGATGAAACATGAATGGTTAAAGAATCACACCCATTCGTTGATATCTTATCTGTCATAATATATTTTGCTAAACGATTTTCATAAATTAGCTTTCTCTATTAAATTGTAAGAAAAATATTTAAAAAATTTGAGAACATTTAAAATTATTTGTAGCAAATATTCTTATTCATATTTTTGATGTTTAAACAAATAACTAATCATATGTTTGAGCAAAATTCCAGATTTTTGAGCCATATTGCAAGTACGACTCAAACATTTGACTTTTATTCTTCTTATTTTTCGACGCACATTCTTAAGATATCTTCATGGTTTTCTTCTTATTATAAATTTTGGATTGTGTAGAGCATAGCAACATAGATAGAGTATAGCGTGACAATGTTGTTACCCTAGGTAGAAAGAAGGACAAAGAGAAAAAGAAAACATAAATAAAATGACTAACACACTCGCATACAACATAAAATCAAACATAGAAAGCATGCATCCTGAAGTAGATAAATGTTTTACGAAGGGTTTCTTGCTTACATTCCACATAGATACGTAAAATATTATTCTAATGTTTCAGTCGTAGTAGAACATGATTCAGAGCGGAAGCAACACAATTCTTCTATATATGATTCGTTTTTAGTTGTGTAAATGAGAGATTGCATTTCAATTTAAAATTATTAAAAGTTTAAGTGAGATTTACTATATTTATTATTTGCGTTATCAGTTGCGGTTTTTACAAACTTGATAAGCGAAGTTTATTGTGCATTAAAAATTATGACTTCACGTGTTACGAGAAGTTGGACAAAAAATAAATGAAATAAATAAATTTATGTGGTCACAAAAAATGGAGGCGATTATTTGGAGAATTCTTTTCATCGTTCTTCTCATAACTTTAAGCAATTTGGTATATTGTGGGAGTAAAAGAGACTCAAAGAAATGCATCTTTGATCGTGTTCATAAAATGATTACTTATAATTGTGCTGGTCTGAGACTTACGGACATTCCAAGGAACTTAAAAACTTCTACAGAGGTGGAATCTGTATGATTCTTATAAGATAATAAATTAAATTTAATTTCTTTTTTATTGTAGATTATGGATGCATCGGAAAACAGAATAAAGAAGCTGACGAAAAATGCTTTCAACAACTATCCAAATATGAAATATCTTTATCTATTTGATAATATGATACTTAAAATTGAAACGGGAACATTTTCAAAACTTACCTTGCTGGAAACTTTGGATCTTTCAAACAATGGACTTCGGTTTGTGCCATCAGAAATTTTTCAATTAAAGAACTTGAGAAAACTTTACGTTGCTGAAAATGAACTTCGGGATGAAGGTTTTTCAAACGTTAAAAAACCAGTGAAGGCACCGCTTGCATATTTAAATTTAGCAGCAACAGAAATACAGAAAATTCCGGAGCTCGGAATCCTTCCAGATTTGATTCAATTGAATATCTCAATGAATTATTTAACGCAACTTGCGCCAGAACAATTTGCGCCTTTATGTAATCTTAAAATTGTTGATCTCAATCGAACGAGCTTGGAGGCTTGTCAATGTGTAAGAATTAATATGTTTATGGAAATAGAACTTAAACGTTTACCAATATTGGATTGTGGATACGAAGCATCAAACAGTAAGTTGAATTGTTTTCTTTCAAGTTCTCTCGAGATTTATTCTTATTTTTGTTTTAAAGATTGCGACATTGAGGATCTTAAAACATTTAATGTAACTAAGGATTATTTAAGATGCATCACAAAAAAGGAGGAACTTGTCAAAGCGAGATCAGCTGAAATTTCTATCTCATGGCCATTTATTTGGTTTTTTGGATTCATAGGATTCTTCTTTCTAACTATGACATTTGTCTATTGTAATAAACCGCCAAAGACGAAAAAGGAAGTAATTGATTTGAGTAACGATATTGATCACTTCACGCGTCCCAGAAGCACTTTGATTATGTAAATATATGTATATGTTTATATGTGTATAAATAATCTTAAAATAGATTTCGTAATATGTATGTAGGTAACATATTAAGGTATTTTTTTAAAATGTTAAGGAACTTCAAATATAAAGTAATTAGTAATTTACAAAAGTGGGACAATGGTCATAAAGCCATAACAAAATTATACTACTTATATTTTCATACATTTTAAGAAATTTCCATGCATCTTAATAAAAAATCCTTTTAAATAAAAGTTATGACTGAAAACCTTATCAGAATTCAAAATACACTTTAATCCACGAAAAAAATATTTTTTTTATTCCACATAAACCTATCACTATAGCCACCTATTGGGTTTATTCAAACTTTTTTGTTTCGACAATAGATGGAGCTGGTGTAGCTTTAGAGAAAAAACGAAATTTTTCTTAAAATTATTAATAATAAGTTATTCATTTCATTTGACTTTTCACGAGAAGTTAACATTCGATTTTCTCGCTTTTCATACTATACTGAAAGTTTTCATTAAGATCTATTTGAAACCTGAAGAATTTAGTAAATAATCAGGCTGCTCCATCTAAGCTTTTAAGATGGAATAACAAGAATACAGAATAAAGTTCAGAATCTTTGTGCTTAATTTGAACTTGGTTAGAATTCATGTTTCACAAGTCCCTGCAAATTTCAGGAAAAGTATTCCCAATACTCAGGATTACAATTTAATAGTCAACAACAAAGACGGAATATTGCTTTATTATCCTTACATAAAACGTTGAATATTTTAAACATTCGGTTTTCTAAAGAAAGGTTATTCAGAACTATTTCAAGCTACGAGTAAATTTCATGGGAAAATAATTCATGTACCGGTTGAGATTCTCTCTCTCTCGAGAGAGAGTATTTAGTTTAGTGTAGAGCGAGCCGCGGTCGAGGAAAGACGCGGAAAGAATAAAAGATAATAAAAAATATATAAAGATCGTGGTATTCATCGTCATCGAGTTTGGAGGCATTCTAGCGACTTTACAATTCAATTAAAAAAAACCGGCTTCAATTCGGTTGGAAATGATTTTCAGAAAGAAAACGCAGTTGAACATTATTTATTAACAAATTCGAAAGAAAAGTTAAAGGAACAAGAATAAAAAGTAAAATATTCTCAATGCATTTTGATGAATGATGAGGATATAGGCTATAAGAAGAGTTTCCTCAAAAAGGTTATCAGGTGAAAATTTCAACATCCAATGGGATGATATCAAGTTCAAATCTGATAGAGTACAAAATACCAATAAAAAGTCGTATTTAAGGATATTTTTGATAGATTTTCGTTTTGAACTTTCTTTCCAGATTTTTCAATTCTGACATTTATAAATATTGTTCAATTTTCTGTTGATAATTATGTTTCAAACATTCGAAATTTGTATGCGAGCATAGACACTAAATGATGATTTATGTATGTACGAATGCAGATGAATAAAAAAAAAAGCAAGCAAGCATATACACAGCAAGGACATTGAAGTCAGTGACATCTACATAAAGTTTAAGTAAAGTTCGGATTTTCTACTCGTGCGTAATTGTGGAAGATTTTTGTAAATACGAAATCCTCAACGAGTTAGAACATTTTCTTTTAATTATTTGATAAATTAATGAGAGAGAGAATTATATTTATTTCAAATTATTTCCTAACTTTTGACAAATTGGAGAATATGGAATTTAATTAAGCACCAGCCTTTCTAAAGCTTTAATCTTAATTTAAGATTTGAATTTTTAAATTAAATTTAGTATTTTTTAATTCGATAATTTAAATTTTATAATTGAAAGAATTTGTCATAATCAGATAAATTAATGATTAATAAAGTATTTAATATTAAAATGCCAAATTTACTTTATAATTTATCATTGATAAATCGAATTAAATTATGTATCACTAATCCAAAAAATAAGTGAAACGATTTCAGATTGTAGGAATAAGCCTAAAGCTTCGTGTTAAATTCGTTAAATTTGTGACAAATGTTTGACTTTCGACATGCGAGGCTAACTCCATTTCATGCTTTAAGAATGAGATTAATTTGTTTATCTTTCTTTGCAGCATGATATTTCATCTTCCATTTTCTTCTTTCGAATGTCATCAAGCTTTCGGTTTCAGAAGCTTGAATAGAGATTCGTATTCGAACATTGATAAAATTGTTAATATATCGAAGAAGAAAGACTTGTAAACTTAAGAGATTAAATACATTAAAGACATTGCATGAAAATTTAACAAGTCACTTACACGACTGATGGAAGCCATCGAATATTTTATAGGGAATGGAATATAAAAACGAGTTTTGACGTCGCCAATTCTTTCAATTGCATGCTTTTATAAACTCTATGACCTCATTTCCTTGAACATTGTTTGTGAGCTGAACAGGAAAGAATCCGTGGAGGATTTTGAATGAATTTTTTATATTGCATTTATTTTTCTTGCTTCTTAGATTTCCTTTTTTTATTATTTGTTTTTTCTTCTCAAAATATCATGTGATGAGAAGATTACTTTTCAGCAGCCAGACAAGCTGAATCGGTTGCCGGTTAAAAGAATTTCTTTCTTCCGTCGTCTGATAATTTATCTGAAACTCCTTCCTGGTTATATTTAATTCAAATGAAATTCAACGTCTTTTTGAAAGAATATAAAATGAAAGTTAGATTTGCGGCATCACAGGAAATGGATTTGCTATTCGATTTTCCAGAAGCTCCAATTTTACATCATAGAAAAAGGAAGTGTTTGTCTTGATGAATTATTCTTCAACCTTGAAGAAAAGATTTTTGGTTGCGGATGACAAATTATCGTTTTTCATAAATGCGTTCAGTTTAAAGTTTTAAAAAGCAAATTTAAATCTACTTGTCGTCTTAAGAATTGCATCATTATCAATTAAATGTTTATTCTGTATTGCAAATTGTATTTTTGAATTTTGAGATTTTCTGCAAGCATAAAAGTTGTATAAGTTTAAACGACAAACTCATAATTGTCTTTTTTAGAGCTGACAAGGCCTTGCATAGAAATTTCTATTTTTCCAATCCCATAAGAACATGAAAATTGTTATCTCACTTTTTAACGGATACCCTCCAACAATGGCAAGCGAGATTATATCGGAGTAGAGCGAACACTATTTGGAGTTTGTGTGCAGTAAATGTGTTTCATTAATTTCCATAGCAAAATGGGTTTTTATTCAAATGATGTCACAAAGTAGAGTGTAAGGAGATTTAAGCAGGGAATTATTTGAAGCACTCCCACTCTCACGTATATGTATTTGCATGCATAACTATTCACTGTTTGCGAAACAATTCTTGCCAAAAGGCATCGATGGACTTTTTTGTCTTCTCTTTAACCATAGAACGAATAATTTTCAATCAAACACGATGGAAATTGAAAAACTATAAAATTTGGCGATATAAACGAGAATGAAATGAAATGAGAGTTGACGAAAATTGGAATCATGCGTTGACATTCAACACTTCAACTTCATTTAGTGTATCACTTTCAATTTGCTATTTCAATGTCATAAAATAAGAGAGAGAGAATAAAGAATGTTGCAAAGAGTAATGTTCATAAAAGAAACTTTGTTTGTTTTAGTTGAAGCCTTTTTTTTGTGTCTTTTCCTGAATGATTTAAGATCCATTGTCTTTACGTGACACATCCGGGCCAACAACAGGCGGTGAGAAATTCTCTCCATAACTTCTCATATTTATGTTATTGTGGTGAAGCGAAGGAAAAGTGGAATGGCTTAAACATGACACAATAATATATTCCAAGATGAATAAGGGGTTACGATGTGTAAATGTAGGTCAAAAACATTGAAAAAATAGTTTTCTTCTGATTCTGTATAAAATAAAAGTTTATTAGAAAATCTTCAAATGCATTATAAAATTCAACTTTTGGAAAGAAACTATCTTCATCTTACTCGACCAGAAATGTTAACAAAGTATTTAAATATTCTTCAAAGCATTCTTTTGAATAACTATTTTTTACAAGAAAGATAAGGAAAATCGAATGCTGAGGGATAGAAAATTCATCGTCTGAAATTCACATTTTTGATGAGGTCAAAGCTTTTTTATGCCTTGAGGAATTAAGAAGGGAAATGAAAGATACAGAGATGGAGATATAGATATGGCACTAGTCGGAAATCTTTTTGTGTCAAGTGATTGTAACGACGTAAACTCCAATCTCAAGGCATGCTGAAAAATAGATATTTAAATTAATACTCAGATTTCTTTTGGTTTTCAATTATATTTTTAAAAAATAATCCTTTTATTTATTAGATAATCTCAATAAAAGTTTTCAATTTACCATTTGTTCAAATTCAATATCATTTCTATTATCTAAATCTTTAAAGATATTTCAAATGAATGAAAATATTTATCGTAGTGAAAAATAAAGTAAATAAAAAAGGAAAATTTGCAAATCTATTAAAGAAACTTTTATAATATTTACAGAAATAAGTATGTTCGTTTGCTCTTGTTTCCAAAATAAACAACGGGAACTGGGTAAAGAGGATCTAAAAATTTAAAGATTTCTAAGTATCTTTTATGGTTATTTCTCTACCTCGAACATGAAAATAAGAAAATTGACTGTGAAACAACATTTCATATATTTTTGAAAATATTTCATGAATTAGATATTTAAATGAACATGAATCTTATTGAAATATCCTTCAACATTTCTAGTCTCTTCTTTTATTTTCCTAATAATTTCTCAATTTCTTAGAAAATTTGAATTTTTCCTTTTTAAATGTCCAATTTTTCTCTAAATTCTAAAGAATCGACGCGAAAGAAAAAATTGACTTTACATTGTTTTGGTATGTCATAATTAATTGAAATCCCAATTGCCATGAGATTTTGTTACTTAGAAGATAAATTTTATTTAATTTTTTTATTTTTTCTCACAATTTTCTTTCTTAAAGCAACAATTTTGATCTTAATTCGATGGATTATTCAATTCGATCAATTGTATTCTCAACATTCTCTTTAAAATTATTTCGATTTTTCAACTATCTAAAATAATTCTTGTCCTAAACTTTTAATCCTACACTTACTGTTTCAATAAAAAACGAATTTTAATTTAATCTGATTCAGTCAACGTTTGTTCTTGTATTCAGTGAATCTTAAAGACACGAGAAAGGTCAAAAACTTTCAACAAGGAATCTTTTTATATTTTAAATAATGGAAGAATTTCATTACAATTTTTGATCAGATCAAGCGTCTTTATTATTCTCTGTTTCATTCAACTTAGCCTAAAGCGATAGCGATTGCGATGACAAGAATAGCAACCGTCAATGGAGAAAATTCTACAATTATTTTAGGTGGACTTTTTGTTAAACAATTATGATTAAATCAGCCCCGAAGTGGAATCAATTACGAGTCGAGCAGCCCCAAAGAAGAAAAAGAAGATATTATGCTACTAGACCCTCAATGTCTGATGAATTGAAAAACAATTTAATCTTTTTACTTAAGATTTAAAATCAGGGACGAGCACAGAAAAAAAATTGGCTCCAAATTGTCTGTTGAGTCATGTGTGACGAAAAGTTTTCTTATTCTTCTTATTATTCTTTTATTCTTGTTGCTGCTTTTCTGCTATCACTGAAAGTTGTTTGAATCCATATCAGTGGCTTTTGAGTATAATTTATCAGTGTAAGATTAGGGCTAAATTAACATAATTGATATTTTTACATGGTTCATTTCATGCGATCGATTTATACTGAAACGATTAATATTTAGCAACAAGAAATATGGAGAAGGGAAGATAAGCAACTGCTCGAATTTCAAAGCATAAAAATATTTTTCAGTATGAACTTTCTGTGTATTTTCAAAGAAAATCTTACGGAGAAGAAAAAAGGAGAAAATCTCCACATGACATGAAGAGAAATGTGCTTATCTGCAACAAAAACAAATTATCGGGGATTTCCCTTACACGAATAAACGATGCAAGAGAACAAATCATGAAGCCAAATTGATTTGATAACATACGATAAAAGCTCATATAAGTAATTCCAATTGAATTCCGCTTCATGCAGCTTGCCTTGTAATCTCTTAAATAATGTTCTAAACAGTCCAAGTGGCGCTTAACGAACACAACTCGAATATTACCGAAAATTCCACAAAAACTTATCTTTCGCAAGATATTCTTCGACTTTGCTGGCAAAATTCTTTTCTTCATTTCCTTCTTCAAGAAAGAAAAGTTTTTATATTCGTTTCTCTCATTGTTGGAGTTTCTCTTAGTAATCTATAGATATGTATGCGTTATGAAGTTTCATAAATTTTCTCTTTACATTATTTGGCCCGTAGAAAACAAAGTTTGAAAGCAGTAGAATCAACAAATATCTCTTTGGACAACGAAATTATGTAATTTCCGTCAACTTTATGAAAAGAAAAGCAAATTAAAAAAAAGTTTTTAAAGAAAATAAAAAGTCGTGACTTGACGAGCTTCTCAGATTGCGCGCTTGCTTCGTTTTCTGTTTAGTAATTTTATTCATTTCAATTATCTAAGTAGATATTCTCCTTTTAACTTTGTCTTCCTTATGATTACATGTTTCGAAAATTCTTAACTTTTCCTGAGATAAATATGAAGCGAGCAAAGCTTTTCCTTGTTTGATATTTGATTTTCCTTTCCAAATCAATTTTTTCTTTCATATTTGCACAAAAATGGCGGTTTGAAAGTAACCGAGAAACAAACATAAAATATTGAAGTTGGAAAATATTTAATATGATGTTTCAGAGGAAAAGAAATTTCCGAATGAATTTAACGAAAAGCTCGTAAACTTTATCCTTTCAAGTTTATTTTGAAGGTTCTGCTTCGTTCTGGAAAGCTTGAGCTCCTTAAAGTTTTTAGAAGCTTAATAGCGATTATTTCTCTAAACGAAATTAAATGCAAATTAAATATAACCGTATTTACACATCTCGTGAATCATAAACTTCAAAAGAGTGGAAACATTTTTTGAAGAAATTCATTTAAAAAGAATTCGCATCATAAAAAGCTTTTGTTATTTGAAAAAATATTATGAGCTTTTCTTATGAAACATAAATTATTTAAAGTAATGAAGCAGAAAAGAAAGAGAATAAAACTCTTATCATCGTGAAGATATTCAAGAAACTCTCATAGCAACTTAAAAAGTAAAAAAGTTTCAACTTCCGTTTCTTTCTCCATATTTCTGAGCATCGTTGATAAAATTATATCATCATATCTAACTTAAAGAACAATCTTTCATTTTCATAAAACTTTTATGTACATAAATACATACATACACTTGAAACATAAAACAATCCTGATATTCACAATTGAAGTTTATTATAAGGCCACAAAATTCATCTTTGTCAATGTCTTACTCTTCAACTTTCATTCGGTCTTCTCTTGATTGAGTGCTTTTCGTCATGGTAATTGGTTTGAGAGACTCTCTTGTCGATAAGAAAGATATCTTTTTTCTTCTAGCTAATTGATTAAATTAATTAACTCGTTTAGCTCACAAAAATTAAGCAAATATATAGATATGTAAATATGTTTATGATAAAACAGAAATGAGAAGCAAAGAAAAAAAGTAACAGATAAATTTTTCATTTATGCATCATTTAATGTTAAACATGAGTAGCAAGTGAGCCTTTTTTCAAATCACCGTTCGCTGGAAGAATAAATTGACGTGATGGGCTCGTGATCTTTGTAAGATTATTATTGTTATTATTTGTGGCGGTTGTCGTTGTGACAGTCGTCGATGAATTGTTGCTATTTGGAATTGGTAAACTTAATCCTAAGTGATTTGCTCCTAATAAGCTTCCATTATTTGAGATCGTTGTTGACGACGAAAAGCTTGAGTTACTGTTGTTACTTCGATTATATGGAGGTGGAGCAGGCGTCACAGATGGATTAGCTGTGAACGGTTTTTGTGAATTTGGTGGCAATGGAAGTGGCGTAACACTCGAGCTCTTTAAAAATGGATTACCATAGGTAGCGCTATAGCGAATATCTACATTATTAAGAAGGGATTGATCTAAAATGGAAGTGGTTTGAGTTAAATATTGTTCCTTTATGGAATCACGACAACAGCGTCTCCCAATTGTGTAGTACTTACTCAATATCCCATTTGGCATTGTATTTAATGGTATCGATGGTAAACCATTGTCTTGACGCAACTCTCGGCTACGACCAAAACTGTAGTGATCAATACTACCGTTCATCGTCATTGGACTTTGTCCGGAAGATGTTATTAAATGATTTTTCAGATTGGTATTACTTGTGCGCGTGTTATTCGGTGAACTATAATTACGCGTGTAGTCGTTGTACGGAATGTAGCCATTGTTCGTTAAACCGATTTTCTGTGCCACATGCATATCAGTATAATCACCGGAATAACGTTGATCATTTGGAATTTTTACAGGACCGGCCAATGGAACACCACCATGACCATTGCCCAAAATATTTATAGCCATCCTTGTGGCTGTGCTTTCCGTCCCAGAATATTCTGAATAATCTGGATCCTTCAATTGACTTGAATTTGAATATCTGTCGCCATCTTTGAAAGCTTTTTCATTAATGTGATGCTGTGAAATAATTTAATTTTTAATTTTTTCCACGATTTGTTGTCATACAACTCAAGAGATTTATTAGATTCCACTCACCTCAGGTATAACATCAGCTGGGGGTAATTTCTTTTTGCCACTTTTGAAGCAAATCACTGAAATCATTACCACCATAAACATAAACAGAACAACTGCTAGTAGAATGAAAGCATAAGTGCGCTGGGAGTCGTCTGAAAAGATTACAAAAGAACGATATTGAGTTTTGCGTAGGGGTGATTGAGATTATAAGAATAAAAAGAAATTGTAAGCTTTGCTTTGGAAACAAAAGCACGAAGAAAAGAAAGAACGAGATGACGTTGTCAGCAAAACATACTTCATTAAATATTTAATAAAATTGTTGTGTCACTAAAGACAGAAACTTACGTCGTCCAGTCAATACAATTTCAACATTATCGTGGCCATAATCGTTTTGAACCGAACAATTATAGATGCCGAAATGCTTTGATGCACTTTCGCGAAGAACCAGAGTTGACTTCATGCCAAATGTTGTGACTTCTTCCAGCACCGTATAATCACCATCATCCTGATTGTTATTGATTTCTCGTCCATTGAAGGCCCACAAAATGTGACGGGGTTTTGGAATCGAAAAAGCAACGCATTCAATTTGAACCGTCTCACCGGGAATACCAAATTGCTTTTTCGTTGAGGTGATTGATGGTGGACCTTTAAGATAGATGTTTGCTTCATCTTCTATACTGATTCCCATGACACTTGCTCTACATGTATAGCTTCCAACATGATCGTTAGACACGGAAATCGTTAAGTTTGGAGTTGTTCCGACCACCTTTTCAATAATAATAAAAAAAGAAAGAATAAAAAAAGGAAGAGAAAAGGTAATTCTATTAAAAACGAATTTATATTGAACGAATTTAAAACGCTTTCTTTACGCTACACATATTGGTAAAGGGATTAAGGGATTTCCCAGAGAATTCTCAATAAACAAGACATAAAATACTTTTTAATTCTCCTAAGAAGCTCAAACATCTGTATTAGGTAGACATTTAAGCTTTCTCCTATCTTTTTTAAAATACAAAACAATAATTTCCTATCTTGATCCTTAAGATTTCTTTGAAAATCTGCATTTTTAAGTCGAGAGAAGTCAACATAAAATTGAATAAAAAAAAAGGAAATAGAAAGATTTTCAGGAAAAGCAAAACACTGCTCTGCCATCAATTTAATACTTGTGCAACCTCCCGTAATAAATAAGAAAATCCCCAAATGGGAGGATGTTAAAAATAACGGAAAGTTCAAAGAATGAATTTATCAATGCTATGTCTTACCTTTCCCGATGGATTGAATATCCACTCAATTTCAGGTGTCGGATTGCCATCGACATCACAGCTTAAAGTTATTGTGTTGCCTTCGTCTGTCTCGACTGACTTCAATTGAGACTGAAAAGTGGGGCCGTAGCTAATATCGAGTGTTTCACTTTCTTCACTTTTGCCAACTGCGTTTTGAACTTCGCACTTCACAATCGCATCATGATATTTTCTTGATATGTTATGAATGATAATCTCTGTGGTGTAATCACCAATAGCAGGTTCACCATTGATGAACCATCGATATGTTAATTCATTTGGATTTGCTACAGCATGACATGCCAGACGAATTTCGGCGCCTTCGGGAATTTTTTCATTTGCCAAAGCACCACTAATCACTGAAACGGTGACCTTCGGCGCAAATTTCACCTCAAGTTTAAGTCGCACAATTTTCTCCGTTCGATCTGCGGTATTTTGTGCTTGACATGAAATTGTCGTATTGTGATGTGTCATTTTCGGAATGAGTTTCAAGATTGATTTCGCTTCGAATCGCTTTTTGTCAGCCATTGGTTTCTTTATATACTCGACACCCGACGTCAAGACATTTCCCATTCCGTCAATCCACGTGATCTAAAGTGAATGAAGAAAATTCATAATTGATAAATTAAGATGCATCAGAAATAAATAATGGATGGGAAAAAGCTAAAAAGATTTCTTTATTAAGTATAACAACATTCAACTTTCATTAGATTGCACAAAACAAAAGCTAAGAACTTAGACAAAAACCTTTTATCTCGAAACAACGAGAAAAATGAAAAACTTTTCCTCAATTTTTCTCTTCTTCTTCTCTGCTCCTCTTCATCTCAATTTCATTTTTCAAGCTATAAAAATAACAACAGCATCTCATTAAAATTCATCTATGTGACTTACTTTTAACTATAAACTTTTAATTTTTATCTTGCAAAATGGAGCAATAAGATGAGACGTCAAGAGAGAAAAAAACGAGAATATGAAGGAGGACAAAGAGAATAGAAAAAATTGTAGATATAAGAAATGAAAAAAGTTTTCAAATTAACAAGACTTCAGAGAGATATTCCTTCTTTCTTTTCTTGTTTTGGAGGCTCTTCTAGCTTTACCAACGCTCGCTATCTTTCAACTAAAACTTCTATCCGATTTTTATATATTTTGTTAGTTTTATTTCTATGCTCAAGTGGAACTGGAGTTAAAAAGCTTTTGCTACTTTGTCTGTAGTCTCTGATCATAGTACTTCGCCATACAAACAAAATCTTATTTCTTAATCGAGAAAAGTTTGATTTGAATTCCAGAATTCCTTTGCTTTGTTGGTGGACTTTTCTTGTATCTGTTTGAACAACAAATTCTACATTGGATGAAAACATAAAAAATGTAACATTTCAATTCATTGGTAGATTTTCCTTTCATTTATTCAACCAGAGTACTTTCAATACAATTCTTTATTGCTTTAACGAGTTTCATTAATATTTGAAATGAATTTTTTTATGTTATTTAATTTACAAATATTTCCATGAAAATAAAATGTTAAGTGTAGATATGTATATATCGTATACGTATTTTATACATTTATACATAAAAAGTCGTAGAGAATCTTCCGCTATAAGTTTTATGCTTAACTTTATGTAACTCCGGATGTTTCCAAAGATAGCTAAAGATGAGAAAACAATAAAATTCAAGAAGTTTGCATAATTTTTATCGAGATTTTTATTATAGTTGGAAGAAAGAAAAATAATGATAAATCTCGACCGTAACTTTTCTCATCCCTAAGCTATCGGAAGAAGAATTTTTGAGGTACGATATTCGAAGAAAGTTCTTTTCTGTCTTTTTGTATTCGTTGAAAGTTATGGCAAAAATTATGGCATGTTTTCTTTCTTTCTCTCATTCTTTAAAGTTAACCTTCTTCCACCTCAGTTCAATGATTCGATTTTTTAACAACAAAAGAAAAAAAACTTTCAGAAAACATGAAATATATTTCCTGACTGGGGTATGAAAATGTTTGTTGAAATACTTTATTTTCCTGCTACAAACATTCCAATTCCACCCTTTCATCAATAATGATTTTTTTCTTCTTTGTCAGCGTTCGGACATTGTTGAGAGGTAGGCAAGAGAAATATAAAAGAATGTTTCGACCTCGGTTCTCGATTGAACCTCGAAGTTAAAATTTCACTTTTGAGAGAAAGAGTAACCGACATCATCAATAACTTTTTACCTTGGCATATTGAAAAATTGAAAGCTTTGAAAGCGCTTTTAAAAAAGGTGAAGCTTTTAATATCTGAAAAGTTTTCCCAATTTTACTGACAACACTTAATCAAGAAATGCCATGATTTGTCAAATATTTTCGAAAAAATCGTCAACCTCATAGAAATAATTTCAAACAATTTCCGTAAGATTTGACCTTACGATAAAAGATAAACAAAATCCAATCTGAATATTCTTCTTTTAAGAATTGGAAATATTCATAACTACTTTTTATTTTTTTGTGCTTCAATCCCAATAAATGTCCCAAAGGGACTGAATGATATTTCATTCGACGAATACCGTAAAATAAATAAATTGGAAATAAGATTAATGATAATGTGAATGGAAGTTTCAAACGGCAAGAAATCAGATCTTTTGTACTCACCTCAGCTGCTGGCTTTCCACCCCATGACAAACATTCGAGTTCGATTTCCCTATCCTCAGTCGCAACCATGTGATCAATGCTTGTATTACCTTTAACAATTTTAGGATCATCTGGTGGAACTAGAACCGTAACTTTAGCGTAGCGTGAACGAATTGCAGGTGCGCCTAAAATGGAGACATAAATTAAGACAAAAAAGAAAATAAAAGTTAAAATGTCAAATGAAATTGTAAATCGATAAGTGTTACATACCATCGGCACCTGGGCTAACTTGGCACTGATATCTTGCGTCATCATCAAGCATGATAGGTGAGATATCAAGAGAGAAATCTCCTTCTTCATCACTTCCAACCATGGAATATCTTTCGAAACCACTTAGGTTTCTGTGAACGCCAAGACCAAAATCATCTTTAGTCCATTGAATCAGACCCGTCTTATCTATGACACGACATGGTAAAGTTACTCGTGAACCAATTATTGCCGTTTGATCTTGAGGTTCCATTGCGAATCTCTGCGCTTGTTTTTCTTGACTACTACTTCCACTGGTATGATATTTGCCAGTAACTACTGGAAATGTCACTAACATTATTCTTAAGAGAAGAAAAAGTGACATATTTACACTCCCTCTGTGTCTGTTAATATGTTTGAATTGAAACATTGTCATGTTGCTCGAGATGATGGTTGCATAAAGATAAACCGTTTTGGCTTCCTCTAGTCTTTCTCTTTATTTAAGAGTGTCAAGGAACTTCAATATGCTTCTTGGAAGCACAAATTTATTGTTAGGGAAACTCTGTTTAGTTGGGAATATTTTGTCGTCTTAATAATACAACAATTTCCTGTTGCATGGAGAGCGTTTAAGTTGTCCCCGACAACGTTCGACGAAGTATTGCGTAAATTTACTTTTCTTTATTAATTCTTACTTTCACCTCTCGTTACTTCGGAAAAATATAGAATCAGTAATCGAAGTTTCCAATAGCTTCGTTCTCAATTAGATATAAGATGATGAAGCTGGATTTCTAACTTTTGTAAAAGTTTTTCTCTCTTTTTTCTTTCATTTCTTGGTTGTTTGTTTCATTTTTCACTTTTCTAAAATCATCCACCATTGAATAAAATCTGGAAAAAAGAAGAAAATTTTATAAATAAAAAATTTATCAGTTACATTGGAATGTTTTTATATTATGTAATATTATGACAAACATTTCATGATTTTTGTCCATTGAATTTGAAGATTTGAGAATACTGTGAGATATCTTAGATCAATTTAAAAACAGCAGACAAAAATATGGAAGTATTGACACTGTACATACTCTTAACGTATCTTTGTATGTGCTGCAATGTTTGAAGAGAGCAGCAGATAAATAAATAAATAAATAAACTGAGAAAAACATGAAACGGAAATCCGATAAATTTGTGGTTCAGCTCTATAATTTGAAAGTCGTAAAAAATTTATTGGGTTATAGGAATGACCCTCAATAAGAGAAATGGACAAACCTTTTTTGTTAGATGTCGTTGCCATTTCTTCTCCAGAAAAGGAAAAACCTCAAACAATAAGTTACAAATACCTTTGATGGTTGAAAGGCAGTGAAGTAGCTTTACAATGTTGCGTTAAGGAACATTTGGTTTTAAACCAGAGCACAAGACGCTCGCAACTGGCATTCATTCGTAAACCCACAAAGTAATCGTTCCGAAGAAAACACAAGAATTCTTTTTGCTCTCAAAATATAAAGAAAATCTTCAAGAGGAAAATTTCAAATAAATAACAAATAAACGATCAAATTGGGAATAATATTTGGATACATTTTACTTTTCTCTCTCTACAGAAAAGCCTGTTTTCTTCCATTTTCATCCCACACCCTTTGTAAGATTTTCTTCTTTCTCTTCACCAGTTTTACCATGAATATCATCTTCATGCGGATACAAACGGTTGCTCTCACTCCTCTATACCGCTTTTAAACGCCATCGTGAATATGTGTATGGGAAATAAAGCTAAGCCGAAAGAAAAATTGAAGGAAGATTGAGATAAGAAGCCGAGAAACAAATTTTTCCTTCTTTCTATCTAAGTTAAAAAACAGAAAAGGAGAAAAAATCGCTGTAATCTTTAGCCAAGAAAAAATATCTAAGAAGATAGAGTTGGTTGAAAAGGTAAAAGGAAAATGTCTGAATTTCAACCATAAATTTGTATCTTTATTCGACTCGCATTATAAAGAAAAGAGAATCCACTGGGATAATAAATTTATTCGCTCGCTTGCTGCTATTCCTTCCAGCTTTCCCTTTATGGTTGAAAGAAAAATTGAATAAATCGTTTTTCCTCAGGAAATCTAAAGATCTACTTGTTGTTGAACGGATATAGAAAGACTAACTAACTATTCAAAAAGCGTACCGAAATATTTACATATGTACAACAGGAGATTATTAATATGATTACATTACGATACGCACATCATAATCAGAGATTTGTGAAGGATTTCAAAACTGAATGTTTTGCTTTCCTGAGTGTTTATTTGTACAGTGAAGTTTTTCCCTTTCATCCCGAAAATACTCTTGAGAGTTCACTGTGCTTCCGTTGTAACCATGAAGAAAATTCAATGAAGGCAATGCGAACAGAGTGCATAAAAAAATTCCCTTTTATGCGTGGATTAGTGTAAGTTTTTTAAATTTTAATGCATACTCCTGGCTTGGATTATGTGAAGCTTTGATTCAATTTAATTTCATTAAAAGTAAATTCCACAAAATCTGCTTTCATGTGGCAAGCGAAAAATTATTTTTATATATTTTACTGAATGATTCATGAATATTCTCATCTTAAATATGCTTTATTCGAAGAGTTTTCATTCATTTCAAGCACCCACAACAATCATCAAAATTATTAGCACTTGTAAAAAAATTGTTCATTTATTTTCCTTTGCTTTTTAACAGATTTTATGTGATTCTTTCATAAATAGAAAAATAAAATTTGATTTGGACTGACAACTGGAAAAAACCCTTGTTTCCTGATAAGGTTTAAATTAATGTCACTATTAACATTTTTTCAATTGTATAAAAGACTTCATGAAATGCATAACTTCCGGAGACAATTTTATGTAATTGTTAGTAATTGGGTCGGTTATTAGTGTGACTCTTGATGCATTAATAAACATCATGATTCCTCCCGCCTGATTTTATTTTATAACACGATAGCATGCAGTTTAACATAAATCACCATGTTCTAATTTTGCATGAATTATTTTTTTACGCTCACACATATTCATCGATTTTCAATGTTTTTAATATAACTGAAAGCATCATCCTAATCTACTCATACAAATTGGTAGTTTACATCCAACAAAGTTTTTGTTTCAACTCTGAAATGAATTTAATTTGAATATATTTCGAAGCACTTGGCTTGCTTCCGATGCTTGCCACCATCACTTTTTATGAGCATGTTGGGTTGTATGTGATGTGGAAAAAAAAACGTTCGAAATTTTTTTCCGATAAAGCAACAAGTTCCTTAGATATTTTTGTGTTCGGCTAATCGATTAAAACGATTCTCTTGAGAGAAGTAGGTCATTGAATGGACGATCTTCTTGTAATAAAGTTAGAGACCATTGAATACATGTTTAATATTTTAATTGAAAGAAGGATGAAATCTGAGAAAGTTAAAAAAGGATCAAGTTTTGTTATTAAAACTTCTTCAACTGTAAATTTTACGTTGATAGGAAAACCAGTAATTAAAGTTTAATAAACTATCCTTTTATTTATCAAGCAAACTAAACTAAAAGAGGACGAGATGACAAAAGCTTAATATTGTTTCATTAATCACAAATTCAAATCTTGCGCTCATTTCTTAAAGAAAAACCGCAATCAAGATGAAGAAACTACTTCGGTTAAACAGAAATGTATAAAATCTTATGTTTTTGAAGAAACCATAATTTAGGAATTATCTCTACTGTGTTGCGTAATTTGGTGTCAGACGAAAGAGACATAATGCAAGGAAATTATCTATCAAAGCAAATACTTAATTTGCTGGTCGTGTCTACAGCGGAAGGATACAATATTTTCCTATATCGAATTTATGTCACATAAAGGGAGAGGCAAGAAAGCAAGCAAAGAAGAAATGAAGAAACCACAAAATCATGGTGACTGTTGTCGTTATCATAAGTTATTTAATGAACATTTTCTCTTGCTTATTGTTTATCAAAGTTAATACATGCGAATGAAGGAATTATGAAGATTAAGTTGATATCATTCGTGCATTAACTAGATGAGCTTTATTTCCATTAAAATGTCGGATATAAATTACAGCTGATATCATTTGAGATGTTCATCAATATTGCTATTGGTAAAATGAGCTTTTATTCTCGCTTTACAACTTTTATCATTTTCAATATTTCCATGCTTCGTATTTGTAATATCCTTGTCTGTCATCTTTTTTTTGAATATTCATAATCTGTAATTCTATGGTATCTATTGATGGAAAGTGTCAAGCGTCATCAAATGATAACGAAGAAAACAACAAATTCTGAATAAATGTTGCTGTGTCATGGAAAATTAAAAATTGTTATCACTCCTTGATGCATAAAATTTCAGCTTCTTTTCCAAACGATTAATCTGTACTTTTTGTTCTATATTAGTTAAAATGATGATTAAACATGTCAAAGCGAAACAATTTGTATGATGTTTTCTTTATTAATTGAGAGTAGAAGGAGATAGTGGGGATGAAATCAATACATATTTTCATTAGAGACATTCGTGGTTCAGATGTTAGTTCAAAGGAAAACACTTTTTAAAATTTGATGTAACAATCAAAATCTTTTGAAATGAAGTATTCTCTTTAGAAAGCAACTAAATCAAACTGAAGTGACAATGAATAAAATGAATGACATATTCAGTGAACAAATTCATATAATAGCTTCAAGCGACAAGAAGAGTCAACAATCATCATGAACATCAAAGTGAAAACGACAACAAAGACCTTGCTCTAATCCTGTTGTTAACATCTCTTAATCTTTGTTCACAAAAAAATTATATGAAATATTTCTGTAAAGTTTACAAGCTCCTTTTATTTAAAATCAATCGAGCCTTAAAGGTACAATTATTAGACTCACAAAGGAATAAATATTAAAAATAAACTTCTTTTGAACTTATGCTTTATGTTTTCGTTTTCTTCTCATTATGTTTACATTTCCTTTCATAATTCTCATTTTTTTTTACGATTTTATCAGACTTAGAAAGTTTATTTAGAATTAAAGAAAAAAAAACTTTTTGATGATGGAAAAGCAAGTCGGAAATGGAAGCTTATCAGAAAGCGGAAATCTTAAAACTTTCAAGTTTTTTAATGGATGATATTTTCTTTGCAAAGTTTTTTTTGAAAGATTTATGAGTTTAAGAAAAAGTTGATGTGGGTTAATTTCCTGTTGTATGGTACTAAAGATTTATTTAATTACTGTTAAATTCACGGTGCAAATATTTAATTTTTATTCATTGATTATTTAAGTTTGAAAGTAGAACAGTAAATATTTTAAGAAAACTTACAACTTTTCAACATCACCAAAACACCTGCAGAAATTCCCCTCAATTTTAAGATTAAAGAACTGTTATTCTGTTATTTCTCTCAGTCTCTATCTTGGTATACATTAAAAACTTATGCAGCAAACGATAGTATGTATGTAAGTTATTTAATGTGTGCTATTAGCGAAATTTTATTTCATGCTTCTGGTGTTTGTTTGCTAAGCTTCCTTATAATTTTTTGATTGTATTTAAATTGGAAGAGATTTACATAAGATTGTGAATATAAAACGCTACTTTGTCAAGTCAACTTTTGTTGTGCTTGAATCATGTGTAATTAAAATGCTTATTTTTAATCATCATGTTTAAATAACGAGAAAACTACATAGTAATGAAGTGAATTGAACTTGAATGAACGAATGAATGAATTGACTCGTGCTTAGTTACAGATACTCTAAGTATGAATTCATGTTCAATAATTGATTGACTATTAAATGACAACGTTACTTCACATTTCTTTGGAAAGAATAAGAAGTTTTAAGTACTCGTGGAGCTGACGAGAAATTAATTTCTTCTCCTTCTAAATCTTCGTCTAGTTTTAATTAACCTCCGTTTGGGATTATTTTCTCCCCTTCCAATGAATTATTCAAAAGCATTTAGGAAAAGCTTTAGTAATCAAATTTCTCTGCAAAGCTCAAAGGACTCTGACCGAGATTCAGGGATTAAGGAACTATAAATAATTAAAGCTAGAGGTGAGATTAGAAATTGGTAACATTTTGCCGAAATTGTCGTACATTTACTTTCAACTTCGCAATTCAATCCTTTTTCATTTATTAATGCTCTAGCAAAATTGGTATCTGAAACTAAGAAAGTAATTCCATTCTAATTAAATTATAATTTTAATAAGACCTTATTGAACATTTTCTATTTCTAATCTTAGTTTCAATTTTTATTTTAGAATTTATTTAAGTCTCTCTTTCTTTCCCTTTTTCTGCATCCTTTTTCCTTTCCTTTCTTCAATTTTATTATTTGGCAATTTTTAATGGTCTGTAAATTTTATCATAAAATATTACTTTGATTGTGACATAAATTCTTCGTTTTCATTGCATTAAACGAGAGCAGCATATCAACACAAAACCGAGGAATGCTTCACGTTTCAACGTGGTATTTGATAATAATGCAAGTCAAGACATCTTTACGAGTCTGTCAAGCGATGGCATCCATGCTGAGCCCTTGTCATGTCGAGGATAGACAATGTAAGATTGAGATTTATAGGTGATATGAAAATTTCTCTGTCAACGCTTTCATATACATAATTAATTTATCATCATACATCAACTTTTCTACTTCAACTACACTTCACCTTCACCTTTAAACCAAATTAATTTGTCGAAACACGAGTGTGATATTATTATCAGTTTAAGTTGACATTTTGAAAAGCGTTAAGGATAATTTTCAGACTCCAAAATTGACTGATTAAGAATTATTTTCAATTAGAGAATGAGATTTCAGTATAAATGTGAGAACAGGTGTCAGGATTTATGATTTATTGATCATTTCTTTAGAGGAATTTTTTCTTCCCTGATTTAGCTTAGCATTTGATTGCTTTATTTTACCGATAAGGAAGTTTTTGATGATGATAAAACGACATTTTTTCCTTATGTCTATCATTCGATAGTGAAGAATCACATAAATAATAAAACTATATGTGTGGAGGCTTATGAAATATTTATAAAGATTATTATTGAAAATTGAGTGTTGCCGGCAATATTGCTCTTGCTATTAAACTAGTAAATCAAACATGAATCTTGTATAAACAGAATTTTATCGTGATGTAATATTTCTGTAACATATCAATTATATACATTATTGTATTGACATAAGTATAGAGCTGAAATGTATTTATTTAGATATATTTATACAGAGGAACAGGAATTCCATTTTGGCCTTTTTCAAGATCTCCAATTCATTTTGAAAGTTCAATATCAATCATGGAAAGAAAAGGTTTAAAGAAATTAATTACATTGCTTTTATTCTAATTTTTAATAACCAAAATCAATACATATTAATTCACTTGATTCGTGGGTGACTCAATAATTAATGGTTCCGATTAATAAAATTTTCTTCTTTTCCTTCAGTAATAAAAATGTTTACGTTCAAAGCAGTAAAAACAATTTTCAAGGCGCTTTACAAGAAGAGTTTTAACAATATTAATTGTTAAGCTGATATTGATTTCACATTTGTTTAAATGTTCCGTGAAACTCGTTAGTTAATGTAATTAATAACTATAAGCATTTGAAACTTTTTCTGGAGAAAGAAAATTAAGTTTCCCGATTTAAGTCGTCTTTTATATACCATAAGTTTCACTTGAATTATAAAAGCGTAGCAAATTGAAAGAAGAGAAAAATCCTGAAAAGTGAAAATTATTTCCATGTTTTCCGGTAAAACAAAAAGCTAAACACATAAATTAATTTTCTCGATATGCACTTCGAGGTTTTCCTTTTCTCTAATCAGATTATGCTAGTTGGGCAAATGAAATAGAAAAATATGTTTCAGCTTTTCGTTTCTTCCGTTCCTATGCAGACGAACGAATGACTACAAAGAAAGCATTTCGATATGCTACAGTCGAAGCTACGTGCATCTGATATGCTAGCAACTTTCATTGATTTTCTGTATTTGTAGTCTCCAATCGATAAGTAAAGAGAGGGCAGAATACAATTGACTTGCTTTTCATTTACCTCCTTATGAACGAACAAGTGTTTCCAATTTATAATTGAATTTAAAGTTGGCTACTAATTTAATATCATTCCAAACAAGGTGAGTTGATGCTCAAATTGGAAGCTAAGCTAGACATCTGAGTGAGGGAGAAAGAAGCACCTACGTTCGTTTATATCTGGCACCATAGCGAGAAAAAAAATCAAATTGCTACCTGAATGAGTTTATCCAGTAATTGTCGTGTAATTTTATGTAATATCCGGCATTAAACGCTATTATTCCATTACGAATCCCTCGGAACCATTAAAATTGTATTTCATTCAGTAGCTTTTTATTTCAGTTTTTTTTTCGACTATTTTGTGGCTTCACAAAGAATGAGAAAACGAATTAAGGAGAGCGAAGGAATGAACATCCATTAGTCGATGAACATCAAAAAGCGTCATTAAATAGCATTTCAATTTACCATCGAGAAACGAACATAGAAAAACTATAAAATCAATAAACGTATTGTTGTTTTGTAAGTCTTTATTGTTTTCCGATTTTCATTTTCTTTTTTATTTTCTTTCACCCTTTCTCCTACCATGGTAAATGTAGTTTTTTTTTCAATAATAAAGCATAATGTAAGAGGCTAACAAGAAATGTCATCGAAGGAATATTCTAAAAAATGATTGCCACTAAATAGTGGCGTGTAAAGTCGTAACACTCTAATTAAATTTAAATATTTCATTAGACAATAAAATTGACCTTTAACGTCATACACTTATTTTTTATTTCATTGTTTAAGGATATAAATAATAATTTTGATGTTCATTATCTATTTTCATATAGGTATTTACAAAACCATAGATTGAAATTCTATTTCCCTGAAATTAATTTATTGTACGTAAACCGGAACAAAATTGTAGGCAATCTTTTTTCCTCACAACTCTCTGACCAATTTCACTATTCAAATGGACACACTCAGGTTAATTTCCAAATCAATGTTTTATTCTTGGATTATGAAAGAAAAATTCGATACAAATGTATAGCTTTCCAATTCATAATTTATGTTTTCAATATTTCTTTTGATATGAAACCCTAAACCGATAAATATGAGTTTCGAAATGGGAGGAAAGTTTTACATACAAAACTATTTCTGTATGTTCATTAGTTTTTCTAGAATTCAGGAATTCCATTTAACATTCTGAAAGTAATAAAAAAGAAAGAAGTAAAAATATTTGTGCTTTATGTGACTCATATCGAAAAGATACATTTTTAGTTCAAATAATCATTTTCAGCTTTTTCGTACTAAACGGACCGATTGCAAACAATATTTGATTTCTGTTCAAGTTAATACAGGAAAATACTTAAATAATGTCAATACATATTTTCATTACCAAGTAGAAACATAAATGTATAAGGTAGAAGAATTTTAGCAGGAAACAATCAGAAATGTTCCGTCCAATGCTTTGGATGTTTTGTATCTTTCAACCATTATACTTTCATGAAATTTCGTTTAACTGCATTTTTATGTTTGTAGCGATTATGCAAGCATTCGGAGAACAATTAAAAAATATTTTTCTAAACTTTTAGTAAAACAAGAAACGCTTTTATTATTTTATGTTTTCTAAGAAACATATCTTATTAATAAAAGGCTTTAAGTTGGTATTTTTAAATATCATAAAAAATTGTTGATTGTGAATCTAAATACAAAACATACACTCGCTCAATCTTTAACACTTTTGATATTCATAAAGATCATCTTGGTGAAGGTAAGGCAATGTAGGAGAAAAAGCTTTTTCCTTAAAAAATAAAAAACTATTTGTGACTTGCTTATAAGCAACGTACATGAATATCAACACAATTGTCCCCTTACATTTTCATTTGAAATATAAATTTTATCATAGTAAATATGCAGATGAGCAATGAAATTAACATAACAGAAGGGAATGAGTTGAATTAACATTAACAATGAATTTTTACTACATACGAGCTTTTTATTTTGAGGATGGTGTACAAATCCTCACGCTTTACTAGAGCGCATACATTTTACTTGTTTATTCCTTTTTTTTGGTTCACCCTTTAATAACGAGCAAACTATTTCGTATTATTTCATGCAATGGATAACTGCTTAGATTCTCTTTTTTTCGCATTTAACAGCAACAAAGAGAACACGAAACAGTTAAAAATGTTTCACTCGTTAAATTTTGATGACAAAACGTGGCATTCAAATGAGCAGTCATTTTAAATGAACGCAAAATAGTGAGAAGAAGACAAGAGAGAAAACTATTGTCACGGTTAATTGACAAAAAATTGATTGCGCTGCGAAACAGTGACATTCTTCATCATCAGAAACTTCAAAGAAACGTAAATAAGAATCACGATTTCTGGCAAAGTTTTCTTCTAGGTCATGAAATCGTCATTTACAAAAAAAAAAGTATTTAATTGAGTTTCCTCTACAAACACCAATTTAGAGAACAAAAGTTTTATCTGCTTTTTCGTGTTGATGTTACCGCATTAGCCTCCGGATGGAAATGGTACGGCAATTTATCAAAACGATCAACTGTATATAATGATTAAAACGTGTTAAACTAATTATTTTTGTTTTACTTCGCTTCAATGTCACGCTCGATTTTGTCGCCACTCAAGAGATGAATTTAGAAAGAGGATCAAAGCTTGAGAAAAATTTTAATAGACTTTCAATTATTTATCTCCAAAATATAAAAATAAAAATCATTTAGTTCAAGCTACTTATGAGCAGCACGTTTATGAACGGGGACGATACTATGGGAAAGCGTAAAATAATTAATTACGTAGCAAGTGAGAACACTTAAAAGTATGTTTATCGTTATAAAATTGTCGCACAAGAAATTATGGTAGATTAAGTGAGAAATTTTTGATAAAATTTTCAACTATTGGTGCATGTAATAAATAACTAATTAAAATTTATGTGAGGTGCGAGCGTAATATTTAAGGAACATTTTGGAAACAACATAATTAAATGTACACTTCGCAACTATAAATGATTAAACCACACTTATTAAATACAATACATCTTATACGTACGTATAGAGCACACTTTGTAATCTTGATAAACGTATATATTTTGATTATTAAACAATAATATTCATAGCTTTGCTACATGTGTGCGTGGGTGGATGTTGATATTTATATATTTACGTTTCCTTCCTGTCAAAACACAACACGGCAATTATCACTTTGAAAGCTGAGATTTCAAACTTGGAATTTTGTTGAAAATATCATAAATTTATTCTGGTAGATATCATTTACATTTTTCTTTTTTACCTTTGTCGTCAACGATGTAAATATTTTTATCTTTTTGATTGCTGATTGGAATTGAAATCAATTTCTAAGTGTTTTTATTGATTTTACCTTGTTATAGAAATATTTATTCTAAAGAAGTGATGTTATTTCAATCTACTTAATGAGAAATGGAAATATTTAACTTCAAGCTTTGTACATAAATAAATATGTTTACATTCAACATGATGTATCACATTCATTTTTATTCACTTTTCAACTTCAATTAATTTCATTATACCCTTAATTTTAGAAATAAATAGAATCGGTTTATATTACGATATTCTGAAAAACAATCATTGAGAACACCTACATTCAACCTGATAAACTTGATGTAATCTTTATAAAATAAGAATTCTAAAATAATATAATATTTCTTGCTAAAAAAATCCAATTTACTTCAGTGGTGGAAATAATTTTTCTTAAGGAAAATGAAACAAACAAAGAAAGAACAAACAAAAATTGTGAACCTCATTTGCCTCCTACGCATGAATCTCATGCGGGGTTAAAAGATAAACATATTTTCCACATTTTTGTTTAAATTTTTGTTTTAGGTTGGTGGAATGGAAATATTTACCAATTCTCCAAAGAAGTATTGAATCAGTTTTAATATTTATTAGAATGAGTATTAACTTTTATGATGTTCAAAACAGTTTGAAATATGAGCTTAAAATTAAATGTATGCTTGGGAATTAAAAAACTTGAACTGCTCATCGATTTTAGTGTTCAATGAAAAACTTTTGTTTGTAGTTGAACAATATTTTGCTAATTTTTCTCACTTGTTTCATGTCACATATGATAAATAGCATACAAATTACTTAAAATCTCGTTACGAAACGATATATTCTACTCTACACAAATTTTTCACTCGCTGTCTAATTTCCTGATATCGAATTTAAAAACTAAATCTGTAAACAAAAGTTTCCGTTATTTGGCATGCTTTCATGCATCCTGAGCTTGTACAGATTTTCTCGCAACTAACTTAAAATGCAAAAACAAATGCATTAAATTGTAATGAATAAATGAGTTTTAGTCCACCACTCACCAACATGGCTATGAAATAATTACAAAAATAACTTCCGTAATTACCATGAACCCGAAACTTTCTATCAAATTAAATATAAGAAATAATGACGCAAAGTATTTACAAAGTGATAAAAGAAATTAAAGTGATTACTTGTGGTTGCAAATTGCAACTTGCAGCAATATTCATTGCAGTATTCCTCGCAAAATTTTGCATTTTGTTTCTATAAAGTTCGAATAGTTTTTGTCACGTTACTTATAATTTATAAAACATGGCATGGTAAAATCTCATCCCACTGAAAACCGTGAACTTTTCTTTTTTATTTTATTTTTTCCACCTAATATTTACATTTAGCTCTCAAGCTAACGAATGAAAAACTATAGATGGCATGTGGCGAACCCAAAAATTAAAAATAGCCAGTTGTGGTTACGTTCTGAGAGTGTCTGTGGTTCCATTCTGAGAGTGTCACATAAAAAGCGGCATGTTTGTTACATTTTCCCTCTCTCCTTTTCTCTTTGTCCCGATAATTCCAAGCATAATGACTTTAAACTTTTTTTGTCGAGAAGCAGAAAAATATATAATGTTGGTATGTTCATGGGTGCTTTGGTATTTAACTTTGATTAACGGCCACTGGTGTTGTTTGGGATGTGCGTGTACTTTTTTAACAGCCGTTGGAATCTTTTGGGTACAATTTTATATTATGCAAATGTGATTTGGAGACAAAATCCCGAGCTTTGCCGTTTATCTTGTTTCATGTAAATTTTTATCTGTATCAGAAGAGAGCGATGCTTTTTTCCTTACAAATTTTCACTTTTCATTCTTATTTTTATGAGAAACTTAAAGTTTGATTGATCATTAAATTTCTATTTTGAAATCGTTTTTGAAGTCCTAAGAAATGAGTTCTAATATTCACTTCGCTTACTTGAATCAAATGAACGAAGGAAACTTGTTAAAATGTTTCCGTTACACTTTTATTTGTTCGATATTTCCTTTTTTCTTGAAAGACCAATGAATAAAAGAATTTTAATTTTAAGAGTAAAAGAAACATTTAATTTATCAGGTTCAGTAGAGCAAATGAGCGTGTAAATGCGCGTGGGTGGAAACAGGTGGAGTACTTTTTTGTGGTGTTTGAAATTTCTGTTTAAGTATGTAATAGGAAGCGAAGGTAAAGAAAAAGAAAATACATTTCATAAAGATGTAATGACTGAATTTCCTCGGGAAAATCATAAAACAGCTTTTATGTTTTCTTCTCAAATGATTTGCTTCTTGTTTAAGAGTTTCGACAAGCGCATTTCAACATTCAATAAGAAAATTGTTATTGCAAGTAGTCGTAAATGTGAAGACATTCCATCACCGTGTGAAAATGAATGAAGACAAATATTTATGTATGTGCTTGAGTAGAGAAAGTAGCGAAGTACGAATCGAGGGCTGAAATTTTAATGCGAAACCATAATCTTGATATGTAGGCTATCAAAGCAGCTAAGAAATTCATTTCGACGAAATGATGATCATATGTATAGGTTACGAGATTAAGGTCATGAAATTGCAATTTTATTCTTCCGCTACTTTCTCACTTACAAGTGAGAAATGTAAAGTGTTAGTAACATAATATGTACATATGATGAAGCATAAATACAGAACGTGTTGATATCCAACAATTTTTGTGAATAAAACTTTCAATTTCTGCAGCGGCGGTAGACTTTTGTCGTTACTTTTCTCACGCAGTTCTTTTCATTGGCTAAGAATTTTCTCGTTTGAATCAATTTAAAACGCGTTGGCAGTGTCGAAGAATTAACACATTTCACACGACATGGTCGCCTTTTTTATCGTTTTCTATTTTATGTTAAAAACAATGATCATCGTACAAGCAAGCATTAAGTGAAATTAAAGCTCTGAAAATTCTCATCGTTCTTCAATATAAATATAAAAAAGAGAAACTCGATTGCGAGCATTAAATGCGCTAAGCGTTGAGATCCGAGTTGAGTGCAATTTCAAAACAATTTCAAGGAGCTTTCTTGGATCATTGACTTTGTTTGTACTCATATTTAAACAACTTGCTACTGTATTTCATTATTTAGTTAATTGAAAGGTGCAATTATTGATATGATTTTTTTTTATGAAATGAATATTTACTTAAACAAGCATTAAGTTGCAAGTTGCAAATTAAACTGGTAATCGTAAAAATATAATTTTTAGCATGTTTAACTGTTGAAAATATTCCTTCGTCTCATTCCTTCGTCGAAATTAATCTTCACATGTTTTTCATTATTTTTGCATCACAGTGCATTTCAATAACATTTACATAAATAAATATGCAATGTTGAAGGTTGTGTTGTGCAAATTCTGTTGTGTTAAAAGGATTTCCTTCAATATTGTATTTAACTCACGATATTGATGATGCTTTTGCGCAGTGGTACTTCCACCTCTTCAAATATTGGTTTTATATCAACTTATGTTTAGATCCAAGCTTGAGCGCGTTCTAGATAAGGTTAACTATTAATGAGCTAACAGGATATCATGGAATGTCTCAAGTGCTCTACATTTCATTCATTTATATTCAACAAAAATTAACGAAACACTGATTCGGAAATAAAAAACAATTTCAATTTATTATTAGGCTTTTAAATCATAGTTTCATTTTTAGTTTTACAAATTTAACTTCTTTCAATATTTGAAAATTGAGTTGGAATTTTGCAAGGAAAAATCATTGTCAGAATATCAATTTGTAGGTATAGACAATGAAGTTATGTTCCTTGAAAATCAGAAGTCATCTTTCATGTCAGTTTTCGTGAACAATTAGTAATTAATTTACAGATGGATTTTTTTTTATTAGATACTTGTTTTCTTTAAAATTTAACATTGAATGAAGCTTGCAAAATGGAGTTTTAAATTATTCATTTTCGAAAGTGAGACGAAAAGATTTCTAGGTCGACAAATTTTCCAACGATTTAATTTTGTTTTTAAACTTAATAGGTTTCTAGGGAAACTCAAAAACTTTGATTCTTAAGAATTCAGAACTTATTAAAAAATTTCACACAATTTTCACTTGACTTATTTCTATTTAAGTACTCAAGCGTTCACAGTCACTTAATCAATTCTTTTTTTTTATAGTTACTAAAGAAACAATTGAAAGTAAAAAAAAAGATTGTAATCAAAATTTCAACAGGAAAAACGAAATTAGATCAAATTTTAGCCCAAAAACTGAGAAAGCGATAGTCGGTATGGTTTCTGCCAAATTAAAAATGGTGAAATAATAAATATTTAAAAAAAGCTCTCAAAGTAGGTTGAAAGATGACTTGACACTCCAATGTCATGATCGATTAATCCTATCATAAATTTAAAGCGGTAAAATGTAACAAATGGAAACTTAAACCATTTTCTTTCATGACATAATAAATAGATATTATCAATTATTGAACAGGACTATAAAATACATTCCCTATAATTGAACTTATGGGGAAAGGTGAGATACGATAGTTTTCCTACTTGTTCTTTACTTTGTTACAAAGTTTCAGGTTTCATATTTATGACATTGATCATTACTTTTAAAATTTTTTTAATATGATTGAAATAATGTAGGAATAAAGTTCATTTCATAAAATATTTAATTAGATAAATCATATTATCTCGAAAAGAAAGCAGAGAAGAAATGTTAAGAAGTGTTCACCATCTGACAGCTTCCATTAAAAAGCAGTAGACTCATTTCGTTTTTATTTTCTTTAAATATTCTCTCGTTCTTTAGATGCGTCTATAAATAATTCCTAGCGCAGTAAAGGGTTAGTTACTCATACTGTGATAGGCTCAATTCAAAAGTATTTTTATTATTTCTTAGAATTGTAAGTATTCAACTGTTTTGTCTTGTCCCTCAACAAAAGGAAGTTCACAGTTGCGTGTAAATGTCTCCAAATGTTTTCAAGACAGTGGAAGAAATTCCTACTAGTCTTTAATTAAAATATCTCTGAATCATTAATTCATTTCAACATTAAATCTATTTGAAAATTGCCTTCAACCACTTTTTCAACGCTCTCATATCTTTTTTCGAACATTTCATTCAAACAAGCATTCTAAATAAACAAATACGTCCAGAAACGATCGTCTGTGGTTATGCGTTCTTGAAAATGAAAGTTGCTAATAGATTTTTAATAACGTAGAAAATTATATCTGTTGGTTTTCAATGGTTCACGGTCACAAGTGGAATGTTTCAAAAGTCATTTTTGGGAGGAAGAGGAATGAAAACGGAAAGGAAGTCGTTGTGATGCCCTAATTCAACATGAGCGTCTCTTCCATCTCGACCCCGAGAAAAAAGTTGTCGCATGAATTTTTATGATCTTAATCGTTAAAACGTACACAAAAAATGTGGAATTTTGAAGAGAAAAAAATATTTTTGCGTTTTTACCCTGTACGTGTATCAAGCATAAATTTCCCTGTAAGTTCTGCATTGCTCCTACCAGTAAGTTTGTCATTTTCCCCTCAAATAACACATGTATGATACATGTGTGTATGAATGTTTGAAATAGAACAAAAAAAACTTTTTTTTAAATATTTCACATGAACGCTCCATCTGTGCAATAAAATGCTTTTTTTTCTTCTTCAAATCTTTTCACTTTCCCGTTAAAGCCACATTGGAGTTCTCAAGCAGCCACATTGTGGCAAATTATTTATTACCTCAACGGAGGGAACATATTCAGACAGTTAATCTACGAGACACAGTCGGTAGGTTTTTCACGTATTTTCTTTATGTTCACTTGCTTTCATGTCACGTGTTGGATTATTTAGACTTCAGCCTTTGACTACTGCGTGGCATTCTCAAATGGCTTTTCATAATGCGAATTGCGAATGACTTAAGCAACAGCGAGACGAGGCGAAAAAAAAATTGAAAACTTGGCATACGATCAAAATGTCTGTGAATGGGATTTTCTTACATTTAAAATGTCGCTATGAGTTATGCATTTCCTTTCAGTAAATACAAAAAAAAACATAATAGGGGAGAAAAAATAAATATAATCGCATATATCGTTGAACTTTTCACTCCATATCCATTTCTGTGTTGGTTGGAGAGTCGAGACGAGTTCAAGTGTTTGCAGATCTTTTTCAAATTCTATTAATATTTAAAAAGGACAAAGAAAAAGTGGAAAAATATTTTTTTATGTCGACTCGCTGAAGGGATTTGATGCGCCAGAAACACCGTCTGTTTAAATTCACTTTTAGTTATGGATATTATGAATACACTTAGATACAATGAAATTCAGAATGTACCATGCTCATATTTGGATAAAGCAACATTAAGTGTGTAACTAAAATAACCTCGCGAAACATATTTTGTGACATTTTATTACATTTAATAGACTTAATGGAACAAGATACAAGCATGGAGGAAAACAAGGTAGATAAATATTCATATACTTTTATATCTCCACCCACGTCTCTAAAAGCAGCACATTCCAGAGTGCATCGGGTAATGTGTGATATCGTTGATGATAGTTTATGATGTGTGTGCATAACCAGTATTCTCATTTCGTATTTTTTTTTCTTGCTAAAGAATCTCGCTCTCAGGAGTAGTTTGTGGTTCGTACATATGCTCTGTGGCATGATCCATTTTTTATTCATCATAATTTCATATCCCTTGGCAGAACATTCTGGTTCATATGGGAGAAAATTCATTATGTATTAATATTTAAACACGAAGGAGCCCATGATGACGTAAAAAGCAGCGGATATCATAAAAATGATAAATTAAAGCTCCACAATTCTCATATACGAAAAATAAATCCCTGTTATAGCCTTTAGTGACGGATTCAATTGCAAGCGAGTATAAAGTGCAGAAATAAATTTCACCGAGAAGAACAAGACAAGACAAAACAGAAGAGTGAAAACAATTTTCCATTTTTTGAGCTTACTGCCTTGCTTGACTACCAGAGTCAACTCTTTTGTGGAAATTTGGTATTACAATTTTACACTACAATGCTCTGTGTTGAAAAATGAGGAAAGACATAATGCTTGATTGGATGGAATATCATAAGAAATGAGATTAATCTACTAAATCATTCATTCCAAATTTGTCTGCACTATGATCAACAATAGAGCGTGTTTTGTGCGGGTGGTGGAATGTAGCACAAATGTCGACGTACGCTTCTTCAAACTTATTGTTATTAAGCAAGTACGCCGAATTGTGTAAATGACTTAATAAAAGAATAATTTCTATGCTTTAATTATCTGTGATGAAACATTTCTTCTTAAGTGATAAAAATTTGAAGGCGATTACTGTCGAATCTGACAACACAACAATGTGTTTATTTAAGAGAATTAAGAAAAATTATTTTTATGACTTTTGTTGTCTTAACGCTGAAGGTTTTATCTGGAGGCTTTGTAACAATATTAGGTTGTCAAACTTGATATGGAATGAATTTTCAACTCCAGGCTACATTCTATGTTCTTTCATCCCAAGTTTGACATAAAAAATGGCTGAATAAACTTTAACATAATTAAAAAGACCTTACATCGCCTCAAAGTCTTCACCTTGGTAATTAATAATTGTTTTAAAGCGCATTTAAAGAATTCTTAGTAAAAATGTTGAAGCATTGGGCGTCAGATCGGGCAAGAAGAAAGAAAGCCGGGAGCCATAAATAGGGCTGATAATTAAATTTCTTTTTAATGACCTTAGCTTTCATACTTCTAATTAAACAATGAGAACTAAAGTTAATAACCTTGTAAAAATTTGTTCAACTTCTTTTAATTTGATAGGAAAACAAGAAGAAAGAAAGTTATTTTATGTTCTGAAACATTTCAACATTAACTACATGTTGAAAACGTTAAAGTGACTCATTTACTCTCACTTCCCGCCCGATTACATGGCAACATATTGGCTTTGATTGCAATTAAAACTCTTTTTACAACGCGGTTACATTAAATGGAGAAACATACAAAAGCTTCATTGAGATCTCAATTCAGATTTGAATTTCAGGCGATAATGAATAAAGGAGAATTTCGCCATTAAATTACTTCTTCGCACCTCACAACATTCATTTAGTTGTCGATCAAAACAGTGGAACAGTAATTCACACATTCACTAATAAATTAACTCTAGTTTAAATAACATAATTACATAATGGATACAACACATCAAACTTGCAACAAAGCAACTCATAGTGCTCCAAAAAACTAACAAAAGTTCTTATTTGATTTGATTTTTGTGTACTTTTGATCGTTGAAGAATTATGAGAGAAGATAATTTAGTTAAAGAACCAGACGCAAACACAATACCAAGTGTGGTTCCTATCGCCAACGAATGGATGAGAAAATTAGTTCTAATTATAGGCAATCAGTTCTTTCTTCTCTCCACAAACCACATTCGAAAAAACTTTGCTTAAAAAGTAAGATATCGAATGGAGCCCGGAATTTCTAAGCTAATGGATTTTACTGCGCGGCGCTTAATGATTGAAGAAGATTCATAACTTTATAGCATTTGAAAATTAACTTGTAATTTACTTTTTAGAATGAATTCAAATTTATTCATCAGCTCTTTTTCCGGCGAGAGTTTAGAAATGGGCGATATGGGATGGGAAACCTAGGAAGGTCTCACAAGATAATAAAGCAAGGGAAACAAAGAAATTAAAACTTCCTTTTATACATAAGACAGTTTTGATCTTCAATAATGCGCGGCAGCTGCATGAGAACATCCGAAGATGTCGATGAATGATAACCGCGGTGGTTTGAGTTATAATTCATAAAGTGAATTGCAATATAGAAATCTTCTGTTTATTTCTCTCCCTGAAGCTCGGATGTAATGGGAAATGAAAGCGAACCAGTAGAATAGAGAGAGAGAGAGAGCGAAAGAAAAAAAAATACTACAAGAAAGAATTGGATTTATTGCTCATGATGCGATAAATTAATTTTCTGCAACCAGTTCAGATTTTTTACCACGTTCATGATTTCTTCTCTCGCTCTTATTCTCAACGACTTTCCATGCGACTACATGCATCAAGCGACGACCAAACGAGCCATCGAAATTGGTTGCTTCAGCATCACCTGTTCGTTATTTATTAAACATAAAATGAAGCAAAAGATAATTTCTTGTTGCGGTGCTCGTTATTCTTAGCGAACTTTTATTATTTTACTTTTGGCGAGATCTTTTTAATGTGTTTAAAGATCTGAATTTTCTTTTTCCTACACTTTTCGTTTGCCTTTTGGCATCGCACTTGGATCTTTCCGTCAATTCTTTATTTTCTTTTTTTTCTCTCTTTTATGCTTGATGTGGCTTCCATGAGCAACAATCAAAGAATGTAATCAGTTTCCTGAGAGAGGCAATTGTGTAATTTATAACAGCAAGGAGTTTGTTGCAAATTGCGTTCAACAATGAGCTTTTGACCCAAAAACAGAACAACACTAACATCATTTTTGAATGAACCGTAATACGATTGAAAATAACAACACAGCAGCGCGCTTGGTTCAATTACATCGAAACAAAGTGCAAAAGAGGAAAGCGAAGAATACGAGAAACATGTTTATCATGAAGGTCATGATATAACAAACAAGCAAAAAAGAATCTGGTTGCAGTCGGTCAGCTATAGAGGATGTAGCTTTGATTGATACTAATAATAAAGATTGCGTTACTTCGTTTTCTCTCTTTGAGATGTAGATACATATGTACAAGTCTTATCGATAAATTTGTATCTAAGAAAAATAATATTGCGATTCAAATTGAAATGTGAAGAAATTTGAGCACTTGTTTGTTGTATTAATGATGATTCGAAGTCGCACAAAATTAATATTAATATAAGGTGATGTGTAAGTTGTAAACTTAAGATGATTACCGTGAAAATTGACACAACTTGTAAATTGAAAAGAAATGATAGGAAGCTAACAAGCAGCATCAAGGAAACAAGTCTTGTAGATGCAAAGTAACTTGCATAAAAATGCTTCATTAAAAATGTGCAATCTTCATTTTCTGCTCAACTTGCACTAACTTGATAATATCATTGATTTTCAATTCATCTCGAGCTTCAAGAGATTTTATGTTAAATTATTTTCTTCCAGTTTCATAGAAAACTTTTCAGAATCAATGTAAAGTATTAAAAGTTCAAAGACTATCTACATGAGTGAACAGACAACAACTCCACGGGCTTTTAAAAGACTTACAAGTCATAAAAATCTCGTCGTTGTCATTATAAATAGCAATTAGCACTCTTAAGAAAGTAAATCGAATTAAATTTATTGCACCTCATAGTGTGAGAAATGTTTTTGGTGTTTTTGTTAAAAGATTTTACAAGTTTTATTCGAAGAAACGTTGAAAGTTGCATTTTCGAGCGAGGCCAACAAAAAATTGAAAAGAATATCATAAAATAAAGTTTTAACGTCTAGCAACAATGAAATAACTCTTCAACAAGTCGGAATATAAGAATTTTTCGATAAATTCATCAAAATCTAGAAAACATTTTCATTGAGTCTGAAAGAAAAGAGCCGGAAGAAATTAATTTTTACGTTCTGTTTGCTTCCTCGAATTCTTTGATATGTTCTCACATTGAAAACGAGGGAGTAAAGGGAAAAGGAGTAAAAATAGTCGACGAAAAGGGGAAATGGAATGGCATTTAAAATGAAGTAATTTACGCAAATTAATGGTTACCTCTAGGCTCTTGAGTCGATTATAGAAAATGACTTCACATAAGATCATAGAAAAATGATAAGCATTCCGAAACACAAAGGATATCGCCGCTAAGAAAACTTTCAAACTACATGTTTCCTGCTTGCTTTTTCAATTTCTCGATTGCCTTATTTTTCCTCAACGACATTTCATTCGATTTGATTTGGTGACTCTTTGAAATAAAGCAATTTTTATGTATTTTTTCTTTGTTGAATATGTTAATCACTGCTCGACACTTAAAGTTTTTTTACTTCTTTTTTTCTTCATTATTCATCGCCATTGATTATACCGTGAAAAAGTACATAAATACTTAACTCGCTTGTTCTAACATTAGACATAAATATGTGAAAGAAATGAATTTATTAAAGTAACGATTACGTACGAAATTGTCCCTTTTACACCATTGCAAAGTGATAGTTTATTTCTACTTTGACATAACTTTTACAGTCACAGATAGCGGCCTACTACATTTCATTACGAACACAACTCAACAACATAAACTCGATGTTTCGCTTGATTGTAATGGAAAGCAAAGCTCGTGAAAAATTCATCGTAAAGCAATTTGCAAAATTACAGTGCATAAGTCCACGTGAGCTTTCCCTGCTGCCTTATGCTACTTCAATAATTAATTCTTTTATGATTTATGAGATTTTTATTTTTCGCTGTTTATTTTTACGATCTGTGCGGACGTTAAAATGTTTAAGTGAGGTTTTATAAATGGTCAGAGTTGTTCTTTCATCAACAGGAAATAAATTTAAATTTTCAATGCTTTCAAGGAATTGATGAAAATATTTATTTCTGAACTATTTATTGTTTAATTGGAAGAAAAACATTTCTTTCCTCTCGTTTACTATTATTTCCCTCCATTCAATGTACGCAATTGAACGACGTGCGAGGGAAGAAAAAAACAGACATGACGATCACGAAGTCAAACGAATGAGATTCGATGACAACACAGCGAAGCATAAAAATAAACGCATCAACAACCCTCATTACCTAACAAGCCCCTCGTGACATGTTTTTATCCTTCATTTCTTCTTATGAAAATAGTTTTTTTTTCTTTTCTTCAATTTTCTCAATGTTATTCAACCATTTCCTGTAATTGCATGAATGGTCTGAGACTTCTTTTTATAGCGTCGTCCTCAATTTGTTATCGGAGATGTTTACGTCTTGGGATTGTGATTTTAGGGGAAGATGATTGCCTCAATTTATCTCCCGATTTCGATTGCGATCTCTAACCATAAAAATGTTAGATGGAAAGAGCTTGAAGCAGTTGGAAGTTATCTTTGGGTCTATTGATGTGTTCATCGCACTGATTTAATAAATACATTTTTACATTCCCTCTTTTCAAATTTAAATTGAAACTGGTTCTACAAATATTCACTTCTCTCTCTCTCTCTCTCTCTCTCTCTCATTCTAAACTGATAATTTATGCACGAAAATCCATTAATTTTTTCTTTCTTTTTATTTTAATGTTTTCTTTTGGACCGGCAACTGCCGTTGTTTGATTCCCAGTTAGACGACCAACCAAATAGCCAAACAGCCAACAAGGATAGAAATCTAATTATTTTTAATGAATGAGATTTGTAAGGCGCGATAAAAATATAAACATTTTTATTTCTAGGTTTCTACATAAATAAACTAAAAAACGCCACACGAGTCATAAGCAATGAGTCGCAAAAATAAAACAAAAACAAGAAGAAAAAGATCGAAACTGTAGCTAAGTGTTTGTGTATCGATGAAAAGAAAGAAATCAATTCGACGCTAAACGATCTTGATTATTCGATTTTCTGTAATTAATATTTTATATGATGTCGTGCTGGTCGCGAGTCGGTTGACGCTGACATGCTTTGAGAAATCAAAATAACACAAAAGTGTTTCAGATGCCAAAATATATGCTAACGATATCGTTGACAGCTTAAATATTTTTCAAGTTTTTAATCTAGTTTGATCCACTTACCTAATCATGAGGCATTTTTATCTGGAAAGAAAAGAAAAGGTCATAAATAACTAACAAACATCATGGATAAATAAATAGCTATGTCTAGCATGATAAGCATAAGTAATAAAACATTGACAGATGATGAGTTTGTTTTGGATGATATAAGGCTGCATCTTTTATCATAAAACCATAGTCTGAAGACAAAAGATTGTAAAATGTTTCACTTTTTATGATGCTACAGACACAAAAAAAGAAGATGTTGCAGCAAATACCGTAAAATATATCATATCATAGTTTGTCGTCATAAACATCCAACACATTGTGGCAATATCTAAAAGGAAGACAAATCTTTTTCTTTTCTGTATTAAAAAAAACTTGGACATTAAAAGTTTGAAAGCAAGAACAATGTTTCAATCTTCAAACATCCTTGACCAAGCACGATTGTGTAACAATAGTGGAACATAATTAACTTCACAACGCGTCATGCTTCATAACATTTTACGTTCAAAACGTAGAATTATGAAAGACAAATTTTCCGTCAAGCAATTCTCGGTTGATTTCAGTTGTAGGGGAGGGAGCGCGTCTCATTCACTCGTCTTTCAACACAACTAATTTCAATTAATTATCTCTTATACAGAAATAATAATCTTTCAAAGCCGTGGCAGACCATAAATCAGAAGTGGAGTGAAACAGAAGAAAGGAGGAGGATAGAAAGAGAAATAGAGATAGAGAGAGTAAGAAAAATAAATCCAATGTCTTGTCATGTCTTGTGTTTAAGAAAGACGATAGTTTTATTAATGATTACTTCATCCCGAAAAAGGCTAATGATGATAGTCGTCGTCATCGTAAAGCTTTGAAATGCTTCTCAATTTATTTTTCTTCTCTTTTTGATCAAAGGCTAAATTATCTCAAATTGAAACTAGCGCTATTATTTTGAAATCTTTTCAATTTTCATTTTAATCAAGAAGTATTCCCGATCGAATTAATTTTAAAACTTCAAATTGCATAAGATTTCTGAATTTTACGTGTTAAAAAGATTGGTCTCTTCTTTGCTAATTGCCAGTAGATAAATTGAAAAGTACTTCTGAAGATCTGATTTCCTGACGTCTTCTAAGTAAAATGAGCGGCATTGAGTGTCGGTTTTAGGAATTTTACTCTGATGATTCAAGATTCTGAAAAGAATGAATGAGCCATGAGACGAAGAAGAAGACGAACAACTTCTTACATCATCAAGTAATTCATTTTAAATTTTTCATGCTTCTGTAATGAACTCAAGCGTCTTTTTTCCTTTAATGTCGGTGAATTCCTATTTGATGTGAAAATGTTTTACTGTGCGTATTTTATTTGAGCCTTTTTCTCTTTTTGTGTCGAATCTGAAGGGTTTCAGATATAAAGAGAAATGAAAAATCATTGAAATCCGTTTAGTACAGAAATAATTTACAATCGGCTATGCCTTTTCAGATCACACCACATAATGAACCGTGGTGCTTCGCCTTCAACTTCATCAGCATCTTTGTGATGCGCATTAAAAGAATAAATTTCTTCCCAATCAACAGCACATTACTTGAGAATGTTTCGCAAATTAATTAGTTAATTATCTCGTTGATCCCCCATTTTCACAGTTTCATGGTCTCACGTGGAACGAGCGAATATAAAAAGGAGGGAAAAGAAAACGGCCATGCTCAAGCCGTAAATGGTCATTTTTAGCAACTTGCTATAGATATTCATTCAACCATTATTTTGCTTTTGCGTCTTTTTGTTTTCGGGTTTTAAACATCCAAAAGAATTCACGTTGTTGCTTTCGAAAGACTCCTCTTAATATTAAAATATCATTGCGTCATCATGGTTATTTATACTCAATCAATACGTCAATGTAATAGATACTTGAATCCTTTCAAGTGTTACAATTTATCAATACTTTAACCTGTCGCTTTACGTAACATTCAAACAAACCTCGTTAAAGTCTTCTTTACTTCTGATGTGCCATCATCATAACAAAAAAGATTCTTCTCATCTGAGAAATAAAAAACCTCAAGAGATATACAGCCGACAGACAACTTCTTGAGCTTCTACTTTGTTTTGATATTATTTTATGAAACGTAATTTAAGTAAAGAATGTCAGTTTAGAGAAGTTAGTTTGTTATAAAAGGAATTGCACAATTTTCATCATTGAAGTTGAACTCATGAATTTATTTACGTTTCATCACAACCTAAAATGTCGATTGAGAAACTTATTTATATTCCGAAACTTGTAAGAAGCCATTGAAGTTGCATAAAAAATCTAACCGCTTTGTTCGAGTCCATTTAGCTTACTTTGGATAATTAAAATTACCTAAATTCAATGGTAAAACAAAATAAAACTTTTTACGAAAACTTATGATTTACTTTACGAATTTTTTGAATGTTGATTAAGGAAATTTTTTTGTTTGTTTGTTTTTGTCTTTCTTTCAACATTAAAATTGAAATCAGTCACAGATTTGCTTGAAAAGTTTGCTTCTAGACTCATTTAAATGTAAATTTCAACTCCGCTTGCCGCCCATGCTCTCCCCGTCAATAGAGCGTGTTAATTTAATTACCTTTTTTTAATGTTTTATCTTATCATTAAGAATTCATTTGAGCGAATTTAATGAAATGAAGATAACGAATTTAAAGGAAACTTCTCTGATGGACGTTTGAGAATTTGGAATTTAAAGCTTAGCAGAAAATTTTCATCAGTTCAAATAGCTAATTACATTCTGAAGTGCCTCAGAAGGCATCTTGAAATGTTCTAGCCACTTCTTTTGTTCATTAAGATCTCAATTTCATGCCCTCAGCAAGAGAGGCTTAAACAAAACGCTTGACGAACAGAGAAGGGTGAGAATAGTCGTTACAAATAATTCCTCTTATTTAAAATTAATATTTATTAAAAAAAGTGTGGAAGTGATCTGATGAAAAGTTTATGAATTTATTGTAACATTTCTTGTATCTCATGATGATATTTTCAGTTGCAAGTTGACACAGGGAAAGCAGAAGGCAATCAACATTCCTTACTACATAAAATTCACTTTATTTTTCTTACATCTCAATTGGTTTCTACCGCACTTGGTCCGATTACCACTTTATTACAGATTGACTCAGACTGATTTTCTGTCAGGTTTTGTCGTATTTTGATTGCCACAAAGATCTTCTAATTTTGATAATCAAAGTGAGTCGTTCCCATCTTACAAACGACTTTGAATTCTTTCTTTTCTTCTTGGTTTCATTTTATTTAATCTTCTAGATGATAAAAAATTATTCAGGTAAGAAGAAAGAAAAGAAAAAGGTTTTCGATGTGGCTTGACGCTTGAGATTGCATCTGTTTGGATTTTTGTAATACAAACCTGATTCTTAGAGATTCTCCTTTTTTCACCTTAAAACAACTTGAAATCTTAATCAAAGAGAAGAAATATAAAAGTGGCAGTTTAAAAAATGTTAAAACTGGAAGCATCGAACAAAGAAGACGGCAAAAAATTGACTTTAATATTCGTCTTCACCAAACAAAAATAAAAATAATTCTTTTAACATATTTATTCATTCTATCGTCTTGTTCGCGTGGCTTAAAAAGATCATCTCAAAATCATTCAATGTAAAATATTTTAAATCCAATATAGAATTCTTTTTACAGGAAATTTCATGTAATTTTGTTTTCTTTACATTTAATTGTCGAGAGTTTGCTTCAAGCAAATGTTTGGCAACATAATAGACTGTTGTAGGGATAATATCGCAACATCCTGGTATGGTATCTAACAGCATAAAGTGAATATGTATAAGAATGGGATTTAAGCAAATTTATGAATAAGAGGACAAGTGAAAAGTAAAACGATAATGCGATACAAAAGAAGAAGTCGAATTTTTAATTTTGCTGCTGTTGCACCATTCATATTGATTCACTTCAAATGAATAAATGGCAAGCATCATTAAAACGACAGCATCAATATATTGAATATCGCAAAATAAACTTAGAACGAAAAAAGATTTCATCAGACAAGCAAAAAACATAAAAACGATGACGCGTTGGTTTTTTTTTGATTTGGTATGAAAAAAATTTCGATGGAGAGAAATCAAAAAAAAAGACGAAAAGGAAACGACGAAACAAGATGAAAATAATAGCCTCGAGGTTCGAGTAATACATCAGGTATTTGAACGAGTTTCTTTCTGTTTTTTGTATCTTTTGCTGTTTGTGCAAGCAATTGAAGCTAAGAATAAAATTTTCTTTCAGATTGGTTTGATCCTATAAGAACTTCTTACGCAATAAGTAGGTCATATGGTGACCTCTGCCACTTCTCGACTCATCCAACACGCTCATACTCGCATTTGGTGTTTATTTGGTTGAATCATCATCTTCCATCACATCGAGCATGTAACATTAAGTGCTTACACACTCAATTGATTCATTAACGCTCGGCGTCAGATGATGTGAAAGGTTATCGGAGATATTTGTAAGTGCTTTCTTGAACATTTTAATTGGCTGTATTATTGCATCATCAAAAGATATCTCGATCATTATCTACACATATGTTGCTAGCTCACTATATTCGCTTATAAATTTTTATATTTTTTTTAAACATTCTAAGAAGTCAGTGAAAAAGTTCCAAAGCATTGAACAAAAATAAACATTTTGTCTGATCATAATTTTTGACGACAAGATGTTCCATGGAGGCGTTAATGGGGTCATTGAAACATTTGGGAATAAAAAGAGCAAACCACTGAAAAGAATGCTTCTCGAAAAAAAATAAAAATAAAATGAAAAGAAGAAGAGAAAAATGAAACGATAGAACGACATTGTAACTATAGCGGATAGCTGTGGCAACAAAAGAGATTTAAAGAAATATCATAACTCAAAATGATAATAACAGGAATGTAATGTAATGACCCTCTCGCAAAACGTCGGGAAGAGTGTTATTGTTATACTTGCTTTGGCGTATAATATTACCTTAATTTGCATCTTCGAGTGCGGTTTTATGATGTTTCCGAAGAGTTCATTGAAATCAAGAAAAAGAAAAGAATTTCTTAACAAGCACTTAGGGTTGTTACTTTTTTTGTTCACGTTCATCATAAGACATGAAGCTTCACCTGAGACGCTTCGGTCTGTTTCAAAAATTGACTGCAATAATGATTTCGTTAAAAATGTAATGGAAATTTTGACATGAGATCAGATTTAGCAAGAAACAATTTGTTTTTAAACTACTTTCGATTTTGTCGACCTTTGGAATATTATTAAAAGATTCATTACACTCTTGGAAAAAAAGATTTAATGAAAAAGATTAAGTTAACGAGTATTTTAACAAGTTTTAATGAACTCTTGACATTACATGAAAAAAAAATTAATAAAAAAAAGGAATTAGATAATTAACATTATTAGTTGTCAATGATATTTTTGTGAATCCTCAAATCATTTTTGATTTATTTAATAATGCTTGCTGTTAATAAGTATGTTTGGTAGTTGGCAATTAATGTTGTCATGTTTGATGGTCACTCATTAGTATACAATTGTTTCTCTCTAAAGTACAAATGTTGATCCTCAATAAATATTTACTACTTAGTAAAACATTGTCGAAAATCATGATAAGTATCATTCGAAATCAACTCTACTAACAACGATATTTGCTTCTTTGAGATGACTAATTTTCTCGCTTTTACGACACAAACTCATTAAATAATCATCGTTGTTGGTTTTGCTTTTTTCATATTTCGGAAGAAATGATTAAAATTCAAATCATTTCTTAAGATGAGAAGAATATCGAAACAATTATCAGCATTAAGATTGTAATTTACTCATTTCAATGTTCATTGCTGTTTCCCTCTTACTTTATCATCACTCAGAATCGAGATCATTATAATAAAAGTTCGTTTTTCTTTACGATTATTGTTTTATTATGAACAGAAGATATTTTTCTTCGTCTTCTTCTTCTTTGAATTCTTGTTTATTTTCGGTGCTTTTCCAACAACTGGTCTTGAAGAACTCATGGTTGAACATCATTATGATATTATTATGGCATTTCCATTCCATACCAAATAATTCTCTGCTTTTACAACAACGATAATGTAAAGAGAGCAGAACCTTTTATGCTTATGATAATAAGATTGCATTCTTTTTATGCGAGAAACAATTATTTGAATCGTAACTTTCTTCTCTTTATTTATTTTCATCCTTTCACGACTGCAGTGAAAGATAATTTGCAGTAATGTGTAGAGAAAGCTTGTGCAGATGCGCTAAGAAAACTAAAATTTTTATGAATCGCAATTTCTGCTCGTCTAGTTCAGACTTCTACTAAAATTGGACTAATGGAAGTTGAATTGTATTATACAGACATGTATAATTAATGAATGAAAAAATATTTCACTTCCCTTCATGATTATTGAACATTTCCATGAACAATAAAATGTGAACGATGGTTAAAATGTCACGATGAATATCGTTCGTTTTTGCTCCTACATATTATGTTAAATATTGCGGTTTGATTGCTATTGGATGTATTTTTAATGTTAGAGTCAGTCCTCTGATGCAGAATTCGAATAAGAAAAATAAAATAAAAATTCTACAATATTTCACCATTTCAAAAAAAAATGAGCGGAGAAATTAATCAAATTTTATCAGTATCGAAAGATTAAATTGAGTGGAAAAACCAATTGAGTGTTGTGGGAGGAAGGAAAAGACGTAAAGAGATTTATACTGAGTGTTGCGATGGAAAATGATATTTTATTGTTTCGCAAGCATTCCAAAGAAAAGAAAATATAATAAAGCAGAACAGAATAGATTGGATTGAGCGGCAAAAAATAAATTGTTGAATCATCGTATTGTGTAATATACGACTAAAGTATCTCGAGGATCAAAAACAGCAATTGAATATTTGTGGTGGGTTGGAAACTGCATTTCTATGTCTCGCTAAACCGCTCGTAAAATGTTCAATATTATAGTGAAACTAATTTTATTTGTAGCCGCTAATTTTGTATTAAGCTCCATCATGGAATTGATGAATAATTTTATCTTGAATTTTACAGCCATTCGAAGAATTTAATTTTGTTACGATCACTTAACGCCATTTGAGGAAGAATGTCTCACATTTTGCTCAATGATACATGAATACTTGATCGTGAATGATGTATAATTAAAAACATAATCATCAAACTCAGCTGGCGGGATTGTAAATTTTCTTAACTAAATCTGAACGTTGTATATCGATTGCCTTTCATTTACAGAAAACTCGATCAATTAGGTAATCGTTAATCTCATGCATGATCTGGAAAGTTCTAGCTTATAGAGATTTGAATAAGATTTATGATAAGGATGAAAACGATTTTGATAATTAAATGTGAAGCATCTGAACATCAAAAAATAAAAAGAAAACTCATGTCGATCTCATCAAGATCATTAACGTTGGTGGTCTTTCAACATTCGATATCATGCCTTTAAGAAACTTTTGCCGTCGTTGTCTTCTCTTACGATGTGTATTATTTTCCTAAAAATTCTACTCTCGTGATGAAAAGTATTTAGATCAAATAAACAATGTGTTGGGATTGGTAAAGATATATGTACATAAGTTCTTGTTTTTGTGAGAAACTTGATACATTTAAAATTTGATATGAAAAAGAGATTTCTCTCATCAACAAGCAGTTGAAGTCTTGATCATGCAGTTGTGAGGCTTATGATCGACAATAAAACTATCAAAAATTTAACTTTATGGTGTGTCCAATGATTTGACAATAATCAAATCAATTCATTTTAATACAATCTCTACCCAAGAAAAAAAAAGTAAGAAAAACATAAAACTAAAACCAACAGCACAATGATCATAGTTATCAGCTGACAAATGAACAAAAAGTGGGAGGCTTTCAAAAGTCTGTAAAGTTTCATCTGTGATGTCATGTGTTTTGTGCATTGTCACTTCCAAAAAACTTGGAACTAGTTTCCAACCCTAATGGAATTCTTCACTTCTTCTCATACATTTAACATCATAAAAAAGGAAGAAGAGAAGTGAAATCTTGAGAATCACAATGACACATTGAACCACAAGATTTTAATGACGTGGCAGTATATTCTTTTCTATCTTTTTTTATACCCTCTTGGTGTTGTTGAATCTTGTGAATATAAGAGAAGAAAGAAGAACAACGTGCTGTTCACGGCCTAAAATATTTTAAGAGTTGATTCTTTTTATTTCTCTCTTCTCAGTTTCTTATTAGTTAAGCAGGAAGTTGATCGCATTCCCTTTGTTTCATAGTAATTTCACTCACCAACAGTTTATCGGCATCTCGACAGAAAGTCGACAAAAATTCAAACGAACAGGGTTCGCAGAGAATGTCAATCAAGAACATGTGTTCTTGTTAAAAATTTCGTTGCTATGATTTGATTTCCGCTATGATTTCATTTTCACTTGAATTTTATTTCTAAATTAATTTTACGAACAACTTAGTAGAATGAGATTGAAATTGATGCTCAATTCTCGAATATCATTTCGACTAAGCCTTATTATCATAATTATAGCGACAACGAAAATACAATGAGAAGATTTATTGAGGCGAAAGCAAATCATTCTCAGATCTGGTATGATGAAGAATTGCGAATTAAAATAATTAATAATTTTGGTTTCGCTGACAACTGAGACGTGAAGCGAGCCGAGAGAAAGAGGGAAAAGTCAAGAATCAAGATCAATAATTATGTTTGAGTTTAATTAAAACAGAATTAATTAAAAATTTAATTATCAGAGTTAGAAATTTGTCTGTTAATTTGATACTTTAACCGCAACTTTTATTCCCGCTTTGTGTAAATGACGCCACACTTTAAAGTCAAGAGAAGCTCAAAATTAGAAAGCAAGGAAACTTCCAGATAATATTTTTGTGGGGGTGAAGAAAAGCCTCAAGATTTAATCTGTCAAATGCTGCCAGTAAACCAAACGTGTGCTTATGCCATTTGTTTATATGCTCTCAAAATAACTTAGAAATATGCTCACGTAACGCTTTAATTTTGACTCATTTTATAATCCATATGAGGAGTGAAAAAGCTTCAAGAGTTTCTGCCGCTCGCTCTCCAAAAAAAAAATGGATAAATACCTACTTTTCATAATTGGATAAAGTTTCTTGTACGCGCTAGCGCATTTATTGATTAATTTAATTATGGAATGGACAATTCACCAACGACCACCAATAATCCTAATTTATACGCAAACGACTCAGTGAAATAAGAAACAAAAAAAGGTTTCTTGTCTTTAACCGACTTCACTTCGTAGTTGACGTGGCGCGTAATTTTTCATGCTTTATTTAATCAATTAACGAAATTGTTAATACAGAGTAGCTGTGTAGGTGATTTTATGATGTATTAAAATTTATAAAAACAATCATTTAAAATAACTTTCATTTGTTGATTTGAATACATTTCCAAACATGGAAATGAAGATTCAACTTCCTGTCAAGAAAATGAAGATTTTTTTTCACAAAAATCCTGCTTACAAGATTTTCAGCTTAGCATGAACTTCCATCACATTTATGACAACGAAAGTCAGAAAAATAATTTTCGTCTCTGTCGTTTTCATTTTTTTTTCTCCTTCGTTCAAACTTCTTCTTTTCCGTATTATGTTCGAAAAGCTTCTTCTCTTCCATCATTTGTCATAATCGCATCGAGAACGCCGTTTCTCCATCAAAGTCATAAAAAATATAATTGTCATCATCATCAAACCATTATCATGATGCGAATAGGGCGAGAGATGGAGTCGGCTGTGCACATTAATAAACAGCACAAGTCGTATTCTCGTTTATTGTTTTTCGTTACATTTTTATCGTTCCACGATTTGCTGATGCCATAGCAGTTGATTTTGATGAAGTTTGCGTACAGGGATTTGTAATTTGTATGAACACACATTACGTGATTTCCTTTATTACATCAGTCAACGGTGTATTATTTTTTTTCTTTCTCCCTCCTACTCTGAACTGAGTATTGTGAAACCACAACCAACAAATAGCCTATCATTACCCAAATTTACTGCTTCCAAAGTATTTTTTGTTAGAATAAATGATAAAATTATAATTTTATTATCGCTTCATATTTTATAAAATCGTGATTGGGTTTGAAAATTGTCTTCAATATATTTATTCATGGAATATTCAAAAGAGGAATTTGAACAAAGCTTAAACATTTTGACAACACAATCCTTTAAAATGTAATTAATCAAGCACCATAGCTTGTAAAGTGAACAAAGGAGCGAACGAAAGGATCACACAATCATTTTGATTATCAACTAATATAAAACTTGCATAGAATTAAGCAGAACTTTTCATAAAATTAGACCCAATTTTTCGGAAGATGTCTTCATCTCTGTTTAGCAGTCATGTTGAAGAAAACAAATTAAATCACTTCGCATCACATATTTGGAAACTCACATGTGGCACGAAAAAGGAAATACGGAAAAGTTTTATTAATGATTCGCACAAAATTATATACATTTATAAGACTGATACTTATTGTTTTGAAGTTAATGCTCAAAGACTTGAGATTTTTATTATTTTCAAGAAAAATTTATTAAACATTCTTACTTTCTGTCTAGATATGTTTGTGTGAAATTTTGAATCACAAATTTATTGGGTTGCGATGATGTAACCAACGAACGTTATCATTTCACAAGCAGATCCTTTATTCCATGTGGTATAAAAAGAAACTAAGAAAGAAAGCGTAAATCTCATTTCTTTATTTCTTTTTCGAGTGTAATTTGTCACATCCCAAGTTTAATATTTCAAACCTTTTACAAGAAGCGTTATACGCGTCACCGCAAAAGCAACAAAGCGAAGATGAAAAAGGTTGGCATGACACGGAGGAAAAATAGAAGGAAATTATCAGCTAATTTCACAAAAGTATTTTTATGACTTAAGCTGAACGACATTCGACAGTTTTCACGCTTTATAAAGAATCGCATCTATTGTTCTTCAGCTTTTACGATCAAATTAAAATTTTAATCAAGTGATATTAAAGTTTTTATTTCTCCATAAAATAATAGCATTTCTTTATTTCTATTTCGTCTCGTTTTTCACATCTTATAGCTTGACATTTTTCGTGTTTGTGACTTCTATGACGACATTAATGTGCAATTCAAGAGACGTTTTCAATGGAGTACTGAAAGATTATTTAAAATGTAAGTCGCGTTTCCGGGACAAGACTTTTCACATCTTGAGAGTTTTTCAAGCATTATTTAACAAGAAATGAACAGAGAATTCAATATAAATTCAATATGTCGGTGTATAGCTTGCAACATAGAAAATTTGTCATTTTTAGTTCTTGATATTACGTTAGCAGGGAGATAGAAAGACGTTGGTGTGGTATGGGAATCAAACTATCTCTTCTTCATTCGTTTTTTCTCCCTAACTTCAACTTAACGAGGCCATGGAAGAAGCTTCTGGAATTTACTTGACAACCTTCTATTATGCATAAAATAAATACGTATTTTGAATTTAAATCGACAAATGTGATGAACGTGTTACGACTTTAACTTATTATATGTTCTGGAAAGTATATAAATGCAACAAGGTTTTATAAAAGTTATAAGAATGAGAATAAAATTTAATACATTTACATAAATTCGATGAATAATGATGCTTGTTGAATGTAAGATTGCATACATTTCACATGAATTAATCAAAAGATATGAAATTGAAAAGGTTAAAGTAAAATTTTATAAAAGGAAAATGAGTGCAAAGTTGTTTTGGTTTCGCGTGACATTTGCTCTTAAAACTAGAATGGTTTAATCAATAATCTGAATGCTTTATAGTCAAAAAGTTGAGTAACAATTTCAAGACGTCTAACAGTCTGTAAAACCATCAACATTACACCTACTCTGTTTTCTAATCATCGACATTCTGCATATATTTACGAATCAATAAATTTCATAACCCACGCACTCACACATGAATATCTTAATTTCTATGTAAGAATAACAAAAGAAAACAGAGAAAACAATAACTTTGCAAGGAAAAAAGAATAAAAAAACATTCTTCGAGTGTCACACGCAGCTCAAACTACTAGCTCGTTACAAATTTTATTCCCAAGATGTGATACTTGAATGAATAAAAATGACGAAAAGCTTTTGCTTTTCCATGTGACATCTGGAGGGGTTATTTTTGAGGCGCGTGTCATTGAATGGAAATGTAGGTCAAAGCTGTGTTCGAGAGGAAAAAAAGTAAATGCGGAATATAAAAATATTTGTGGAAGCAAAAAGCAAGTACTTGTCGAAAAAAAAATTAACTCGTTTGTGTCGCCTTTCTCGAGCGCCGGAAACATTAATACAGTGATATAATATTTAAGAATATTTGTTGCACGACACAAACATTTTGCGGAAGGCCGAAAGCTACTTATGCGAAGGGAAAAAAAGCTTCTTGGCTCAATTAATGAGAAAAATAAACATTTCTTGCTCGAATAAATTGAATATTTCCTTTACTGAAAATGGGGGAAAACAGCCGAAAGGTCTGCTTTTATCGGAGCTTAATCGCATTCTTAGCTGACAGAAGAAATGAAGATAAAGAGCTTACTCACTCGTAAATGAGTTGCAAGCTAGGACGAAACGGCGAATGTCGGATTTGAAGTTTGTCATTGGTTTCGTTTGAGAAATTATTTCATTGCTTTCCTGCTAAACGAAACTTTATTTTTTATAACCGACGTAAATTGTAGTCGTCGCCAAGGAATCGTTTCTGCTTTGTTTTCAACATTCTGTAATATTAAGAGAAATCGGTAAGTTATTCGAACGATGACAATCGTATGATTTTAACATTTTTATTTCTTTTTATATTTATTAAAGTGAAATCATTTGTAGTTGAGACGACACCCTAAATGATTGAAGTATTTTGAGATTCCATCTGGAAAAAAATATTATTGAAGCTTCGAGACGAAAGCCACATGCGAGTTTATACAATTGGATTCTTTAATTTAATAGATGCGCAAAAATATTCAACAGATTTCTATAATTTCCTCCCGTCAACTGATTTCATCTTGCGAAATTAAAGATTGAATCTTGTTAAACCTTACTCAAGGGACTTAATTTCTTTTCCGTCCTTTATGAGAAATTATAAAAGAAGTCTTTAATTTTTTACGATTCCCATCGGTTTCTGGAGTTTTCATTTAATTTTCTCCAAATCGTAAAAATTTCTTTTCGATTTTTATCCGCGTCAAATGCTTGGAGTTTATGGCACAGTTTAAGCCACATAAAGTGTTCGAGGACCACTGAAATAGATTCGCGCGCCTTATTGGTTTTATAGTTATAAATTTTATTTAGTAAATTATTAATTTTTACGACTTTGCTGTAAGTTTCACTGTATTGCTGTCGTGTGTGAAGAAGTAGAAAACTAGTTTTCCGCCTTTTTTAGGATAAAATCTAATAAAAAGCGCGCCATTATCATTTTTAATCCCTTCTAATTATTATTTTGATTCAAATGTTTGTTTTAATGTTTGACACATTATTATTTAGTGTACAGTTTTATGGCGCATTTATTACGATTACGATTATGTTTCGTTTTTCAATTCAAGTTTATGTCCCGCATTTTAATTGAATAAATGAATCGAGTGAGCTGGATTGGTTCTAAATTGATTTCAAAAGCTTTTTTCTCTCAAACGCTGAGCTATAAAAATATATTTCAATTTTAGATTATTCAAGATAATCTTAATTATATTTCACATTTCTCCACTCTTGTCGCATGGCTTTAAATTTTGAACGCTTCTCTTAGAACAGATTCGAACGGGTTTGGAGTCATCGTTGCGGCATCCAGTAAGGTGTAATAATGAATAACTCTCCGATACAAAATTTATTACTATCCTCAAACGAGTTCCACTCGAGTTTAATCAAATTCAAAGTGAATTTATTGTTACTTGATTGATTTTATTTTTTATCGCTGTGAGAGTTAGATTGTAAAATATTTTTATTGTGACTCTCGAAAGAAATATCGAAGATCGCTATAAATTAACTTATGTACTTGGGTCACAATCCAATTCGATTCAATCTTTTATGCGTGCGTGTATGTTTGTTCGTTCCATAGAATTTATTGCAGTTTTGTAATAAATCTAGGGATTAAGAGAGCCGAGTAAATATTTGAAAACTGGAAATTAGCTTGAAGATGAATCAAGTCAATCTATTCTTTTCGTGATTTATTGTTAAATGAGTAAAATTGCAAACTCGAATATATATTTTACACAACAAATATTAAATTAAAAATAATAAAAAATACAGATTTTTAGTTGTTTTTGACATCAAACAAACAAGGATTCAATTTTGGTTTAGATTAAATACATATTTATACGTAGATTTATGTAATTAAAAAGCTCATAAGTTTGAGGATTTGACCCGTACAATTTTTCAACGTGATATATGAAGTCACGATGACAACTTCAAAACAAAAGTTACGAAGGTCCGGAGCTTACATGTTGATCTTCCAACGGTGATTAAAACATTCATAATAAATGCTCTGATTTATCCATCACCTCTTCACTGAAAATGACAGAGGAACTAGACTGAAAGGGTGACGAATGAGCCCTGAACTGAATATTTTTACAATTTATTTTAATGCCGAATTCAGAGCACATTTGCGACATGTATGGTAGCAATTATAATAGTCGTAAAATTTAAAAAACAATTTCATAATTTCACTTTTCGATTAAAGAAAAACTCACTCAAGGAAATATTTATTAAACAAGAACTCGCGGAAACGGTAAGCATGGATTATGCCAGCCTGGAGAAATGAGATAAAATAATAATTTGTGGAAGACAAGACACCCTGGATTCTTTTAAGATACAAGCGGAATTTATTTTCAAATTTTTCATCTCTCTTGGCTTGTCCTAAAAAGCTTCGTACGCCTGTCATTTTTTCCATTTTGTAATTTATGCTACAGATTTACAATGGCAATGGATAATTATTAATCACGTTTGAATTAGAAGTTTAACTGCTTAAAACTTTGATAAGATTATAACTTTCTATTTTTACTTTCTTTTGGAAATATATTTCTCCACCCGCCCTCATAGAATTTAGGAAAATTACCTTGAAGCGATTTTAGAGTAGAACTTAAGGATGAGAGAATAATTGTATGAAGTGATTTTGGGGTTTACTTTCATTTGACTTCTTCCGCCTTCAGGGTTTAAAGTTTAAAAATATATACCTCCAATAACACAGCATAGGACGTGTTGCCTAGAATTTAAAGCCTTTCCCAGACTGTTTATCTATAATAAAAAATAGTTTATTCGAGCGATTTTCGTTTTTGGCATTTTCAAATAAATTAGCTCTAATTAAACTCTTACTGCGGGGTGACTTTGAGACTCATTGGATCAACAAAAAAAATGTTCTACGAAGAGAAAAAAAAATTGTTAGCAAACAGATTACAACGTTTTGTGAGTTCTCGAAAATGTTATTTATTCGAATCTGTGATATTTTTACGTCGTGATCAACAAAATTGGCGTCGTTAAGAAACATCTACTAGCTTTAAAATTAATTTTTATTACAAAACAGCCTTTAAAGGAGTGAGATTTGGTTTTGAATGCAACTCACATCGCCTGCTGTTCTCATGTAAAAGGCACATAAAAGATTTTTGAACGGCGCCGTTTGTTTACTGCAATATTTCAGCTAAAGACGCAAGTCGTAAATAAATTTAACTTTTATCCAAGTCTCTCATAATAACTTTGTTGAGGCTCCAAGTGTGAGACTCAATAACTCATTTATATTCAGAAGTTTAGGAGTCTCTGTTGCCTCTTCTTTGTTTATTTTTATTTATTTTTTTCATACCTTAAATGCGACAAAAAATTTCTCCAGTAAAATTTATTCGATTTAAATAAATCGCTTCTTGGCTTAATAAATATATAATTTCTAAATGAGATGCTCGAGCTTTTATTTGCTTTTCAACGTTATTCAGTTATACTTTGTCTATCTTTGTTTACGTTTATGGTGTTTTCAAACAGGAAATGATTGGAGTTTACCCAGAATGGATACGATTGGTAGCGTAGAAGCTTCATTGATTACCACTAATAGCACAAGCAACATGATCTCTCTGGGACTTACCAAAATACAAAAGATATTCAACAATATTTTTTGGCAATCAACAAAAGAGATGAACGAGTCTCCATATGTTTGCCATTTGCAAATTGTGCTCGTATTTATTTCACCTTGAAAGTCCGTATTCTCGTTTCTTTCGGCCAGCACGATATTTTTTTGCGTGGGCGCGCGCGAGATAAATACAAAACGAAGAAGAAAAGAAATACTGACTTAAAAAGCAATAAAGTGCCGTGAAAAAGAAAAAAAACTGGTAAAAAAATGTTTCAATTTAGCAACAACGTCGAGCAACATTCTCAATCATTTTTGTCGTTTTCTTATGCTGTTGTTTGCTTCGCGCGAACGTTTTGTCGGTTGAGTTAAGAGAAAGAAAGAAATCTTGTACTGAAAACAAAAATCTCATTTTTTATGACACAACGAATCTGTGTACTAAAATACAAAGCAGATTGAAATCGAGACAATGTGTGGTTTAAGATTACTTCTCATTGCTAATTTCCATTCTTCAAGATCTTTCTTTTCTTGAACATGATGCTTTAGCTCCAGGCTCATTTTGTAACTGGTTATAAATGTGATTTGATGACAACTTTTTTTCTCTCTCTCTTTCGATCATGTAGGAACTTCCTTCGAACGGCTAAGAACTGTTACCGTCATCTCCTCGAGGTATTAAAAATCGTAATTCAACTCTGATGACCAGTTTCGCTTGTTGATATTAAACCAGTTCAATGGATTTCTCTCAACCTTTTGCGTTCTTTCAACGATTAAAGAAAGAACCGAAAAAACATTTTGCGTGCGATCAGGCAACTGTGAAGACGCTTCGGTTATAATCGCATCGCCGGAAAACTTCTTTTCATGTTCAAAGTAATTTTTATTTTATTATGAAGCAAACGAACATATTTCCTATTGTTCGATTAGACAATTGACGTTCCAATAATGAAATGTATAAAAAGTGGATGCTTAATGTGCTTGATTACATAATTGGACTTTTAGAAGCATTTCGTAAATTTCTTTTGTATACTTTAATGTTTTTTTTTTGTGATTTTCTTTGCTTTGCTTTGAACACGATTACATTTATTTTTTATTACATTACGCAATTCAAGCTTGACGAGTTTATAACGCCATGCAATATGGTTTGATCGTGAGTCGATTTTGTATTATCAGAATGATCATTTCGTGAGATTCTCACCCTTTGAGAAAGCTTTTTTCATTTCATTCATAATGGAGTGTAATCTACGCCTTCGTCTTTGCCGCAAGCACATGCTTGAAATGCTTATAGAAAAAGGAAACATTGATTTTCAGAATCACTTTTTCTCATCCCTATAGCAAACACATTTTATTTGAGTATCAATCAAATACAGATTTTCAAGCTCTCTTTTTTCTTGCTTGAGACTAAAATTTGCATGAAACTCGAATCAATTTTCGTCGGAAACATTTCAATCACGAAATTAAGTTACTTTTTTTTCGTCTTCTTGTCTTTGCAAGAGTTCTTCGGTGCTGATGCTTTTGCACTCCCAGCATCATCATCTCTATTTCTTCTGATTACTCGATACGTTTGCTCTGAATGTATTTTCTTTTTGCCTCTCTTTGTGATTTCAATGTTTATTTTGCATTCGAATAATTTCGAGTGTGTTTGAACTGCTAACGAATGAGCCCTTTCATTCAAGAGCATGAGGGGTTCGATGAGGTTCCTTTTCCAACACAATCGCTGAAAGCCATTTTTCGGTCGATTCAAACTCCTTTCTCTTTGTTTAAATTTTTTTTCTTTCCCTTTTTCACGGTAATTTAATGCGTAGGAGTATTATCATATTTTTTTACGATTCGAAAAAACAAGAAAAACTCGCATGTGAATAAAAGAATGAAAAAAATAATTTGAATAAACAAGCTGAGTTTTCGCATCCTTTGCAGAGTCAGTAAAAGCATTGAATCGTTCTTTGGACCGTTCGAACCTTTTATTTATCCTCCACGAATCTACTCATCTAAAATATATCTTGTTATTTCGACTCTACCATGACTATTAACTTGTCAATCAATGCATGCTAGGGGAGAAAAATAGAAGGAGAAGGAAAAGAGTAAAGCGAGGGTTATTCGGACATTACAAGACAAGCAGAAAAAAAGACGAATCATCAAAGCACACAAATCTACCTTCATTTCCTTTCCATTCCTAAATTGTTATTTTACATTGTGTTGTACGATGGCTTACGGTTCTCTCATTGCCGTTTTTATGGGAAGTTTATTGATGAATTTTCCGCCATCCAGCTACAAGCACATCAATGACTCCGAGAAGAGCTGAATCACTTATTTTATTTTCTCTTTCTTTTCCCATTCGTGTACTAACGGAACGGAGGATGTGCATTTAATACCTTTTGGCATGTTATTTCTTTCCTTCTATTAAATACATTGCAGTTCAAATAACTATTTTTCCTCATTCTATTCATTAGATGTGATCGCGTTACTTTGCTACATCCGAAAACATTTAATTTGGTATTTTATTTATTTTTTGTTTATGAGCTAAGCATGAATCATGTTAAAAGTTTTTTGTAACTTTAGACTCTAAAACAAGTTTTAACTTGAAAGAAAGTTTACTTTTTATAACTGGATATATGTTTTCGTAGTCTTCCAAGTTCACTGGAACAAACGTTTAGAAGGGAACTGCCGAAAAAGTTTAGCTAAATAAGTTGATTTTTAAAAGAAACTTTAATCATAAAATTTTCAAATTGTAACTTTATGCTGAATTATAAATCAACAAAATTAGGGTAAATTTTATTATATATCATTATCATAAATAACATAAAACATTAAAATCATGCATATATGTATATTTTTGTTTGATATTGAAGCACAACTTTTTTTTATTGTTAAAAGGTTTTGTATTTTATTTTTTCTATTTATCGCTAATCCATGTCAAATTTTAAATTTTTTGTTTTGAAATAATTTATTACTAAGTTTTCATGATCTTTAAGTTATTTTACCATTGAATTCCCAAAATGAAATTAATTGATAAAAGTATAGCAACAATGTTGCAACTTGAAACGACGCATTACCAATAAACTTGTGGATAAGTTTACATTTATTAACCAGATGGATGTTGAAATTTTATTCCGCCTTCAAAAATAATAAAATTTGGATCAATCGAAATAACAAAAAATTATTGAGATCAGCAGAAGTGTTTTAAAAAATCACATTTTGTTATTTTGAATATCAGAATTGTGCATTATTTTTGTAAAAGTGAAATTTTCAATTATTCAAATGAGAAAAATATAAATAATTTTGCAATTATTCGGATAATTAGTAGATAGGTAAATATAAACTTATATTCAACTCGCAACTGAATGTTCCGTGAAAAGTGCAAAACCCTTGTATATCTGTTAGGTAGATGCAGTAATAGTCTGTGATTAATTAATATTCATAAATTAAAAGATATTATGAAAGCCATTACATGTACGTCAAAAGAAGGCTGATCGACAATAACTTAAATTATGAACATCATGATTTGATTCCTAGGGGCGTATTACAATTGTTAACAATTTAAAAAGCAAAAGAATTGCTTTTTATTATTTATTGATTTCACTCTTGTATCAAAAAAAAATTGTTTATTATTCCTAATCAAAAATTACAGACTCACTCATTCGACAATAAAGAATGAAAGAATCGAGATAATTTTTTTCGTATTTATTCAGCTCCAAAAATACGTATGAACATTTTGAACAATTGTTTTCTCCTAGAGATTTATAATTTTATTATTCTCACGTTTACCAACAATGGCAATTTTTTCACATCTCATGTATTCATCATAAGGGATGTTATCACAAAAGATAATGGAGGGTTAATGTTTGCTTTTTAGAAGATGAGAATTTTGTGAACTGTGAGAGCTCTTTCATTTCTTTGTGTAACCCAGCCCAACCATTGCACTTCCACATTACCACAACAGCATAAAATTTTAAAGTTATGAAAGCATACATAAGCTTTTGATTCAATATTGGTTCGAATGTTCTTTTCTTATCATTTGATCGTTGAGTGTCATAAAAATATTCTAAAACTTTTTATTTTAACTTAGTTTTAAGTAAGAAAGTTCGGAGATATTGCATAAAAGGGAAAATTGAAAAATAAATTGAACCACGACAAGTGCAACAGAATTCTCATGTATAGTTAATTGTTTTCAAACAAAAGGGAAAACTTCTTTCCTTTCGTACTCTTTATTTTTCCAGAGAGATAATTGTGTTACATGAAACAGCAGAAGTTTCTTGAATATGTATTTTTTTCATATAAAAGAAGTTTAATGTTTTGAATTGGCCTCAAAACTGAATATGATATTGAATTAAAACTTACTTTCAGTAATTGTTGTTTGCTTTCAATTTATCGTTGATTTTTTTTCGAATATTAAAATATTAATTAAACAAATAAATTAAGCTTGAGAGTTAGCAAACACTTCATAAACAACATTAACATGAAAAGCTATGTACATGACACGACTAACTTTTTCGCTCAAGTGTGGAGTTTACTTGGGTCACAATTTATAAAAAAAAGTCTCAGATTGCATTTACCAACCATACATTGTTCTCCTCTTAAAACTAGGAAACTGAATGGCATTTTTATTTAAAAACTTTCTTGTCGTTCACACAATGAAATCTACCCTTAAGAGAAACTTTTTCTTCAATACAATTTCTATCTTCACTGCTCATTGAGAAAATATTTGTACATTCTTGAAAGATTTCTTCACATATTCGTTCAGACAATTGAAACTTTTTCGATTGCTGTATGCTTTTACGCATGGGTCAAGTTTAGTTGGGAATTTTACAACTTCAGTAGCACTTAAGAAAATTTTGATCTAATATTATTCGAAATTTCAAACTTTTCCTCGCAAACTATGTTTCGACATTAATCGAATATGCATTATTTTTAACGTATAGTCAAAATCTCAAAAGTTGAGTATTTTTTCCAGCAAAAAAATTTAAGTATCTATTTTACTCTGCATTAAGTTATATTAAATACATTGATGATGGATACTTATATTCTTCTAGTTCTCATCTTGTGGCGCATTACAAGTATTAGAATATGTTTGAAAAGTTTTGTCGCATAGAGCAATAAAATTTTTGAGGATTTTATGAGAACTATATGTACATGTTGATGTTGAACAACTTTTCTTCATATGTGCAAATATATATTTACATTTTCAGGACGATATCAAATACTTTCACCTCCATCACTCACGCTTCAAACATTTCGCTAGAAACTTTTTAAACCCTCGAGATGGTATAAAAGTTTTTCATCACCTTTCCATCATCAGCTGAAGATGGAGAGGAAAAGTTTTCCATCAAATCTCGGCACCGAACACAAAAAAGTAATTTTAATACGTAAAGAAAACATTTGATTTAAAATAAAATATTGTTCCGAGAGAAATGGGTGAGTGTAAGATGTAAGACTATAAAAAGAAAATTTCCATCCAAAAAAAAAAATAATATAAAATAAATAAAAATTCAAACAGAAAGAATGAGAAAGTTATGAATTTGATTTTGCGGGAAAGTTTTATCTTTTCATGGGATTCCATAACAAAGTATAATTTTCGCCCGTTTTCGTCCCATCGTTTGTAACATTTCCTTCTCTTCCGGAGTCTTACCCCTCATCCGCCCAATTTTTTGGTCGGGCGGCAAAGCATAAATGTGCCCTGAGGTTTATACTTTCCTCGAGGAAATTTAGTTACGACTAAATAAAATCATTTTTGAAACATGAAATTTATGTAAACAAGATTTGGTGCTTCAAAGAGAGACAGAAATATTAAGAGAAAAAAAGAAAAGCTGTAACCAAAAATGAACCCTTGAAGAAGTTGTTCAGTACAGGGAGAACGCATTCAATTTGTACCTGATTAAATTATGCAAAGCACTCTGAGACTTGAGCAAAACATCGTTGCGTGATTTATTTCTCATCCTATACTTATCCTGTTCAAATGTCTCAAGTTGCTTTTTCTCGAAATACATATGTATTAGAAAGGATTTTAGCTTAGGTGTGAAAATAAGTCAGCTTCAAGGTCATCGAAACATTTCTTTTTCTTTTTTTCCTTTTCTTCATCTATTTCTCAGACATCTTCATTGTGCACTTAAATGACCTTCGTAAAGCGAGCAATAACTCATTGTATACATTTTTCTTTTAATCAGATACTCGCACAAAATAAGTTATTGAAGAATGGAGAAGAATGGAACAAACAAATTTTTTTGTGAAAGTTATTTTAATTGAGTGTAATGAATTTCAGTCAAAATCATGATTTCACATCTGCGTTTACGTACACCCATAATTTGAATATAACAGTAGTTATACATGATTGGGTAACATGCATAAAGAGATTTCATACCAAGAGATGGATGAAAGAAGAGCAGAGAAAAATAAGTATATCGACGACCGTTGATTTCTTTATGACTAAAAGTGAATGGAATTCTGAAATAATAAATCAAAATAATTTTTTACGCCGCCGATCATGACATAAGAATTTCTTTGGTCGGTTGACTCTTCAAAACATAAGAAATAAAATCGATTGATTTTAAACCACTGGGCTTCAACCAGAAGATTGGAAATTATTTCACAAACATTTCTATGTTGTTCCTATTCAAAACGACGCAGACGATGGAAGAGAACAGAAAGAAAAAAAAATCAATTAAATGATTGATAGATATTTGAATAGTTTTTTTTATGAAAGAAGATTATTATAATCGAAAGGGGGGAGAATTTTGATTGGCATATTGGTTCACATCGTACACACTCGCTAGACAAGCTTACAACTTTATTATGCCTTCTATGTCGAGGAACTGACGATGCGAAGTGGATTAGAAATTGACTTTATCACACTGATTATTCACTCAAATTTCTACACGAGAAATCATTGAACTCGTCTAAAAAATGAAAGCAGATAAAAAAAGAAACTACACAACAGAAAGAAATGTTTGTCATCTGTCGCGATCTATTTTTGAAATTCCCAAAAAAAAGATATTTTGCTCGCATAAAAATCGCACACGCATCTGTCGGGGCCGCAATTTTACGCCTTGCTTATCGTATAAGAGAAGCATTTTAATTCTCGAGAGGAAAATTTAATAAAACGGAAATTTCACCACTTACCACTTTGATTATTTCGCATGAGTTGCAGCAATAAATCCAAATCAAGAGTTATAAGTCGCTAATCCCACTGTTGTTGCTCGCCCAGCACTAATGAGATTAAAGGGAGACCTTTTGGGGTCGATAGGTGCTCGACTTTTTTTTTGTTTTTGTGCTATAGGCAGAGTTCTTCGATAAAGTCGTTTTACTTTTATATTTTCGGTGTTTCTTCTTTATTAATTTTTTCTATCGTAAATATTGATTTATTCACTCGCGTTGAAAAAAACTTGATTATCAGCGTTGTTACTAACAAGAGCACAGAAAATTAAAAACAATTTTAATAAAAACTTTGTATGATTCAGAAAGAATGAGGAAAATTGCATCAATTTTAAGTTGCAATTAAGAAAAAAAGCTCATTAAAACTTATGTTGATCAAGATTGCAATTTTATTCGATTACCGACACAATCCAAATATCATAAAAATTTCTTTTCTTCTTTCACGTTAGGAAATGAAACTTTCGAAATCACTTGCAACTCGAGGTGCTTTTTCTTTAATCAGACATTCGATTTGCGAATAACCTTCATGTTGGAAAATTCTTTTCAGATCTCATTTACTTTTTTGCTTTCCCTAAAGAAATTTTTCTCTTTTCCAATTTTCTTTTTCACGAATACACCTATTTATTTTAAATTAAAGAAACAACATTATTTGCGTTCGTTTTATATTCAGAAAGATCACAATAAGGCTAAGACAGCAAATTCTTTCTACCAAGATCTTTTTATGGTAAATTCCACTGTAAAGAGAGCAACTTTAATGGAAGCTTAAGTTCTGATTTTCAATATAAACTCAATTACACATGTTCAACTCTTTGTTTTTTATTCTTAAACATTGGTATCATTATCGTGAATTGATCTATACATATGTTCTTCGTTTGAACTTCTTCAACAAGAAAGAAATGAAGCGAGAAAGAAAAATTCTTCACGTTCACGAGTATTTACCGGAATTTTCACTTTTATCAGCAAACAGAAGCAACAAAGAACACTAGTCGACGATGTCTTGGTAAAATTCACATTTCAGACTTCGTTCACGAGTCTCACATTTGGAGCCTTTCCGCTTTCCTTATACACATGTATGTCTTCAGTTTTCACCGTTTCACGAGAGCTTTAATATTCAAACAGGAGAAACAAATCGATAACAAGAGGAAAAAGTGTATCCTTGTAGTCTTATTTTTTTGTTCGTGCTGTTGTGAGTCAACACAAGCGCCAGGAAAAGCAATTTTATTCACATACAAGCAACCAGTACACGCAAAATATTTTCGCGTTTTCCTTAATAATCACAATTGTTTAGGCGCTCGTGAAATGTAAAATTTTAATGTGAATGGTTATAACCACTTTTATCCTCTTTCTTTCTAATGACACAAAGCCAATTTGTCATTATCTGCTGATCCTCATAAAGCTTAAAAACCACAACCGTGTTTAGTTTTTATGCAATGTTTAGTTTAGATACGAAATATGTTTCGTCCTTTTTTCTTTTGCAAGGAAACTATTTAAAACGTTCTTTTATATTTTTCTCACACGTTTTAGGATTAGTTCTGTCTCACAGCATGTTTCAAATGTAACTGGTTTCATCGCTGCGGCAAGTTGAATTTTTTTCTTTCTTCTCAAGAGAATATTTCGTTGAAAACATCCAACATTTCAGGTTTTCTTCGCCGAGAGAGAATCTAACGCACGCGTGGCACAAACACAATCAATTCATACTTCGGGATATTATGTTGTGTTTGTCATGTAGTAAAAAATGTAGAAAACTCAATCTCTGAATAAAATGTTTCTCTCTTTCTCATAAATTCCAAGGGGTAATTCAAAGAAAATAATTAGTCGGCAAAAGCACCATTGAGCACAAAAAAAGCACTAAGCAAATACTAATAAAAACTAAGGAAATTCTAGGAAAATAACCATTTCTTTGGAAAAGCACTTGTGCTTTCCAAAGGACCATTTAGAAGCAGCGGGTAAAAACAGTACGATGAATTACCCCTTGTGAATTTACTTTCCTCTCTCCAAAATCATGAAATTGAATTAAGATAATTGAAAAATGATAAAAATTAAAAGTTTGTCATCGGAACGTTATCTTGCCTGTCGTCTTTGTCTATGCCTTTGTTTGCGCCCTCAAGCCAATTCAATAAATAAACGAAGATTATATCCGTTTCTGTTTGATAAATCGCAATGCATCAATTCCGTTGTCGAAAAGGAAGGCAAACGTCGGATTGAATGAACAAACCCTTACTTAAATTTTGTTAATCTCATCACAAACGAGTTGAAATCAATAATGGCTTTTGTGCCTTGGGTGGATCTAAGCTTTCACTATGCGAATTTACTCTTGCTTTTCACTGTTATCAGTTGCTCGAAATCACTTTTCTTTGGCTTTGAGTTTATAAGCACTAAGAAAGCCTTCTTAAGGGATTAACTTGGAACAAGGACGTGAACAAAAAAAACTCAATTTCATTGTTTGACTTTCACAATGTATGCATGATGGACTCAATTTGATTTCATGCTTTCAACCGAGAAAAAATAAATAAGCTTTTGCCTTTTTGTTACGCAAACTTGATGAATTTTTCATCATCAAAACATCGACAAACAACTTCTTCACTTTTTTCCGTAAACAACAACGAAGTAAGTAGTTTTTTAACTCATAAGTTGTACCGAAAACTCATCCATTTGTTTCACTTTCCACATCTAATTTCATTTCCTTGAAACATCCGATGAGGGAAAACTTTCTTCTGTTTTTCGCGTAATGTAGAAGATTGGTAGGAAACTTTTTTTCTGTTTTTGCTTTATTCTCTTTTGTGCTAATTCAGCAACGGTACGTTGTAACTCGAACTTATAGCCATCATCATGGAATCAGCAATAAACATGTTTTTCATGATAAGTGAATCAGAAGTGAGTCTAGGGAAGGGAAAATGAAGTTAAAACTAAGTAAATCGGACTTTATGATTGAATGTGAGCTTGTATGGGAAGGAAAAGTTTCAAAAATTAATCACAAGTTTCTTCGAGCAATGTTCTTCGTACAATGCTTTTCTGTTTTTCTTCTATTCTTCGAAGCTTTTAATTATGTCAAACTATTGGTAGTTAAAAAAAGACTCTTGAACAAATATTTTCCCTTTTTCTATGCTTTTCTCGTGCAATCATTGTTATAAGTAGATGTCGGACACTCTTGTACTCATGATTCAGCTTCATTGTAGAATAGAAGCCAACAGTTATTTTCGGAAATGAATATATGTCACTTATCTATTATTAAATTTTATATCTTTCTATTTTCAAACACTGTTACTGTATTGACATTAAATAAATTAAAATGAAACAGAAATCAACCGTTTTTTAAGTTCAATACTTAGCAAGTGATTCAAATGCCAATTTCATGCTAAGTTTGTCAATCATGAGAATAATTTTTATTATTTTATTTGATAAAAAAAGTGTACCATTCCAGCAGTTTCTGAAGTTTTCATCTACATATCTGTACAAATAAAAACCTAATTTTTATAGAACTGTTACATATAATTTGGCAAAGCAAACGTGAAAGATAATCAATTTAAATTTGGAGCAGATGCAGACAGAACTACCGAAACAGAAGAATAGAATTTTTTTGTTCTCTTGATGATTGCACTGTGATGGCGACGAACACAAATTTCATTTAAATTTTCTTTTTTTTGAAACTTCAATGGAGTCACTTCATATGTATGACTTGCTTATGAAAGCAAATGCTTCATATTAATTAAATTTGTTCCCTTGCGATTAGAATTTTTGCACCTCTTTCATCGTTTCTGTTTCAGTCACTCTCATACCCATCAGCCGTTTCCCTTTTTTAATGTCTATCATTAAGTCTAAGACATTTTCATTTGACTCGCCTTTTTATTTTAAGAACAGCCTCTGCAGGGTGTAAAAATGAATGACATATATCACGTCATAATGTTTATTCTTCGCTTACAGACGATTAAAGAAGAACATGAAGTTAAAAAACAAAAACGTCTCTTTAGCATCCGTTAGTTAAAGAATGAATTTTTGCTAAAATAAATTACTTACATCATTTTTTCTTCCCCTTCAAGAAAATTCCTAAAGACTGCATAAGGAAAATTATTAAAATTGTTGACATTTGATATGACTAATTTCACGTCATATTAGGTACTTCCACGTCTCCAATCAAAGTGGAATGTCGTTGACATTACAAAAAAGTTTCAATGCCAAGATTGAGGAAGTTTTCATTTTCACATCCACATGAAATGTAAAAAAAAACATGAAATAAGAAAATTTCCACATTAAAATAGAATTGCGCTTCTTAGACATTTTTCATCAACGATATTTCGTCTCTGATCTAATAAAAATCTTTCTATGTCGTTCCAAAGATGCCGTTTTTGTTCTTAAAATAATTTTCCGAGACATGAGACAGTTTCTTTATTTTTGCGAATTGAAGAAATTGTCTCTTTCATGACGATGACAAAAAAGCGAAGAAAGCAACGTTTGAAGTGGGGTCATTTCGAAGTTAATGTCACATGGTATTGTTCTTATTTCATTTTCAATTATACTTTGAACTTTACAGTTGGCTACAAAATTTTTTATGTCTTAAAGATCGCATTTACGAAGAGACCAATAGGATGGCAATGCTATAAACTCTCTCTGTTGTTACGTTTTTCACGAGATGGATTTTTTTAACAACCCGAACATATCGAAAAATGGTGAAATGGGTCTCTGTAATACTTGGAATTTTTCCTCAAAAATTCAATTGGAATGTCCGTTTGATTTTTTTCATGAAAATATCTCACTTTAAACTTTTCTATCATTTTTTTTTCGTATAAATGTTGAGCAGATTTGTGAGAAACTAAACTATGACAACCTTTGACAAAATAATATCTTCTTATTGATAAATAATAAAGAAATATTTTTCAAGAAAAAAAAACATAAATTAATTTGCAAGTTCAAATAGCTTTCGAGCTGATGATGGTTGAAAAGGTCAACTTATTTCAGCTTTTGATAAATTATCTGATTGAACGCCATTTGTTTGAAAGAATAATAAAGATAGAACATTTGTAAGCTCTTTAAAAAATATAATTATAAGTGGTGTCTATGCTCGAATTCTCATTGAACACTGCCATAAACATAAAAGTCTTCCGAGAAACCTACATGTAGAAAATGTTTTTATTAAAATTCCTCCAATCTTTCGTCCTCGAGTCTACACAATGAAACGTAATAAAAAATTTATTTCTGAAACATCTCATTACCATTTATCACATTGATGATTCATGTAAGCAAGTAATTTTTCGAAACGACTTATAATGGCTGCTCTTTTTCTTCTACATATTTTACACGAACAAACAAAACGTAATCAAAAATTTGCCAAGTCATTAGACAAACAAAAGCAACACGGGGACGAGACACAGACAGTACATTTACAACCCACGCATTTTTCACATAGCTTCATAGCAAAACTTCTTTGCTGATATGAATATTAATTTTTTGAACATCAGGCATCAAGAACTAACAGAAAGTTTAGGGAAAAGGGACTTAATTTTTAATTACGATAGCAATTTTCCTTCCATAAAATCCACGATTGTTGTTTTGTGATTTTTCATTAAATCTAAACACAATTAACCTCCACATTGTCATCGTTTTGTTTTCTTGAACAATTTTGAATAAAAGGCAACAAAAAGAAGAAAAATGAATTTCACTGCTTCAAATAGAACGAAACAAAAGATTTTTCAATCTTCTCAGAATTATTTATGATGTGAAAAATATGTCGTTTCCAAGATTTTTCCTGCTATCGAATTTATTGGAGTAGGAAAATCGAAAAATATGTTCCTTAATTCTTGGGTGACTTAATATTATGTCACTTGAGTAATCGTAAAAATGTGTAATGGTTCTTTTGTTATTTGACTCGTTACCTAACCATTGGAGCAACCTTTGAGACTAAAAGTTGACTGAGACAAGCGAAAGATTTATATCAAAGCTTGTGCCAGGAATATTTGCTGCATGATGTGCTAAGGAACATTACAATTCAAATGAAAAATGATGAATTACATACAGTTGGATGAAGTCATCCCATCTCAGTTCTATTTCAATTTTTTTCCCGATTGGACAATTTCATTCATTCTCATCCTCACACACATAGCAATTTCATCATGTTTTTTTCTTCTCTTTCCATCTGCACTAGTTAACAATAATTCAATAGAATCGACGTCCGAAGGGAACTTGCTGGGGGTCGATGGCTGATGTTTTACATAGAAATTCAAAGCATGTTTCATGTTTTTATTTCCATTATCTAAATATTAAACTCTATTTTTGGATCAAACGATTTTAAGTTCCTATTTGAAATGTTTTTATGTGTTTAACTGTTGTTTTCTTTTTTATTTTTGAAGAATTTGACATTTAACATCCGCATGTGATGATCGGGGAGGCATCTGTACAAAAGTGGAATAAATATAAAACTAATTATGTGGATGTGTAACGTTTATATGTAGTCATACAGTAACATATGTCGAACTTGGAATCATTGATATTATTTTTAGTTTCTTATGTTCTCATGGAAATTTAAATTTGTTTATCAACGTCAAGAAATTAAGAGTTCTGATATTATTTATGTAAGTGAGAACACAAGGTCGAATTCACAATAAGAATTTATGTTTAATAAAAACATAATTTATGTTTCGCTAAAAATTAAAATTAAATAGAACATAAAATTGATGACGTTTTCTATTTCCACTCAAATTTTTTTAAAATATTTTAATATAAGTTTATTAACTGTGCATAAATATTTTCTTTGCTTATGTTGTTGAGTATAGCGGCAAATGTTAAAGACACAGGTGTCAAAAAATCCATAAGCCGAACAGTTTAATTCTTATGAAGTTGTTTCTATTTTTATTGCATTTCAATTTAAATCAGTTTAATGTCTTAATAAATTAAGAACACGATAAATTTGGTCGTGAATAAAAACAGTTCTCAGTAACATCACATGAGTATGCAAATGATGGTTTTGAAAACTGTTAGAAAGATATCAAGTTTCTCATTCTTTGAAGTTGACAAGATTATTTTATTTGAAGCATAATTTCTTCCTAGAACTCTAAAATTTTATTTCATTATCAAGTTCAATTCATACGAAATAGGAATAACAAGTATTTTGGACGTTGATATTATATTTCATGTCAAAGTCGATAATAGATCTATTAATAAAACGAAAAAAGAATCAAAGTAAAATTTTCATAATCTCACATAAGTTATCCTTTATTATTTCATAACCTGCTGACATCGAACGAATATATAATTTGACAGCAATTAGCTTAAGGCAATACATATTTCCCCTCTCTTCTCTTCTTTATGCTCTTCTCACGCGCTGACATTGCTGAAGTCTGAAAAATTTGTATTTCCATTTATTAAACAAGCGACAAATAATTGCAGTAGAGTTTTTGTATTTTTTAACTTCACACAATTGCATAGTGTTGGATAATAATAAAAAGAGAAAAATCAGAAACTGTTAATAATGCTGTGATTACACCAAGTAGAACTGAACTGAACAACATGCAAAAGAATTTAAATGAGTAATGTTTCGAGCAAGCTTTAAGAGGTATAATATTAATTTTAACTTGAAATTCATTGAACCTGGACAAGAAATATTTTATATAGTAATAATCACTTGTGTTGTGAGAAGATATAGTTTGCTGAATTTTATTTATTTAATTAAATTAAATATTTCAATCCAGACGGGTCCAAAGGGAAAATAATCATGTATCACATATTTAATTCAATTCTTCTTTATTCCTTACAATGAGAATATTTCACCATTTTTTGTTTGTGTGTTTATGTTTTTAAAGGACTGAAAATGTTAAGCTTGACTTCATAGCATGACCAAGTCAGGATTAAAATCAGGTTGTTTACTTAACACATGCTTGAGTTTAAACGATTTAAATAGAATGATGAGTGTCAATATCCCAATTTTCTTGTTTGTTTGTGATTCTGATGTAACGCGATGCCCACTTTATGTTCTTAATCACATCCACTATGAGTATAACAAAAATAAATAAAAGCCTTTTCTAGAAGAGAATAACACCACGGTGTCGATAAATTTTGATGTTTTATTTAACAACCTTAAAATTAAATCACGGAATATTCTAATGAATTGGATTAAAAAATATATTGAACATATTCTTTGACGATGTTCTTTAACATTTAGATAAATATTCTCTTTGTTTCTAATTCAGTGAGCCAATGATTTTAACATAAAATTAAGCAAAGCAAATAAAGTAACATTCATTGTCATCATCGATTGAAAATAGATTTTTATATTGTACAAAAAACAGAATGACAAAAAGTTGCTGTTTTAGCTGATCTCGTGAAAACAATTCAACTGATTGCTGCTCAACTCTGTTTTATGTTTTCACATCACAGTCTTTTATCTTTCTACTTATTTAAAAAAAGAAAATAAAAAGAAACTGCTGAATTCAGTGAATAACAAATTATTGAATTCTATAATTTATTACATTTTGAATGTTCACGACGTTTGATATTTAAGTCATCGTGAAGAAGAAGTAAAAAGCGAGAATTGCTCGACACTTAAAATTATTTATTGTTATCGAAATAAAAAATAAAAATTTGAATCTGTCATACTTAGAATGAGCTTTAAATAAATATTTGATGTATTAATGATATTTTAATGAAAGCTTGTCGAGATGAAACCAATTTAAACGCTCTTAATTACTGAGATTAGTCAACTGGATTCCAGACACTGGTGAACGGCAATTTTACGTGGTGATTAAAATCCGATTATTTGAAATACTCATTCACGCTTCCAGTAAAATTCAAAAACTTGCAACTTTTTTATATGATCCCGAAGCATTTCAAATTCAGAGTTTTCTTAAGGAGTTATTGTAATTTCGTGAAAGAAATGAACAGATTGCAAAACATCATTGTAAAATTGCATTTTTAGAATATTCAAGAATTAATCATTGTCATTTCAACATTTAAAGGTTTAAAGCAAAAACGTAGTTTCATCTCATCGGTAATTATTTATACATGAAACTCAAGTATCAGTTGAACAACAATACAAGTTTGCTTGAAGCATTTTTTTACTCTTCACATAAACAGTTCGCGTGCCCGTAAAGCTTCGAAGATTTACCGAATCCATTTATACCTTCCATGGCCGTAAAGTGATTGATATGGTAAGTCATGGCTTCCATATAAAAACAAAAATAAAGAAACAAAATTTGTTTCGATCCCAACATCTCATTTGTCTTTGTGTCTCTAAAGAACGTTGACTTCTTGTCTTGCGAATAGTTGAAGTGATGCAGAAGAATGATCAACAAAGGAAAGAACATTAAATCATTATTTTAAAACATCTGCCGATCTGTCGAATGGTGTAAGAAGAAAAGCAAGTTTGTGCGAAACATCGAAGAAATGCAGAACTTTTGATTTTGGAATATAAAAATTATAAAAATTTGATATTATGTGAAGATGTCTTATCGGACGAGAAATCCATTCAATGCTTTTATGATTCTGAAATAAATCAACGAAATGAGTTTCTAAAAGGCTGTCTATATATATTTTTTTCCTCTGTTGAAAATGATCTTTGAAATTTTATGTTAATCATCATCACATTTAATTCGATCATCTTTTCAACCATTTCATACAAAAGAAAAAAATGTTGATCATACCCGATCTTAGTTTTAAGAATCCAAAATCCAAATCTCGATACTTTATTGTCCACTTCCCAATGACAAAATACCTGTTTTGCTTTCAATGTATCTGACTCGAGGTATAAAACAAGCAGAAAGCAATCTTGAATTAATTAAATTAGTTCTATTGTTGATTTGAGAGAGAAAGTAAAAAGACAAAAAAGAACAAAAAACAAAGATGTTGAGAAGACAAAAGGAAATGAAGCAAGCACAAAAGTATCATCAGAAATATTCTTTTAAATCAAAAAAAAAATTAAAACACTAGAGTTTAATGAACTTGTATAGAATTTTATGTATATTGGATATATTGAACACCGATACTTGAAAACCTTTCACTATTCTTGTATGACAAATGAAAAGATTATTTGCTCAAAAACTTTTCAAGTGGAACTAACCACAGATGTTCTATATTGATCGACTGGCTTCTGCCAATGTCGCAATGGGAGAGAAATGACACAAACACTGACATCAGCTGGTATTATGTTCCAGGAAATTCACTTGTGCAAATTCGCATCACAAACGATTGAAAGCGAGTGAAAAATTAAAATATGCGAAATTTATTGTGCTTGTTTATTTGTGCGAAATGAGAATGCATTGGCTGTCTGCACATTCTTTGCACTGAATCAATAACTATTGTGAAACGATGTAAATAATCAATCGTCATGGAAAACCACAGTTGAATATGTCATAAATTTGGAACAAGGCACATAAATTTTATAACGATTGCTGTGCAATAAATTATCAAGCGTAGACGAATACAATCTCTATAGTGGATCAACACTACTGGTTGTTGAAGTTATGAACAGAATTCTAGCTCAACCTGAATATGATGGTTTTACTTTGTCACTAGAGCTTTCTTTCATACGAAACTTTGAAAGTAAAACTTCTGATTTGTGTTTAAATTCCTAGACTACATTCGACTTGTAACAATATTTCTATCGAATAAAAGAATGAAAGGGAAAGAAACTTTTATCATCATTAAAGTTCAATTGAAAGAGATTACGAGAGATTTTGAAAAAGTCAAGGAAAATTAGTTAACGATCTAAACCTCGAGGGATATCATAATCTGAAATGAAGAGACGAAAAGAAAAGTTTTTCGCCTTGTAACTTCAGGGAGTCAAAGTTCAAACACAATGTCATGATTATCGTACAGAAATAAGAAAAAAAAACTTTGTAATTGACAACGACATATTTTCCTTCTAATCTTTACCATTGCTTTTCATTCAGCGAAGACTTGTTAAATACACTTTTGTATGTCAAATTAAAGACGAATGGAATGAAAGAACAAAAAAAAACAGGAAGGAAAAGTTTTCTCTGAAAAGAGCTTTTGTTTTTTGGGTGAAGAAACATAAGAAAAAAATTATATTGATTATCATGTCTTTTTGAAAGCCCAACTTTTCCAACAGTGAGTTCATGTAACTTTTTCTTGCTGTTTGTAATTTCTAATGCGACATCATGAAACAGCAGAAACGGTGACTGGAATGAAAAAGACAAATGACTTTGTTGTCCTTTGTGATCGAAGAAGAAGAGGAGGTAGAGTGCGTAGAGGGAAATAGTGGGGGAGAAAGTAAAATTAAGTCGAGCGCCAAGCCTCGGTATTCTCTGTCATAAAAACCAGCCCATTATCTACTTTCCTTCTTTTTTTCTGCCAGGAAAAAACCTTTTCTGAGTGACAAAATTAATCTTTTTGAACTTTTTTTTTCTTTCCGTTTTCGTCCCGGCGTGAGTTCAACATAGTATCATCAACGGTCGCGGGGCATGATGAAAAATTATTGCTTCGTTATTGCTCTTATTGTTAGCGAAAGCATTTTTCGTGGTGGCAAAACGCGAACAGCGAACCACAACTCACTTTAAAGAAAATTACAGTTTCAACAAGTCTTGAAGATTAATTTCTTTGGTTGAAAGCTACTTCAATAAATCAAATATGTTTGACAAGGGAGAAGAAAGCTAATTAATATTTTTCCGTCCGAAAGACATCGGAAATTATGTTTAGAAATAAATTAATGATTTTCATTTAATATAAATGTCTGAAATGATAAAACTGTTACCAGAAAAGGAAACAAATTAATATTATTTTGTGCGCTTCCTTTTGATTTTTTTCTTATAGTTATTTGAAAGATTGATTGAGGAACGTGAGCGTTTCAAATTTATTTTCATATTTTGTAGGAAATTTTCATAATGCCTTCAACAAATTTTGATACCTATTTATATACCTAGATAGAAGTTCTTTGAATCAAAGTGTTCATTGGAATTAATGGAACACTCAGAAATTTAAACATTTATCGTATACATTTTATTAACATTGATTTTCATTTGACATTTCACCCATTAAATTGAGTTAAGAGATATTTTGATATATGATAAAAATAATAACTCGTCATTGACTATTATTATCCTCGTAATATGATCATTATTTCTTATTAAATGCAATAGCTTGAGCGACAAAAATCAACAATTTTAAATTTCAATAAAAGGGGACGGAGAAAAATTATCATCGCAAAATAAATCTAGATCAATGATAAGTATATATGAAGCTTCGCACATAATTTAAAATATCGAAAGATGAAAAAAAAAGAAATGAATTAAAACATTAAAAATGTATTATTAATATCAATCATCTTACTAAAGTTATAATCATTCCAAAGCAATCAAATGGACTCAAATTTCAATTTGTTGTAAGTTGATTTGATGATAAGAGCATCGATTAAAAAGACATTCATAAATGAACGTAATTTTTCGGCAACTTTGAATTCACTTAATATGCTGGTTTCACATCATTTCATGTTCAACACAACAGCAATGATCAAAGTAATTCGTTACTCAACTCATCATTTGAAAGAAATTCCTGATGGAAATCAAACAAAATATCTCAACGGTGCACCTTCAAAAGCAGAACTGATGAATTTAATGGAGTTAATATTTTCAAAGGAGCTCTCAAATTTGACGTGAGTGGTCTTTAAGTGTCTCTGTGTTTCATTTCGCCAATATGTTTGTTTTTATAACACAAATTTGAACGATGAGGAATCTACTGTTCATATACTTGATAAAGTTGATGTTTTTATCGGATAATTTATTAGCGATTGTTTCTTTGGATTTAGATCAGCTATAGATTCAGTTTATTGCGGAAGAGGTCATTGATAGTAAAAAGATATTTCTCTTACTCATTAGTTACAAGTTTTCAAAGGCATTACAATTGGAGTGATAAAAGTGAGAATTATATTCATTAAGACGTTTGGATTAGAAATAAGTTCAACGGGTTTTACTTCGATTGGTTTGCAGAAAACTGAAATAAAAGTAAGAATAAGTAAGTAACGGATTATAAAATAAGGTTTGATAAAATTTGCAGTAATATGACTTCAGATGAAAATAAACCTTCATTTATAAAGCGTAATTACCTACTCGTATATAAAATTGCAACATTAATTATGACTGGAACTTCTCGGAAACTGATACATCAGGCTGAACAATAATCAATTGCCACGATTTCTTTGAAGTTTTACACATCTTATCTCTGTTCCGTTTATGTTTCCTATACAACAATGAGGTTGAAAAGTTCAAGGTCGAGTTCCAAATAAAAATTAGATTTCAAATAGAAATTGAAATTTAAAGTCTTTTGCTGATTTCCTAAAATATTCAAAAAATACGATAATATTCAAAATGACAAAAGAAAAAGACAAACATGTACGAATTTTTTGCATTCATTCAAATGAAAAATGTGTTCAGAAATGTAAAAAGTAAAACCAAAGTAACATAAAGGAAACAAAAATGTTCTACTTTTGTGATGCGATAATTTCATTATTTTTCATATCAGTTCAAAATTACTCAAAGTTTATTTATGTCAATTTAAGACATTTTTCTTGCATCATTTTAGGTAGTTTGTTGTCAGTAGAAGTAATATTTAGTTAGACTATAAATATTTTAAATTTTCAAAAACATTGTACATATAAATAAATTTTGATACCTCTGAAATGTCAGATAATGTAACGGTTTTATTATCAAACGTAAAATAAATGTTTTAAGCTCACAGAAACTTTGGAAGCTTTAAAAAAGTAAAACTAGTTTTATTTTCAATATGAATATATACAAATAGAGAGCGAAAGAGAAATGTTTAGCCACAAAATTTATAATGCGGTATGACAGCAAATGTGATATTTATCAAAATCTTGAAAAGTTGTAGCTTCATTTGCATAATTGTGCTAAAATCATCAAACTTTTTTAGATGACATCACATCAAATTCGATTTTAAATTCAACGAAATTCTGTATAACTTTTCAAGTGCATTTAATCAATTCGTTATGCAATATACATATTGTATCTGAATACCAATCATTAATCACAATTTTGTGGTTTTTTCCCTGAACCACCTCAATTTTAGTCGGCATAGTTATGTTCATCAAATCATCATGTATTTGGTTCATAAAAAATTTAAATTTAGCGACTGATTCGGCTTCTTTTAGCATTACGTGGAAAGGCTATAGAAACACCCAAAACAAGCCTATGACTAAAGATGTTAGTTATATATTTGTTGGGCCATATTTCGTAGCGTTTATCAGACGAGCTCAATGATATAATCGTCTTAACTCTTTTCAGTTTAGTCTGACATTAGCCATCTTACAGTTAACATGCATTTGTTAAAGCTCGTGTTTTTTTATGCAGTTCTTTACATTGAATTCAACATTGTGATTGCTAATCGTGAGAAATATAAAACTAAAATATTTATTCATTTAAAAAAAATTTATAGTGTGAAATTATTTCAGCGTTTTTAAACCCTTTAAACACTGCGATTAAGATCAACTCTACTTCAGATGGCGGACAAAGAATTTCATTTGTGTACCCAAAACAATCTTACGAAATTTCGCTTAATCTGAAATCGGAAGAAATTAACAAAAACGAATTTAATATCGCTGGAATTATTTCATCAATATTTGGGTCTATTTTCAAAAAGTTTACGTCACTTTCTGGAGGATTTTCAGGCTCAAGCAATCCTTTGAGTGCACTTGGTTCATTACCTTTCGGACTTTCATCATCAACAACAACCGAATTCCCAAGTTTTGATGACTTTGATAATAATGAAGACGGTTCAGATACTTGGAGTGCATCAGATGATAACAAAGAAAATAATGGAGATTCAGACAGCTCGTCATTTTCAGATTCAAATACTTTTGATTCATCTGGAACTTCCAATGACGATTCATCATTTAAATTCAATCAAGATTTGTCTAGTGCTTCAATTTCAGAACCTTCAAAAACTTCATCATTTCCCTTTTCGAGTGTTGCAAAAGGTTTCAGTTTATCTAATGGTTCCAATGGAAACAAATATACCACTATAAATGCAGGGTATGCTTACACAACAAAAAGTGCATCCAACAGCAAATATCTTCCGGCAAAGACACCTTCATCACGAAGATCAGTTACGGAAAAATATTCACCTTTAAAACTGAAACCTGAAAATATCGTATTATTATCATCAAACTAACGGTCGCTGCTCTCATCTCACCTTGACATTATTTAAGTGTGTTGCATAAAAAATATTTTGGCAATAAAATATTTTCTCATTTTCATTTTGAAGATGTGTTAATTAAAAAAAACTTTCGTTTAGTGTTGAACTTTTTTTTCGCTTTTATTATTTACTCATTTATTTATTATTGATTTTTTTGTTCGTCCGCTTAACTATAAAGTTTTGTGTAATATTACCCACCAAACCAGGGGTTAGACATACTGAAGCTTGTGCTTCCTGCTGTGCTGAATGAAAGGCCTCCATTGGAACCTGAAGAGGTTGATGCAGATGACCCAGCATTTGCGCCACTTCCGCCACCAAAACCTCCGGAACCTGCGCTAGCAGTAGCACCAGATCCACCGAAATGTCCACCACTATGAGTACCCGCACCAGCGTTAGCAACAGAGTTTGTTCCACCATACCCACCATGTCCCTGACCTGCAATATTTTGACTTGAACTCGAAGCTGATGATGATGTTCCACTTAAGCCGAATGGTCCACTCCATTGTTGTGTACCTGCATTTGAAGTAGATCCTGAAAGACTTCCATCGTTTCCAATGTGAGTTGATTGACCTTGTGCTGTTGATTGAGAACCTTGAACTCCACCTTCATTGAATTGAACTGTATTCGCATTTGCACCACTTTGAGAAGTTCCAAAAGGATTTTTATTAACAGATGAAGCTTGGCCAGATGTTTCAACAGTATTTCGATCACCTTCATTTATGACATTAACATTTGTACCAGCATTTGAAAGTTGCAAATTGCCTTGATTGTCAAAATTGGCTGACTGACTTTGACCAGAGTTTTGTTCCTTGTAGCCATTTGCAGTTTGTTGACTTGATTGTTGAGTGTTTGCTGCACTCAATTGACCAGATGAACCATCATTTGCTAGATTCGATGATATGCTAGACCCTCCAGTATTCTGGAAATTTCCAAATGCATTTTGAATGTTTGATGAATGTGTGTTTGCACCTGCATTTTGATTGAAACCTCCTCCAACATTTTGTGCTTGACCTTGAGCATTTGAAGCTCCACCACTGTTGTATATCGAAGAAGGTTTATGTTGGTTATGTTGATTGATGTGATTAGAACTTGGCTGCTGATGACCATATTGATTATTAGCAGGCTGATGAGTACTGGGTTGATTGTAATTGGACTGTGGAGGTGGACGCCACCATGAATGTTGCTCTTGTGGGAAATTGAAATCACCTTGTAAAGCAGTTTTTACAACATCAGCACCTTGTTTCAGAAAATTTACCCCTTTTCCAATCACCTTTTTACCAAAACCTCCAAAAAACCTGCTATCGACTTCGACATTTTTATCATCCATTTCTTCGTTATCATCTGCGAAATGAATCCTGTCAGAGGTGTCCACATTTCTTTTTCCACGCCACTGGGGTTGATAGCTACCAGAATTTCCAAATGCATTGCTTCCTCCAGTACCACTACTTGCACCTGATGAGCTTCCGGACCCACCATGTCCTTGACCTGCAATATTTTGACTTGAACTCGACGCTGATGATGATGTTCCCTTGATGCCTCCTGGTCCAGTCCACTGTTGTGTTCCTGCATTTGAAGTAGATCCTGAAAGACTTCCGTCGTTTCCAATGTGAGTTGATTGACCTTGTGCTGTTGATTGAGAACCTTTAACTCCACCTTCATTGAATTGAGCTGTATTTGCATTTGCACCACTTTGAGAAGTGCCAAAAGGATTTTTATTGACTGAAGATGCTTGGCCAGATGTTTCAACACGTTGTCTATCTTTTTCTTTAATGACATTCACATTTGTACCAGCATTTGAAAGTTGGAGGTTACCTTTATTGTCAAAATTGGCCGACTGACTTTGACCCGAATTTTGTTCTCTGTAACCATTTGCAGTTTGTTGACTTGATTGTTGAGTGTTTGCTGCACTCAATTGACCAGATGAACCATCATTTGCTAAATTCGATGATATGCTAGACCCTCCAGTATTCTGGAAATTTCCCAACGCATTTTGAATGTTTGATGAATGTGTGTTAGCACCTGCATTTTGATTGAACCCTCCTCCAACATTTTGCGCTTGACCTTGAGCATTTGAAGCTCCACCACCGTAAAATCCAGGCCTTCCGTAACTTGGCTGGTTATATCCTTGTTGATTATAACCTGGTCGATTGAAACCTGGTTGAACATATGGTTGGTTGAAAGCTGGCTTATTATAGCCTTGATTATATGCAGGTTGAGGATAACTTGGTTGATATTGTTGTTGCTGTGGATAATGAGCCCCGCCATTAAATGCTGAAGTAACAGCTCCAGCTCCTTGTAGTAACAAATTCACTCCTTTGCCTACAATTTTCTTTCCAACTCCACCAAGAAATCTGCTGTCTAACTCTACTTCTCCATTTTGAGTAGTATCTCTTCGTTCTCGCACAATTTTTTTCTCATCTACACGAACATCAAAATCATAATCATAACCACCGCTATTAGTTGTTGGAGCTGCTGTTGTAGTAGTCAGTGTCTCTTTACCCTTTGAATTTTGTTCCAATATTGCTAGTAAACTGTCTAGATCTCCTTCTGAAGGTTTACCTGAAGCAGGTGGTGGTATACTGCCAGAAATTTGTCCTTGATTCGTAGGCGGACGTGGTGATGGCTTTGGAGTGTCAGGTTTTGTCACAGTTGGAGAAATATTATTTGTTACTGGTAATTGATTTGGAGTTGCAGGAGCATTTGGTTGCGTAACTCCACCAGATATTTGGCCTTGATTATGAGTAGGAGTTTGTACGCCTTGTTGTCCATGACCACCTTGATGTTGACCATATCCACCTTGATGTTGTCCATATCCACCTTGTTGTTGTTGCCCATAGCCACCTTGCTGTTGACCATATCCCCCTTGATGTTGTCCGTAAGTTCCTTGATTTTGATTTCCATATACACCTTGAGTTGGAGGTTTTTGTTGATAATGAGTTCCAGGATATGGTTGAGGGTAATGTTGCTGAGGTGGATAATACCCACCATACATAGGCTGTTGTGAATTAACACCCCCTGTCAAACCTCCCAAAACGTTACTGGCAATTTGATTCACAAAACTTGCACCTTGGTTTAGTAGATTTGAGTATTGCTGTTGATAGTGATAAAGCTGATTACAGAACATTAAAAAGAAAAGCAAGAGGGCCAAAAGGGTTACTGTCTTGCAAATTATTTTAAGCCTCCAATTCACCAACATTTGTGACATGCAAAAATTTAGTGCATCTCAAAACTGTTTATGTATAATTTTAGTGAAATTGGAGATTCGAATTCAACAATTCATAATACTTACAGCTTGATTATTTTGTGCATTTTGAACATAAGAATTTGCAAGACCCAATAAACTTCCGAAATTTAAATTTGTTCCACTCTGAGCGTTTGAACCTGCTGATCCATACTGACGTCTTTGGCCATATTGTGGAACTAAAAATAATAAAGTTTGTAAAATATCTTCTAAATAAATCATTAGTTTTATTTCTGGTGACTAGAAATATAGTTTGAAATACTTTTCAGAAAAGAATTTGTTTATTTTCATTTGAAATATTTTTTCAGAAACTTTTTGTATCAAAACAAATATACATAAGGGTCATTACGTTATCATCTAATACATAAATACATTTGTTTTTCCTTTACAATTATTATAACAAAAACTTCTCAAAATTCAACATGAATATTATCGAAGAGAATATTTATGAAAACTTAGCAAAGTCTTCAACAAGTTTTCAATGTCTTGGAACAGGTTTCAAGGTCAAAAAGTTCATAAAGTTATCTTCCACTGTCATAAAACGTATTACAAAAATATTTTTCTTGTTTTTAAACTGTTAAATTAACATTTTGATCATTTTAATGACGTGATATTTGCGATGTTACAGTTTTAACGGGAAATTTTACCAGAAGTGGCGATGCTTAGAAGTAAGACAAATGTTGTGATTAGTAACAGCATCTTCATTTTAACAGTTTGCTTAAAAATAATTTCAAACAAAACTTTAAAATTTCTTTTTTTCACTCTGAAGTTATTTGATGTAATCAGTTGTTTTAAGAATTGTTTTAACCGATTAGCACATAATTTAAATTCAATAGATAACTATTTGTCTTGATCTCACTCTGATCGTGGATGAACGTTGACTGAATTTAACACGTTTAAGAGTAAAGTTTTAAAACTGTATTCAGTATTAACGATTTTCTGCTGCTTTCTGAGAACGAGATTCTCAAAATCATATAAAATGCTGCCTACACAAAGACAGAAACGTTCATTGATATGGAACTTCAAAACGACTCTTAGAGCGTAAAACAAGAATGTATGTCAATATTCCAATATATTTATTGAGGTAAGGAGAAAAAGCCTTTCAAATCATGATAAAATTTGCAGAAACAATGGCCGTGAATCTAAAGTCAAGCACAGGGTGAAATATCAGAAGATATACTGTGAAGCCTACACATTCATTGTAGTACAATAATGTGTTGAACTTTGTCGAGAGACAGTCATCATAATTTCATTTGTAAACACTTCGCTATGAAGGAATATCCATCGATTGGTTTTCAAACTTTTGTTGCTGTACTCTTAAAATCACGAGTGACTGTCATTGTGATAATGACCTTCTTAAATCTTTAAAAATGTAATTTTTCACTTTTTCAAATTATTCCATAATCAAATAATCTTAACCATCATCAAGTCGAAATCTCACATTGCAAGAAATTTCAGGTCTCAAAACTTGTTTTTAAGTATTAAGACTTTATTCTCAATTTATCAAAGAATGCATTTTAAAGCAGTTGATTTCGTATTGGTTTTTTTCATTCAGGAACAGGAACTTTATTTATGCAAGAGGTCATCAATATGTCTGTCGAAAAACTTTATTTACGCTTTAAACATTTTAAAATCTCTTTCAATTTAATAAAAATAGCAAAAATTTCTGTTTTCATTACATATTTTCAATTTTGTTATAACTAATTTGAGTGAATGTGTAACTGCAAATGTATTTAAACGTAGAATTCCATGAATTGTAAGACAATTAATAATACTCAGTTAAGCTATGAAAGTTCATTAATTTTTCCTTTAATAATAATCCAATGATTGAGCATGATATATATGTTTAGGTTTTTGGCATTTATAAATTGTTGATTATTCTTATGATAATTTAACATGCATTTATTAGAAGAAAATTAGTTATAAAATTACGATGAATTAGAATATGATTAAAAGTGATCCAAAGAACTTTTATCATTGACAGATTTTGCGAATGTTTGCATCATGATTTGAATAGATAAAAATCTAAAAATTCTGAATATGTAAGGAGAGTTGATTTATATGTCATTAATAGAAAAATTCTAAATTATTAAAAATAAATTTAGTAATCGCATAGCTTCATTAGCATTTAATATTCATGACAGAATAAAACAAAATAACTACATTTGGAGTTTTCAATAATACAATTTCATTTAACAGATTAGTTAGTACACAGACTCGTTGTTATTAAATAAAAAATAGTTTATTAAGGAATATCATGCGCCAATAAGTTTCAACCTAAGTGAATGCTTTAGGTTTGAAGTTTTATGACTTCCTTTTTATTACTTTTATGTGCATACATCGCATTCAAATCACTTTATTATACAAAACTGCTACCTAGAATTGTATACAAGGCTAAATGATGAAACGAATGCTTTCTACTTAGTTCAAAATTTCAAGTTAGATATGATTTTTATTTATTTTTCTTGGTTATTAAGGCTTTATTAAGAAAATAGAATATCTTTCGTGTGGAGAAACTTTTCGCTGCATCTCAATGTCTTTAATTGACTTATTTCAGGATAGTTTAAATGAAAGTTGAGTTTTAAGTTTAAAAGTTTTAGCTCCCTGAAGAAGTACCTAATAGTTAAACAAAATCTACGAATAAATATGGTCGAAAGTTCATTTTAATGAAAAAAATGTTTTGTAGTCAACTTTCGGCCTCTTAAAATTTTTCCCTATAAGCTAAATTAAAAGAAATTAAGTTCAAAGTTTTCGAAGAGAAATATTTCATTAAAGGCTTCAATTAAAATGATAAAAAACAATTTTAAAGTAAAATTTTAAATATATATTACTGATTGTAACTAAAAGAATTAAAAAATTCAATGAATAATTAAAACATATTACGGGTGGTCTTAAAAAGTTCATTCATAACTTAAGTAAACTTTAAGCTTTGGAACGAAAGCTTTTTCATTATACATACCTATATTTAAATTATTTAAACGCCGTATTACTTTAAGCTTTTAAAATTACCATTTTTTGTATGCATAATGTTAACGATGGATATGTAAAATTTAATGCCTTAACAGGATAATAAAATTTTTATGGAAAAGATTTTTGTTTATTTTTCTATATGTTTTCCTACCCTCGTCCTCCATTCGTTCGATGATCCCGGTGATAAGAAGGAAGATAAAGACGTAAAATGATGTAACAATTTAATTAAAATTTATGGCATCACATACTTTTCGAGAAGCAGCACAAGATGAGAGAAAGAATTTTAAAAAGATAAAATCCAAGGATAAAAAAGAATTTTAATTATTTTTATTTCCACTTTGAACTTTTTTCACCGAAAATTTATTCTTTCAATTAGATTCTTATTCAGGAGGGGAAGAAAAGCTTTCAAGCTCATCTATTGTTTGAGAAACATAAATTCCCACATTCAACTTTATGAGATTCTCGTTTAATAAGTAGAAACCCGGTGATTACAATAGTAAAATTGTTGCCGAAAGGTCATGGTGAATGAAATGGTTCTTTTTGTATGCTCATAAATGATGCCACGATAAATCCATCTTTTAGGTGGCTTTTCACATATTTTATGAAAATTATCATACGAATAAAAACTCAAAAATTGAAAAGAATTTTTAAGGTGCTTTTTTAATTTTCAAATAATTATACCTACTCGTTGTTAACTGTTATGTTTTCATATGCGAAAATTTCATTATCAAAAGATTTCCATGAATAAAAACTCTTCATAAATGTTGAGAGATTAAAATTAACATTTGCATCCTTTTCAAGTTAAAAGAATATTCAGAAACATAAAATTAAAAACTGCTTGTTTATCATATCTAAGTAAGATTAAAATACCTATTTACTTTAGTTTTATCAGTCATGTGGAGAAGCTGCTTAAGATTTTTTTTTTAAATTCGTTCCAAAATATTGTTATCATAACTTAGACTTATCTGTTAGAAATGACTTGTGAAATGTTACGAAATAACTTCATTATGACGTCTATCGAATATCATAAACCTAAAGATTTTGATTTCAGTTCAAATTATAAATGCAAATGAATTCCACACTGAAGATTTCATCAAATTTGCATAAATTAGTGTCATGAGCGATAGATAACTTTTCACGTAAAATCGCCATCATCTCGCATGGATATTAAAAGCATTCAGATTCAGAGGACAAAGTCTTTCCTTATAAAGCAAAGTAAGTTGGTTATTCATACATAAATTAAATAAAAAAAAACAGAGAGTAAGCGAATAATATTTAAATAACCGCCATTTTAACCCACGCATTCTTAAAAGCAAGAGTTCGTATTGAATTTCTTCTTATCGTTTAAAAGTTTTTATGATCGTTCAAGATTACTGTAGTTAAACTATTGACAGAAATTTTAAAATTTTTACGATTAAATTGATATTGTCAAATGCAAGCACAAATAATAAATAAGCGCGAAAATAGATTCGCTTTGTGTAATCGAACAGATTGAATATAATATCCATCTTAAGCTGTCTTATATAATGTTTTTATTGAAAGTATAGAGAAATCGAGAACAATACTCATATTTGCAACTAAATTGCTAAAGGTTTGATTTAAATATAAAAAGCTTTATCTATTAAGAAGAGAAAACATTACTGAGCTAACAGTTTTTGATTTTAAATATTGAACAGAATGGCTTTATTTCCAGTTTCTTTGATAATGAGACGTTATCATGGAAATTATGCCTGAAGTTTTCCTCGATTCCTGCTAATAATTGTACAAATTATGTTCATTCTATACAGCATATGGAGTCGTTTCAACAAATAATAATGACTTATAAAAATAGAGTCAAAGATTTTTAATGTTAAATGAAACTTTTAACGTGAAATGAAACGCACACATTAACAGAATTGAAATCATTATTTTAAAAAGCCACAGGAAATGTGAAGATATGTGGAGAGAGTTGTAGGTGCCACTTGCAGTGCAAAACTGAGTCGCATGTATCATTCACGCTAAAGAATTTTACCGATACGTTGTTTGTCCAACAGTGGAGTTTCAACTCAAGCATAATTTCAAGCAAATTACCTGTAATTATATTGAAAAGCATTAACTCACAAAGTACAAAAGAGAGATCGAAACCTTTTTGAAAAAGATGGAAAAGAACGAAGTATGCTGAGAATATTGATATGTATATGTTTATGCAATAGCACAACAGCTTGTTTGTACTGGAAGCATGTAAGTGAGTAGGAATATTATTGTGCAAAATAAGTGATTAAATGTGATTAAAAGCGACTAAAAGACCTTCAGATCGTGATATTCTTTTAGAATTTCATTCAACTCAACACAGAAGGTAACAAGGAAAACTTGTTTAAATGTTATCGAATAATCTCATTCCATTTAAGAATCTAGAATCCAATTAACAAGTTTGCACCGAATATTAATATTAATTATATTTTAGAACTTTTTATTATAATTGCGGAAACAAAGAAAATTATTTTTTGTTTCTGAAACGAATATCGCTTCAAAAGAGAGCCCAAGAATTGTAGCAAAATCGTATTATTAAAATGTCTCTTTTTAAAATTAATTCTACTAACTTGATACATTGGTTCCATTGAGCTTGTTTGTTTGTTTGTTCTTTTTCCTTCCTCGGCTGATTTGATTAATTATGTTGAAGCTCAAATAAACGCTTTAGAAACAATTAATACACATTTTCAAGTGAAATCCGTTAGTTCAACTTGGGGGAGGTTTATAATTTTCGTGAGAGCTTCAATACCATTTATTAAATTGGTAGATGATTAATGAATTCCTCACTGAATACTTTTAATCGAAATATGATTATTACAAGAGAAACAGATCACGAAAGAAAGTTTTGATTACACTCCCGCGTATCGTAGTTGATGGTAACAGAAAGGATATATCTAAAATGGAGAATGAAATCAATTTTCAACTTATTGTTTACAAGTGAATTGTAATTAATCGTATTTTCAAAATAAAGAAAAAGGTTTTTCTTGGGATCGTGAAATGTGATCCAAACAAGACTAACTGCCCTCAATAGAATATAAAAGGTAAACAGCATCATGCTTCGTTAACCACGTAATCGCTTGTTAAACGCATGACGAGCTTTTAATATAACTTATTCTTCCAAAATGCAATTGTCGGTCAACTGAATACGAGAACGTGTGGTCGAAAAAATACTAAATGAAACATGCATTGTGGAAGATTTTTCATTAATTTAACGGAAATCGATTGACAATGGAAAGAATTAACTCTTCTTGATTCTTAATTTAACGCCACTTTCAAATTCATTTGTGAACGATTTTTATTCAGTAATTACTCTGTCTAATGAAGGTGAAAGACAAAGTCATGAGGAGTCTTAAATTGACTCTAATTGATTTTGCGAAATGTGTAGCAAACAGCTTAAAGAAATCAAAGCAGATTTTAAGCGGAAGACTGTAATTACACACGAAAGAAGGATGATAAATTGTTTGTAAATTTCTCATCGAATGTAATGCATTTGTGTCTTTTTGCTCTGTCGATTTCGCAACTCTTCAATTTTTGATTCTTAAAATTGCTTTTTAATTTTCACTTTGTTATAAAATGTTTTTCAGATTATGTGCACCTGGTGTGTCTCTATAGGAATGCTGATATTTTTCTTTATTCTGTTATACCTCAAAAAAATTATAAAACATGAAATTGAAGTTACACAAAAATTATCGATTTGTCGATTTCTGATAAGTAAAGTATTGATTTCACCATTGTAGAAGAAATGTGATTGAGAAGAAAAAAAAAATATTGCAATGGTTAAAACGATACTGAAATAAAATTGAACGCGTTTCCACTTTTCTAAAACTAACGTAACGAGCACTTTGAGGATAAATATGCATAGGTTTTATAAATTAAAAACAATTGTCAATATCTGGATGCACATATTTCTTTCTTATTTCATTATTTTGCGGTCACCAAACATACAAAAATCCATCAATCTATTTTCAAGTTTTTTTCTCTCTTTTTATCAAGTGTTTTAGATAGAAATTCTGCTTTGTTCTTTGCTACTAGTTTACAGGTTACGACTATCATAAATTCTTCAAGTCAACTTATATTGTTATTGTGGTTTGATTGAATTTCTTTGTTACAGACAAGACATTCTTCCAATTTATTGCTTTCGCTTTCCTATTCCAACACTCAATCGAAAAGCGAGCTGTTTTGCTTGTATGTCATCGTATCTTGTTGTTTCTAAAGGTTTCTTTATGAATTTTATTGGATATTGTCTGCAAAATAAAATTAAATAATTTATACAAGCAATATCAACACAATGAAAGCTTCCAATTTAAATTTACTCTTCTAACTGATTTTTTTCTCTTTAATAAAATTTTCAATAAATCGTATAAACATAACAAGGTCTTGTAAAACCATCAAAATTTGTGATCAAAAATTTACATTTTGTTATGTTAGAAAGTTAATGTAATGCAGATTTGATATTACGGTTTATCACACAAGTGATTTTTGAAGGGAAATGTTGAAGAGAAAAGTTTCATAATATAACATTTGAATTATTTTTTATTGAACAAAGCTGACCACAAAATAGATTTTGTTGATTGTTGTTCACTTAGTTAGACATTAACACGATTCAAAAATTTACGCTGATTTGTGACATGAACAAAATTTAAACTGAAAAATCTTAAGCGAAAGAAACAAATTTAATTTTAAAAATGAAACATATAAACTTATGAATTCGGCAACATACATAATTTTTCTTTCTACAAATTTAAAAGCATTTAACATTTAAGACATCAGATTTAATTCAGCTTCCTTTCGAACTTTTTCTCCTTCATTTAATGAAACTGTGTGGGATCATAAATTTCCTTTTACATTGGAAGACTTTCCGGTGAATGTGACAACAATTTCAAATGGCCTGCTCTTGCGATTTCTTTCGCCACATTAATTTCTTGATTTCCTCTCTCATATCTTGAATATCCTCAAAAATATCTGTAGAGGAAAGAAGAGTTAAAAAAAGTTTAAGCGATTTTCTCTTTTGACATTTTTAACTGCTTTTAGTTGCCATGTGTTTAAAGACGAAACATGAAATAATATTTTATAAAAATTTCTCTTGCACTGTGCAATATTTACAACATCCGATTTAAAGTAGAATTTATGATTGCCGAGAAAAGGCAAATATTTCTCTGGGTGTTTACATTCGAAAGGCGGATTTTGTGCATACAGTCGAAAAGCAGGACTTAAAATCGATAATGCAAAAAAAAAATTGCAAAAGGAAAGGCGAAGCATGTTCATTTCTTTTATTTTATTTAACTTTTTTTCGGATGATGGACTAGAATTAAATTATTTTCTCATGCAATGAATCGTTTAGAAATTCCATTTCCAGCGCTGGTTGATGTATTTATGTTAGCAACAAGTCTTAATATTATCATATATAAGTAAGCCATTTTATATCTTTTGAATTCCGTTCAATCAATCATTGTCGTTGCCTGTTGTGCTCGTCAAAATATATCAGCGGAAAACATCATTCCAAAGAATTTGCAGAAATTTACATTAAGACGAGTACAGACTAAGTTCATTCTAACTAGATTTAAAGCTTCTTTTCCTTTTCAATAATGTTTTCAAAAGTAAGGTTCGGTAATAGCGCGTAGAAAATTCTTGGCGTTGTTTGATTTAGAGTTTTCCATAAGTCTTCAGGGATCATTAAATCATGAGAGAGCGTAATGAAAAATACGTGAAATGTAGTAGAAAAATTTAATTGGTTCCCACTTGACTCTTCCCCTTTCCTCTGACAATAAACCCGTGCTCAGACACGTTGAAGCATCAACTCTCTTCTACTTGCGGGTTATGATGATAAAGCATTTCATGTGTGACATGCAAGTCTATTTCACGGGGTAACCAATATGAAATATGAAAAAGCCCGATATTTAAAACTCCGGCAGTTATAGAATTTCTAGACGAACAGTATTAGTAAAAATCTAACTCCAATAAGGGGCCACTTTGTATAATGTTTCCACCTTCGATATTCCAGAAACTTTTCACACAAAGTGGCCCCTTATTGGAGTTAGATTTTTACTAATACTGTTCGTCTAGAAATTCTATAACTGCCGGAGTTTTAAATATCGGGCTTTTGCACGATATTTATTGTTGGGGCCGACTTTCGGTAACAGACTTTTTTCCCTTAAAAAAAACACGCTCTGACGCTTTGAAATGAGACACTCGTCTGAATTCTATACGAAGTTTTTTTTTCTTCGCGATGTCATCATCATCATCATCAGATCAAGGACAGGCACCTATAGGCCAATCCTGGCCATATAGGAACCACCATCAAAAGCCATAAGCGTTTTGAGGGCAATGGTCATATTTAAGTGGCACGTGAAAATGACAACATTACGCAATTTCATCTTCGCGATGTTTTTTTTTTTTCGCTGTGAATGTTTTTTTTTTTTCGCTAGGAATGTTTTTTTTTTTTCGCTAGGAATGTTTTTTTTTTTTCGCTAGCAATGTTTTTTTTTTTTCGCTAGGAAAAGGGCAACTTTGTATGGCAGGTACCCGAAGTAATAAAGGTACACACCCCATAATTTGATAGAAACTTTCTATTTGTATTTAAAACACTTTGGTAAAGAAATTTTTCAAATCGGTTAAGAAATGTGGAAATGGGAGTGTCTACATCCATCCATCCATCCATCCATCCATCCATCCATCCATCCATCCCCACAGACCCGAAAGCGGACAGAAATTTTTTTTTCGTTTTTTTCCACTTTTCTCGACGTTTCAACCCATTTTAAGTGTAATTAAGCAAAGAAAATTTTTTGAAATTTTTGGGCAAATCCAATACGGTTGCCCGTCACCCTAGGGTGGGGCCTCCGTAAAAAAAAAACATTGCTAGCGAAAAAAAAAAAACATTCCCAGCGAAAAAAAAAAAA